CGAGTTGTCCACAATGAGAGTTCTCAAGACGTCTTTGCATTGCCTCTTTTGGGTATGGTGACAACAAAAGCGTATGGGTTGGTTTTACTTGTTATCTCACATTGCGTTATGGTAGGTTGAACATGTTGGATGATGGTACCTCTGGCAGCAACAAGTTACGGATCTCAAAGCAAGAATGTTGTTTGGTTGGCTCAATGGTATGCGTGGTATTGGATCTACAAAGCAAAACATGTTAATTAACGAGCCTTGCAATGAAACAGCAGCAGCACCTACTGGATGGCATGGATATACGGTTTCTATTCGAGGCAATGATGCTATATTGAGAAATACCACAAGGTAAGATGTTCATTATGATGGGATTGGTTGGATTCAAGTGAACTTACCAAACACCATACAGTGGCAGAGCCTCTTTCGGCGATACTATTATTATCAAGGCTGCACGTCAAGGATGTCATTGTATAGTACTGTGCTCTCCTGGGGAATTTTGGCCCGGAAACAGTGTGACTCAAGATGCGATGGCAAGGCCAATTTGAAAAGGCATCCGCTGTGCACACGGCCTCCATCCAAGTACGGCTATTGATTTCCTTGCCTACAGAGAGAAGGTGGATATCTCTTATGATGCCAATTTCAGGATCCAATGAGAGTATAGTACATATGGTGGCATACCTTGACGCTGCAGATTGATTATTGTATTGCCTTCGATGGTGTATTTGGTTGCAATTCCTTGTGATTACCATGGCTCAGGTATGTATGACTCTCATGCTTTTTGGGGACCTTTGCTGAAACGCCTACCATTATTATTTAGAGGGACCATTGCAGAGAGCTACTTGTCTTTTGGTGCTTTGAAGTTTACAAGATCACAGCTATGATTGCTAAGTATTGTTGGATGAGTTTGGACAATTGTTTATGGTGCATCTTTTATAGGTGAATCATGTCAGCCATGGGGAAATGTTTATGTCTTTGGTGGTGTCAACCTTTATTGCGTCTCGGGTGGTTGGTTACCAAGCAATGGGCGATTTCTCTGGAGAATGTCAGCCAAGTCTTTTATGAGTGGATTGTATCAGCAACAAACAACAGCATCCATATCGTTGGTTCCATATCAAGCTTTATCCCATCATCTGGTTCTTCTCGTTATCGGCAATTCGGTGGGCATCCTGAAATGAAGGTCTCTTATCGATTGATCACATCAGCAACAAGGAACAACTTGTATATCTTTGATATCAGCAAGCTTTCTATCTCTTGGTGGTTCTGGTTATTGGCGATTCCTTTGATGGATCTCTACAACTATACGTGTCTTATGGATGGATCATGTCATCAACAAGCGATGAGAGTCCGCGTTGACATCTTTGGTGTTACCAAGGTCATTTATGCATCTCCTCAAGGCATTCATCGTCAAGCTGCATTCGATTTCCAATGAAAAACGATTGCCATTCACATCGCTCTTTAGCCATATGTACGTCACTCCGCAGCTAGGATCTGGTTTGGGCTTTTCGATGCACAATGCTTTCTCGATTTGCATGTGGTCTTGGGCAGCAAGGATTGTCACGTTGTCTCTCTTTGTAAGGGCTCTTCGGCATCATGTAAGTATGCTCTCTTTGGTGGTATCAATATTACTCAATCTTCTCACTGCATATGCCCATAAAGTATCGTTCCATCGCTTTCGAGCCGAGTGCCACCGTAGCGGGCCTTATCAACAAGCGGACGATTGCAAAGAATCGGCTTGATTTGGATATCAGCAGGATTTCGTGCATATGGCTATCATTGTAAATAGTGATCCATTCGTTTCCACAACGCCTGCCAACCTCTTCGTTTACTATAGTATGTGGTCTATTCAGCAACTCACTTGTCTTCTGGTGAATTGGGATTGCTATGGATGCAGCTGTCATTGGATGCCAACATGTTGACGTGCATATGGCTATCATTGGTAGATAGTGTTCCGTTCTCTTCTTCAACGCCTGCCAACCTCCTCTTTTATTATAGGATGTGGGCTATTCAGCAAGCTACTTGTCTTCTGGTGCATTGGGATTTCTATGGATGCAGCTGTATTGGTAAATAATGATCCATTCTTTCTTTCAATGCCTACTAACACCCTCTTTCATGTGGGTTATTCAGCGAGCTACTTGTCTTGTTCCCTTTGGATTCTTGATGGATGCAGCTATCATTGGATGTCGACAGGGTTTTATTCATATGGCTTTCATTGGTAAATAGTGTATGACCCGTTTTTTGGCTCCAATCCCAACCAACCCCCTCTTCTATTATTATAGTATGTGGGATATTCAGTAAGCTGCTTGTATTTTGGTCCTTTGGAATATTCATGTCAGGGTCAAAGAGCAACGTCTACAGCATCCTTCAGTGTCAGCTTGCCTTATTACATCGTTCGATGGTTTTCGTTACTGTACCACCTATTGGAAACTTCCTTTTATAAGCATCTGCAGCGGCAAGGCAACAAGTTCGATACCTTTTGGTGTCGCCAAGTTTTATCTCGTCTTATTGTGGTCCTAGTTGTTGACAACCCTTCAATGGATATCCTGCTACGCATGCCTGTTATCGGTGGATCATATCAGCTACAAACAAGAAGCAGCAATGAACAACAGAACCCACATCTTTAGTGTCAACAACATTCATTTGATCCTCTGGTGTTCTCGTTATTGGCCAATTGATTTCAAAAGCTCTCTTCACCGCACGTATCTTATGGATGTATCACATCAGCAACAAACAACAATGTCACGTGTCCTTTTGGTGATGTCAAGGTGTATCCATCTCTCATGGCATTCATCATCAAGTATCGCTTGGAGAAACGGCTATCAGAATTGGTCACTGTGTCGACATCTCTACAGCAAGGAAATGTGTTCTGATTACTGAGTGGCATCAAACATCGTGGATTCTCTTATGACACTGGCTAAGTATTGTTACCATTACCTCAAAGATAAATTAGTGATATGCAGTTTTATAGGCACATCATTCCGTCAAGCTATAATTTCGCATGCTCTTTGGTGCCATCAAAGTCTCTCCTTACAGCTGTCAATGGCGAATCCTATTGAATTGGAAGACGAAGGTCAACATTTGAATTTGGGTGGGTGTCTCAGAAGCAAGCAAGCGATCTCTATCTTATAGTTGTGGTTGTCAAGGATACCGTTTCCATGGTTTTGGAAATCAGCTCCCTGCAAGTCGTCTCTTTATCGGTGGACCTTCAGAGCAATGTTTTTATCGGTGCCATGGCGGATCTCATTCCTCAAGTACTTGTATGGATACCTTGGACGTTCTCTTACAAGTGAACATTCTCATGTGTACTATTTCATCAAGACCGGATTTATTTGTTGCAGTGCATGATGCGTCTCTCCTGACGCCTACCCAAGAAGGTCGCTTGATGGCAGCTACTACTGATATGGCGGATGTTTATTTGCTATGGGTAGAACGGGATGGTGCCTTACTCTTTTGTGTAAAGCATCGTTGGTAGCTATGATTCATTTGCGACAGTGTGGTCAGCCCTATCATGGCCCTATCAATTGCATTTGAGGATTACTGCCTTAGCCGTTGGAAGTTAGACTGCTACTCAGTGGCCTTGTGGTAGATATGGGATCATGTATTGCTTTTCGCTCTTATGGGTCGGCCTCTGTGGGCGTGGGATGCTATCCTTTTATCAGACCGAACATGTTGGCTCGAGCAGCACCTATAGAAGATGCTGTTGTTTACAATGGCAGCCCCCGTTATCCGGCTTGGTGCACCGTAGGGGAGAGGGTGACGGCAAAGCCTTCGCGTGGCCATCCTTGTCAGTACATGGGTTTCCATGGAAGCTAATTTGCCACCTTATCATTTATATATTTATTACGCATTCATGAGCATCACTAACATATCAAAGACCTCACGTTTGATTGTAAAGTTTAGAGATACAGACACCTTTATGTTTTACCTATGCTGTAAGCGTGATGGAGTTGCTTTTTTCTAATGGATGGTGTCGGCTGCATGAACAGAAAGATGAAGAGCTGCTGAGTGTAATGGCACGTGGTAGTTACACACGAAGATCCTTGACAAGTTATTGCACACATGGATCATGATCATGATTGCCTTGAGGAAGGTAAGTAAGTATACAACATCCAATAGTGAAGGTGTGTCAATGTTTGTGTATGGCAATAATGGCTCCATATCGCATTTGGATTCTGCGGGAGTGTCGAGCTGCATAAAAAGTGACGCGCACGGACCATGCTTGATGCCTTCACAGCCGGGTTAGAAAGTTACGAGGGCATGCATAATGCAATAAAACATTATAGTGTATGGGTATGTATTTGATTGGTAATGTAGAATTCACGTTGCTTTAAGCAGAGATCAAACCACTCTTTATTCATGACGCATTCGTTGGATGGGCATTGCTATTTGAGAGCCACATACATAATGCTGGATCAACAACAATACCAGCAGCAGTACACGATGATGATGTATATTAACGATGCTTTTATTCCTGAATACCCTATACTTTTACTGCAACCATATTCATCATAGCCATACAAGAGCAACACGTTATGACTTTGGGGCAAGTGGTGTTGTGTGGAAGCTCTCGATTCAAGCCGCGAATCTCAAAGTCTGGCGCCTTAGCCATTAGAGGGAGCATTCGGCCAATGGGAAGGCCTCAATTTGAAGTCCAGTTGCGTCGCGTCCAGAAACAAATTGCTGCGGATCACCCTGGCAACCTCCACCTTTTTGCTCTCAACTCAATCGATCGACTCGCATGGCGTGCGTGCTTTTCCTACTATCACGATGTTTTGGCCAAAGTAAGTTGTTTCTATCTTTTCGTTGTGTTGCTTGTAATACTCACATGCCTTGTTTGCAGCGACTTGGGGGACCTAATGGCGTGCATTGGAAACTCTTTGCCCCCTCACCAGCCCGGTTTCCACACAAGGCTTCCATGAATCCCAGCAGATCTTGATACGGAGGTAGCGAGGATGTTGGCCATCCCTCGTAAACTGGCTGCCCACCACGTGTCGGCGTGTTGTATCGGCGTTTGGCCGAGGACGAAACGCAGACCGGTAGCAGTGTCCAGGGTGCACTAATAAAAGACCGCTATCCAAAGATACCAACAAGTGGCTCTTGTTTGGGTAATGCCAAAGGATTCATTGGAAGGAAACTAGGAGGGAAGATAAGTATTCTTTCACCTATTTGCTCTCGCTCACAAGAAACATGCTACACTTTTCTCTATATCAAAGACACAAGCATGGTTTCTTCCAAACGAGGTTTTGGCGCGTCAAGTCCCGGCACCTTAAAGTGGCATGTACAAGCGGCCTCGTCGACCTGGAATTGGTGCCTACAGGTAGAGGTTGGGGATGGTTGAGTAGCGACCTTCTCGTTGGTCATCCCTGTGAGTACTGAAGTCTTGGCTTTAGGAAACCAACAGCTACTTGTTTATTCTAGTACATATCGTAATCATTATAAACCATGTTCTTTGATTAATTAAACATACATCCTTGTCTTTGCATGTCTGATACTGTAACGCACTATCAAGTACGTAAATTGAAAATGAAAACTCACGATCCTAGCGATGTTGTTATGGTGTGCTCATCTTATCTACTGTATCCATGTTGTCGTGGTATCGATGCCATCATTACCAAGTTTCATTCCATGCATTGTTTTATATGTAACCAAGTCTTTACTTTTATCCTGCAACCAAGACACAATGCTGTTGAAATCATCCAAGTGGAACAGCTGCCCACATCGATCATTAAGTTACTGTATCATTGCGCTTGATCCAGATGAAAAATAGAGTGCTTATCCTTATTACAAAACCGATCAAAGAGCCACTTTTATTATCCCATCATCTAAGCTATAATCCACAAGCAACAATAAGAAGGGAATAAGCTACATAGATAATTGCATATACATATTGATCGGTCACTCATCCTGAAACTCAATGCAGGGATCACTTCACTTTTCTCTTCTCAAGGTCTTCCCACTTCCCACTCCTCCTTATTGTATCACAAAAGCCATGTACTTCTTGCATGACCGATAACCGGACCACCTTTATTATTCCATCTTCGAAGCAAAAGTATGTAATCCACAAGCTAGCAAAGTCCAAGCGTGTAATAAACAATGCTTTATTTCATCTAGCTATCTTGCTACATTGCCACCACCGTCTTCGTAGTCGTCCTCCGTCATCATTCGTACTCGTACTCGTACTCGTCACCAGCCGTCAATCTCATCCGCCACACCAACATCCAAAAACACACAAGTTGAAAAGTGTGAGATCTTGCAGGCTTCCTTTTGAATCTCGTTGTCGTTATCATTGTCATTGTTGTGAATGTGGTAATCATCGTAATGGTCGTCTCTATAAGTAAAAAGCAGCCAAGTTAGACCATCTGATACCGGGAATGATGACGATTTGACGTACCGCTGGGCGATCCTCTCAAAGGAAGAAAGCAAATCAGAAGGAATCCACAAACCAAATCACCACCATACGAGCAACGTCGGGCGATCCATTGTTCTTGAGAAAGCACTGCACGAATCACGCAAGGCCAATTCGATCCAGGGCAAGGAAGGACATCACTTACGTAGAGTCCAGGCTCATAGTTGTTCTCATTCATCCTCTCCAAAGAAAGAATGATCCCCAATCCTTCCAATCATTTCCCACCTCATGAAAAGAAATCCTCAAGGGAAAGAACGACCCTATCACGAGAAGAGCGTGTTGGTTAAACACATTCACAAGCTGTTGCAAATCCCCTTTTACCTCAACACGGTGACCATGCTCTTCCAAAAATCCATCGTCATCGACCCATCAACTCAAACGCAGGCCTATAGAGCCCTGGACGCGTTCCAAGAAGCTTTTCCAGCACACTTGGCTAGTGCAGAGCGACGCAGCGGCCACTTGATACAGGCTGGGACTTGAACCCAAAGAGATGATGATGATGATGCCCCAAGTTGCATTGCCTGACCAAAGAAACCTATTCAATTCATTATTAGCACACACGTACAATAAACACCTTTTTCATTGTTTGTTTCATTGTACTTGCCTTTTCCATATACACAAAGACCCGTTGTTGTTGGTTACTGGAAACCGAAAACCATGGTGTAGTATAATTGAGCCGAAACAAAACGCCAAACCAACCAACGTCTTGAAACCAAACATGCCCTTTATATAAGCTGACACGTCAATGGAACCAATTCGGTTGCAACATTGGGCTCGGAATGTACCTGCTGACACCAAGCATAGAGTGGGAATAGCAACGAACAAGAGGAAGCAACGATATCGCCATGGCAACCACCAACCACCAATCACGCTCACTCCCTGACAATGGATGTTCAGAACTACATTAATGCCTCACAGCCAACAAGAGCACTCTTTTACAATACATTACCTTGATCGGGATGTCGTGAATGGGATAAAAGTAGAGGAGGGAGAAAGAAAAGAGAAAGCGTTGTCTCAAGTCGTGAAGCTACCGTCCCCAAGTTTAAATCCCCTACTGCTATCACACTGAGGCCTCTCAATGACCCCACACACACCATCCACCCAAACACACAACTCACCGATCATTATCATCACCATCACGATAGACAATAAGTACACGTAAATAAAAGAAATGGTCCTCACGTATAGCAAAAGGGTGTGTGTCATTTTACAATTTACATGATAATGTTGGTCCAACAACAGCCATTGCCTTTATACTACCAGGTTAGTTCGAATCATGAAAGTTCAATGATGGGAATGATGGGCTGGAGCAGGACAATCGTTGATATGCATTGTATTGGTCAAAAATGGAGAATGGGAGGAATGGGCTATTAGCTGGCAGTTTACAAATAACTTTGCAAAATGATTTTTGTGAAATTGGATGATGTTTCTGTGTTTGAGCATTTTTCAGTCAAATCTCATCGGATCAAGAAAGTTGAATGATGGGCATGCTGGGCTGGAGCAGGACAATCGTTCGTATGCATTGGATTGGGGAACAAAGATGATTGGGAGGAATGGGCTATCAACTGGAAGTTCATCACAATGACAACAATGACAATGAAAGTACGATAACAATGAAATGCTAAAGATTATCGCAGATATTATTAATGCATGTATCACTCACATAATAAGGTCATCCATTATGATACTCACAACAACGTGAGCTTTAAAGTATTGGCAATCAAAGAAAGCTATTATGTATGGGAGGCGTGTGAATACAAAGAATGATAGATGTATGTTGGGTATGATGCATTTATTGATAAAGTGGAGAGGATATCAGTAACTCATTAGTCAAGCTACTAAGCGTAATGTTGCCCATGCATAAATCGGCAAAGCATAACCAAATTAGGACTGACGCCTACCACAGTATTCTTTTGCAGTCATTCATCGTTGCTGTCCCATAGGCACATCCTATCACCAAAAGGTATTGGCAGGTATCTTTTGTACGTGAATGATTGGTGCACCCTTTGGCCTGAGTCCATTCGACACTTTGGGGTATCCATCCAACTGCATGAGGACTTTAATTTTCTCTACAAACTCATTTTGGTTGAGTACGCCTTCTCTCCGCAACCAGCTACCTCCTTTCTTTTTTCGATGCCTGAGAAACGATCCCGAGACAGACGAAAAGATCGCCGTAAAGTAGGTCCATTCACTGTGCAGTTCTTATTATGAAGATGGTGCCAAGGTTACCACAGCGATTGACGTACTCCATTGTCTCCAGCAAAATAGCAACGATCATGAACGACAGTTTATTCAAGCTCCTGTCATTTTGGAACGACGCGATCGTAGTGCTCCAACAGCAGCAGAACACAGCACCAGTGAAGCGACACCTGTTATCATGAAGCACAATGATAAGACGCCACCACGAGTTGTTGCCAAACCATCCCAGTCATCATCATCATCATCATCACCATTATCGCCTTCAGGAACATCCTCCTCGCAACCGCCAGCAAATGAAATGCCAGGGAAAGCATCTATACCATTGTTAGATCGTCGTCATGGAAGAATGTCATCCGATGCAGTGATCAAAGTAAGTATGATGAACATGGATGGATCAAGGAGCATGGTTTATTCAGGCTGTGGGCTATAGCTACTTGGAGACCATCCAGGACACTTTGTCGTTGGTGTTGTTGGAAAGCAAGGGGTTGGCAAATCAACAGTGTTATCCTACTTGACGCATCAGCCTTCAAATGTAAGTATCGTGGACATGGTGGTGATCTTGGTGTTATTTGGATAATGGGCTTATGCAATGAGAACATAGGCTTTTTCGATCCAATCCATTGAATCAGTGGCCTATAGTCGACATCAAACAGTTGGCATTGACGTTTTTATTACCCCTGAAAGAACAATCCTTCTCGACACCGAGGTAAGTTGACTCTATCAATCTATAATAGTTCTCATATTTACACTCTTCATTAGCCTATTTTAAGCTGCTCCGTTTTGGATGAAGCACTAAGATCGACCTCGATGGATGGTTTACACCCCGAACTTTGGCTAGAACGAGAAGTAAGTATTATCACTCCTGGGAGAAGATGCAAGTTTAACATGTTGTGGATAGTCGCTTTACAATTTGGTGTTTATGCTCTCTGTTTGCAACGTCGTATTGGTGGTTTCGGAAGGAATGCAACTTGACGTTGCCATGTTGCGATACCTAAAACGGGCCGAGTTGCTCAAGTTCTCATTGCCTGATTTCCCATTGATACCCGCAGCCACTTTTGGTCAAGCACAACCTGATATGAATTATTATCCTGATATCGGTAAGATGATGGATTTGCCACATCGGCATATGCATAATGACTTAAACCTTCGTATAGTATTTGTATGCAACAAATGTCGCGATTGGGAGCTTCAATGGCAGCAATACAATGATATGCAAGCCCTTCTCGGTAACATCTTTGCAGATTCCAGTCTCAAGACATCAGGTATGGTATTGTATTCACACGTATGATTATACCTATACTGAAAAATCTGGTTATCAGGCTTGGTATCGTTCAGCAATGTGCTTCCCGCTTTCAAATTATCGCATCATGGTCCTGAGCAGAATCTATTTTTATTGCCGTATGATCCAAATCACGGACAATCGTCAATCAGAGATCCACCCAAGGACATATGGAATGTATATGATGATGGATTGTGTGGTGTGGAATCCTTTCAAACATTGGTATCGGGTCTTCGTGAACAAATTTCAGCTGCACCAAGGAGATTGGGAAAAAAGGGCCAAGTATCTGAAAAGGATTGGCAAGTACTCTCTCACACACATCATTCGATGGGATAAAGACGTTGTATGCTAATTTAGGATCTTAGGTACAAGAATGCCATCAAGCTTTATGAGTTGGTACGCAAGTCAGAGTACATCAGCGATTATATTAGAGTGGCCATGAAGACAACACACAAGTGAGATTGGCATTAGGACCATGATCGGATTTTGCATGTTTAGCATAAGAGAGAGGATGGCTGGGTACAACACTCTTTCACTTCCAGGAATTGATCCATGATGGCAACAAGTGGAGATAGCTCAAGGAGGAGAAGACGAATGATAATGGACGACGTGGTTGCATAATGCTTTGTGCTAGTTTCAATGATCAATGACAATAAACACACAAGGTGCTGCTGCATTAGTATCTTGTAGCATTTATGCGGGTATTGCATGCAGGATTGTTTACATGCTTGTCGAAAATGTGTATTACATGTCATATTAGGCAATGAGCGTCTTTGTTCTCTTTCCCAATTCTATTTGATAGTTCTCTTGGATAAAGCTCCCTTTTATTTGATCCTTTCACATGGTGCTATCAACATCACCAGGAGACTCCTGAAACCGGGTGCATCATTTATCGGACGCTTGTCAACACTGCTTGCGTGTACGTGTTGTGATTCAGTCTCAGCGGCAGGACATCTCGGCTGTATCCACCTTACTTTACCTTCCACATACTCGTTACTTATGGATCGATTTCAACGATTGCTCGGATCAGCAGCTGGATTTGGCCAGGTACATGCGTTTGACGATCGCCTCTTTATTGCATTCAGCATCTCTAAGACAATGGGACCATAGGCTCCACAACCTGGTGTTGATCTAGACATTGTCGACAATGCCGAAACCGTACACATTTCTTCCTTGGCGTTGCTCAAGGTACGCTGTTACTCGATAAACATAGATATGTATGATGTTCTAACGCGACTTTTATAGATGCTTAAACATGGTAAAGCTCGAAACCAATCAACCTTTTTCTATATGCAGCCTTGTTGACTCGCCTGGTCATTGTAGGTCGTGCCGGTGTGCCTATGGAAGTGATGGGTCTTATGCTTGGCGAGTTTGTTGACGATTACACTGTACGCGTGGTGGATGTCTTTGCTATGCCCCAGAGTGGTACCGGTGTTTCGGTCGAAGCTGTTGATCCTGTTTTCCAAACCAACATGTTGGACATGCTCAAGCAGACTGGCAGGTATGCATGGATAGGATGAACTTTTTGGAAGGATATGCAACTCAAAGTTGGGGATTATTTAGACCTGAAATGGTTGTTGGTTGGTATCATTCACATCCTGGTTTTGGTTGTTGGCTGTCAAGCGTAGATGTCAATACACAGCAGGTAGGCGTCATGGGATCACACGTGTGTATGTATGAACCTTACTGATATTGTTTGTAATAGAGCTTTGAGCAATTGAATGCACGTGCTGTTGCCGTGGTGATTGATCCAATCCAATCTGTCAAGGGCAAGGTTGTCATCGATGCATTCCGCACCATCAATCCCCAAACCGCCATGCTCGGCCAAGAGGCTCGGCAAACTACATCCAATATCGGCCATCTGAACAAACCATCGATTCAGGTACACACATTGTATAGTTTAAGGCGAGTCACGTATTGACAACAATTACAATAGGCACTTATCCACGGATTGAATCGACACTACTATTCCCTAGCCATCGACTATCGCAAGAATGAATTGGAGGAAAAAATGCTGCTTAACCTTAACAAGAAGAATTGGACACATGGATTGACTCTGCAAAACTTTACTGAACATTCCGAAGCAAATGGAGAGGATGCCAAAGTAAGTCATGCTTGGAATGCTGCTGCCGCCATGATGAGGTATGCTGACACACATACGCTCGCTCTCGTTTTGTAGAAAATGTTGGCTCTTGCTGAAGCATACAACAAATCTGTACAAGAAGAATTGACCATGACACCTGAACAGCTCAAGACCCGACATGTTGGCAAACAAGATCCAAAGCGGCATTTGGAGGATGCTGTCGAGAAGGTTATGGGAGACAATATTGTAATGGCATTAGGATCTATGATTGATAGTGTCAGCTTTTAATGAAGATAGATGTAAATCATTGTTATTTCATTGGGGAATGCTCGTTGATGGTGGTGGTGATGGTGAGGATCAAAGGTTTCATAAGCATAAATAGATGGGGTTATGTATGTGGAGCATGTCACTATTACACATTCATTGAGACGGCTTATAAAAGGACGACATAAGATATAGATAGATGCTTCCTTCTTATTTGTACATTGGTGCATGAAAATGATGTAATAGTATGCTGGCTTGTCATCAAAAGACAAGTTAAAAGATCAATAAAAGAGATATCACTGTTCGAATACCAATAGACATACGACCAATATCATCAAAGGATATGCTTCGATCATGCCATTTGAACGTCAAGGATGTCCTAAAATATGCTAGCCAACTTTGGGCTGTGCGCGGAGCTAAATGGTTACACAAGCATATGAGCATGTGACACACTACGCGAATTAAGTACAATGCGCAATAACGGATTTACTAAGGTCGGGAAGCTATGTACTATATCTGACTACTGTACGCCACTTGATAGGGCTAGACATCCTTCATAAAAGTGTTTCTAAGAAAAGGAGAGAAGGATTGAATTAGAACAATGGGTAAAGTTGTCTTTGTAACACGCTTTGGCATTGCAGCATTATTGATCAAAGGTTTGTTGCAGTAAGCAAGGCGACACAAAATGAGGCAAAATGAAAAACTTTTTTCATTCTTTTTTCTCCTTTTTCTCTCTAACAGAACAACTACAACCTGCTTGCTTTGTTGGCCGCTCTCTCTCCGTTGTTCAAGAGCAGAAAAAACCTACATTTTCACGCCAAGCAGCAGCAGCAGCACTTTTTTTTTCAGCTTTCACCCCCTTCCTTTCCTTTATGATACATGAGCTTCTCAACTGAGATTCCGATACCATTGCTCGTCAATGAGGTAACAACATTCAGCTTCATTGTCTTTGACATGTTCCAACATTACGTTTTCCTTCTTAGGGCACCAAAGATAGCAACCATCAAAGCCACGATAGCGTATTCAATGAAGGTGCCTGCTACACGGCTTTAGACTGTAGCATCTCTACAACCACGACAACCACCGAATCCGAGGAAAGAGAGGAGCATTCCACAGCACCCTATAGCTTTGATGTTGAGCATCCTAGTGAGCTTGGTATGTGGCATTAACGCGGAGACAAAGGGGTTGGTGGTGGTGTGGATGGAGGGAAAGGAATGCCGAAAAGTGGCAAAGTGCACTGTATCCATGGCAACAAAAGAGACTGATGATGGCTATGTTCTTTTTTTTTCTCAATCATTAGAATTACCCCATGTCTATGCTCGAGACTTTGCCTATCCTGAAGGAACCTCATTGCATTATGGCATTGTCGACCAAAAGCAGCAGCATCAGCAGCAACGGCGGGATTCTCAAGTGTCTCTCTCATCACCCGATTTTACTGGTTGCCAGGCACGCGCCCTTTACGATTTTGTACCTGAGACTGAGTACGAAATTGGCATGAATGAGGGCGACATTGTATGGGTGCAATATCGGCAATGCCCTGTAAGTGGATGGATTTCGGATGGATATAGTAGCAAACAGCGGTCTCACAAAATACATTATCTAGGGTTGGCTCGTCGCTGATGTGCAAAACGAAACGGGTCTCGTTCCTGAGTCATACGTTGATTTACTATGACAACATGATTCCTTGGCTCGCTCACTATTATCGCTCTCTTTCTCCCCTTCTCTACCACGTACAAAAAACACACACCCTTGTCTATCTATTTTGTCAACTTCTTTCCCCCCCATCGGTTCAACCGCACCCATCTTTTCTATTCTTAATGTGTATATTCTTTTTTCTTTGTTCGCTGTGAATCTTGTTTCCTTTTGTGATTTTGACATGTTGATAATTGAAAATGGTGTATACAGTGCTTGTGCGTGTGTGTGTGTTGCTGCATATATATACTCAAGAGGAGAATCTTCTATGCCCAACGCAGGGATCCGAGGAGCAGGAAATGTGTAATTGAAAAATATCCATTTTTGACAGGTGTATCTTGATGAGGAAGACCATCCAAGGAGATGAATGCCATCCACCCCTTTATATGATATCATTATCCGGATTGCTCTATATATATCCCTTAAAAGTTGGCTGCACTCCTTGTTTATGCAGCTATTAAGCATTTCATTGTTGTTTGAATGATACCCTCATTGTCCAGACCATTCGATTTTTAGACTAACGGGAGATCCAAAACGATGACAATCAATCATTATGGGGGGTGGGGAATGATCAGCAATAAAAATACTTTTAATTAGGGCATAGAACCATTCGTTGGCATGGATGTGTGTGTGTGTGCGTGAGTGAGAAACATTATAGCATAAAGTCGATGAGTCGTACTACTACTACTAGGGATATACGGTGTACACGGATGCTGGATTATGTGATGGGTGGTGCACAATGATAGCACATGAAAGGGAAGGAAACAATAGTGGCAAGTTATTAGAAAAGTAGAATGGGGCCATACAACGTAAAAAAAGGAAGTTGGCAAAAGAGAGATGATGGGTAGCATGGGGTGTTGGGTATACGTAAATTAATGGAAGCTCCAATAGCAATCGTCTCGAGACATGGTTGTTGTAGTGGATGCTGGGCTAGGAAGAATGACTGGGGAAAGACGAGTATCAATCTCTGAGTGGTATGCATACGCATTATCGATAACACAACAAAGTCGAGGGAGAGCTTGTGCTGGTGCTGGTGCTGATGTTGCTTCAGGCGTTGGGGGTGACAAAGGTGGTGGCGAGGATGGCATCCATGGATGAGCTTCTACAGTGGATGCTGTTGGTGATAGCATGGGTGGTAGTGGTTGTTGTTGCTGCATGGTAGTAGTACGGGAACGCGTTCTCAATGCTTGTCGTCGATTCTGAAACCATATTTGCACTGTTCTTGGTTTCATGCCAAGTTGCTTGCCAAGTTGCAACCGCATCTCCGTGGATGGAAATGATGTTTGACTAAACACCTTATTCAACACTTCAAGTTGCTCTGGAGTAGCCCTTTTTCGTTTTTCCTTGAGTTTTTTGGCAGACATCTTTTTCGTCGTTTTTTCAGTGGATGATGTTGTTGTTGTCTTGGGTGGCTCAGGTGATAGTAAGTTGTCAATGCACAGCACGGACTTTGTTGATTTGTCAGAAGTAAATAGCATTTTTGTGGAAGGTGAGTTAAAACAATGAAACAATGATGATCCAAAATGTACGAGGAAATGTGGAAGTGTCTTTTTATATAAGCTATGCAACAAGGTATTACACGCCCCATCCAAACGTAAATAATCATATGGATGTGTGTAGGCTTGGCTCTTGAATCTCCTTTCAAGGGTACCAGAGTAATAAAAAAAATGCTTGGTAACGCGATACGGGAAGAATGAATACTGCTTTCGCTCGATGCCAAAATGCCTTTTGACAGCAGACGCGAGAGAGAGAGAGAGAGAGAGAGAGAGAGGATCATGTCCCTATAATCCTCTCCGAGTAACTACTCCCAAATCCCTGGAAGACAGAATGCACTCTCCCCAAGGGAGCATGTTGGTCCAGATGAACTCGAGAACAAGCTAATAGCAGATATTATTACGTACCCATTTAACTTGCCAAAGCGTGAATAAGTAACCCCCCTGCAATCTTGATCTGTGCCTTAATGATGGTTATCAATGTAAGCAAAGGAAACCTGTTATCGCATCGGTTTCCCTACTACCTCACATTGGCCCCATTGTTTGTTATGCATGTCTATGATGGGAATAGGCGTCTTGTCTCCTCCCTTGATCCTTTGTTGGGTTGTCTCTTTGATCCTTCCTTCCCCTTCATTATCCTAAGGGGAATTTAAGGTTTGACATTAGCTACTATTTAAGTCCATCGCCCCCTTTGCCTTCTAGTGGACATGTCCAAAATGAGGCTGTGTGTGCATGAATTGGTTATTACAACCCACTGACATAACGTCACTCTCCCAAACTCGTATACACATCCCCTTCTTGATCTCCATAATCCATTGCATAGCCATCGTCGTCATCAATAGCATCATTCTCTCCCTCCTTTAGCTCCACATGACGACGGTGGCCATAGCAAACGACATACGTAATAATGATGAAATACGTTCCTATGTCACTCCTTTGAATACCCATTCATTTACATACACAGCGAATAAAAAAATAGAAGGACTTGTCATTGTGCCTCGTGAAGCGACGTCATAATGTTCCACGTTCTTTTACTCTGTTCTTTATCGAACGCTTTTTTTCTCTCTTCAACTACTACATTCATCTGCTGTTTCTGCTATCCTTTGTTCCCAGACACCAACGATGGGCTTGAATCCGAATGTGCGACTTTTGATCAAAGGTCTGGTTGAAGATGATAATGATGATGTTGCTGTTGGTCCACATCCCACACTATTTCGTCGTTGATGCTGCATGGGTGATGATGGTTGGCTGCTGCTACATCCACCATCGAATTGTCGTATCATTTCTTCAACACGCGATGATCGTCGTAGACGTACCAAGTCATATTCATAGGCTGATGTGGAACCAATGGAGCTCACAGAGAGTGAAGGTGATAAAGCGGGTGGGCTTATGGGTGAAGGTTCATCACGAAAGTAATAACGACGAGGGTGGTGTTGATGCACAGGAGTAGAGAACGACATGATAGGCGTGGGTGGTGGTGGACGCTTTGAGATGGGTGTTTTGGATGATGATGATGATTGTGCACCATGACGTTCAAGGCGTGATGTCCATTGTTGTTCCAAACGTGAATTCGTCAATGGAAAAAATGGCCCTGCTTCGGTACTTTTCGGCTCTTGTCCCACTGTATCAGCCGAGTCGAAGGATGATGACGATGATGTTGTTGGATGATCCATTTTTTCATTCATGATTGAACTATCATTTCGAATCGATAAAGGATGTTGCTTCTCTTCGGTCGACGTCGTCGACGTCGTTGTTTCTGATGATGATTCGGTTGTTTCACTTTGCATTGATTGTGTTGTGGTGGTGTCATCCTTTTGATTCAACTGTTCATTGGATAAGACATCAGCTGTTTTTGACGTATCAGGGCAATCGTTGATAGTGGATATAGACGATGTTGGGTGGTGTTGGTGATGGGTATGGTTGTCGTTGGATACACAGGGGTTGGCAGAAAGCAGCAGTAAAGGAGAACACTTTTTCAGGAGTGCCGTAATCGAAGGTCGAGTGGAATGAACAAGCTGGTTTACGAAGACGGCAATAATAAAAGCAATGACCAGCGAATCCAACAAACGAGTGAAAGTGTAGACGCCTGCAATGGGTGTAAAGAGAACATTAGCATTGATGCCAAGAACAAAACAGAAACAGCCGAGTGAATGTACCGTCGAGGAAATAGAAAACAAAAACTGCAATAACGAGTGGAAGGGTGGTTGCTTTAAATGTCATGGAAGTCTTGTCAGATGAAACAAGAAAGGGAAAGTGAATATGACATGAAAGAATAAAAAGAAGAGTTGTTATTACCAAGAAGAACAGGTGAGCTTGAATTTGATCTTTCTCTTTGGAGGAGGTGGATCGACGCGGGAGGGGTTATTGTTGTGCAAGGGATGTACAGGCTGACATTGGTTCTTGCTCAGTTGTTGGGGCATTGAAAACCATCATCCAAAGGTGAATCTTGAATGACAGTGGGCTTCCATGCAATACCTGGCAGCGTAAATACAGCCTAAAGCTTCTTGATTAATACTACTACTGCTGCTGCTGCTGCCGATGATGCTGATGATGATGATCCCATTTTACCTGCAAGGTGATATTAAGTGCAGGTGGTGCAGATACACTAATCTTTTGAGGACCACAGGCATTATACAAATGCTCAAATGTGGGATCTTTTAAAGAAGGCGTTTCATATTCGACATCAAAGAGCATGGTGAGCTGGGTATCGGTACGTGGCGATAATACAAGGTCTGTTGCATAGGATCGTGCAAAAGGCTGTTTAGTATCATAATCTGCCAAGACAACGTCGAGTCGATTCACCCGAGTGGGTATGAAATTATCTTGATTGCCCAACGTGACATTGACAAGCCAACTTGTTCGTAACCATGGATGTTGTTGATCAGGTCCCCAATCGGTCGCGTCTTCTGGTCCTCGAGCTCTACCCACTGTCCCTTGCCCAGCCAATTTGATTTGAGGTGTTCGTGGCCAACACACAAAGGTCGCAACAGCACCAAGCATTAACAGAATACAAAGGATGATGATAGCAGCTATTTTCCTAGGTGATCGTTGTCGTGTATTGTATCGTCGAAAATCGGTCAATGATGCTGCTGAACATGGTCCTTTCCGTGCTGTAGCAGGAATAGCTGTTTCTTCGTTTAAGGTGGTTGGATCTGTAATAAAGCTTCCCAAATGATGACTCGAAGTGCTATTGGGTGGGTGCAATAGGCTCTTGGTTCCCATCTCCTCTTCCACGTATAAAGCATGATCTCGTGTTTTTGATATATCAAGTGCATGATTGCTGTATGGCAAGTACGAGTGTGTACGACCTGATGGCTCTTCCAATGCCAAGGTTACGGCAACTGAAATATCGGATGATGTCTTTATATCATTATTGTTTTGTTTTCGATTGCTGGCTGGCACATAAAGAAATGATGATCTGAGGTGAGGGAAGTCGATAATCAACAACCAACAAGGTCATCCCTTTGTTTCATGCTAACCTTCCGATGGCCTACGACAACGATATGGATCATGTTCTATATGCTCAGGTACCTTGGTAGAGCAATCGTATGGAGGTCGCATGTATTTACAGCAGCTGTATGATTGGAAAACCAGTGGTCAAGATAGCCACAGAAGGGATAGAAATATATACGGCAAAAGGATGCTGCATGCCTCCTACCTCCTCACTACCAGCATACACCCATCTAGTTTTTTTATTCTCCCTCTCAGCGCTTTCGTTGCTTCTGTGTAGCTTACAAGGCATGTGGTGTCCCTCTCATTTCTACTCCTATCATTCTTTCTTTCTTTGCACATCCATCAGCGACAACTTGCAATGGGCTCGTCAAGAACATATCTTACAAAACACCCTTTCCAAGAATAATCCCGCTCAATGCATTGCTTATCGTTGTCTCAGTTGATTTGTGTACATCGCTTCAATTTTGCTCAGGATCAAAAGGGGAGGTAGTGGTGAGCTGACTAATTAATCCATCCCCCCCTCAACTCCCATCTCCTTCCATGCAGCAGGAAACCATCCCACTTTTGCAAAAATAAGTGGTGGGAAATAGATTATCATTACAAAACAATCCAGCTGCAAAGCTGATACTCTTGGTTGTCCATCCCGTTCTTATTCAGATAGCTTGTGGGCGATACATGAATTGTGAAAACAAGAACCCTTGTACACCTTAAGATTGAGCACTGGTTAAAGTTGTATGCATAGGTGAATGCGTGTACTATGTAAACGCGGAGCCATTTTCCGAGGGAGATCTTCTTTCCCTGCACTTGAGCATCAAATTTGACATATTCGGTGTATTCACCTCCTGGAATGTCATGCAAACGGGCTATCGGAAGTGCTGTTCTTAAAGCAATGTACATCATAATGCACCGGTGCCATTGTTATAGTAATACATACGAATTTCCAGATCTTCATCAAAACCCAACAACCACTGCTTTATAAGTTTGCTTTGATATAATACCACTTGTCATCCTTCCCTTCAACTATCGGTTCTACAGCTACTGGGGGAGGAGTTGCCTGTAACAAAGCATGAGCGACATGCATTTTGCAATTGATAGTATAGCTTACCTTGCTTTTTTGAACCGGCTTTACATTATAAGGTGAATCATGAATAGTGATATTCGATCTATAAAAGATACCATCCAATAAGTCTTTTTGTCACGTATACAACCATCAAGGAAACTTACACATTAATATCATGCGTGTCAGCCTTTGCTGGTATCTTGCCCTGGATAAGCTTCTTCCAAGCATCGTGGGTTTCATGAATCACATGAGTAGCGTAAACCTTTCCATCGGAACATGAGTCGAAAGAAGCTCCTTGTGTGACACACACGCACATGCACCACTTACTTTATCCTTGCATGCACCCTTGAAAGCAAACTTATTAGCAGGCTTTCCATCTGGCATCTTGTAAACCTTGAACCAATGCCGAGTTGCACCAATCAGTCCAGGAAGGTATTTCTCCACGTCATGGATGTCTATTGGTTGCAGCAGCAGCAGCAGCAGCATAGATCAATTTTGGGTTCCTGATATTCACGTGCAACTTACCATTTAATTTATCCGCCATGGGATCCTTTACATCAATAGCCAACACCTTCCAATCGGTTTCTCCTTCATCCAAAAGTGCCATCACACCAAGCACTTTGACTTGCTTCACCTGGCCAGGATAACCGATTTGCTCTCCAATCTCACACACATCGATAGGATCATTGTCGCCACGTGCTTTGGTATCGGGGTGCACCGATGTTGGATCCTCCCATGTCTACAAATATCATCATTAGTAGTGAGAGACATGGATCCGTTTGTTGATAGTATCATTCATCATTACCTGTGGCAAGCATCCGTAATTCCAAATATAACCCTTGTATGGGAAGCAGTTGCGAACGAATCGAAGTTTGCCTTTCTTCATATCTTGTTTCAGAGGGTTGAATGCTTCTCCAGTGGCAATCTAATAAGCACCGATCAGCACACGCATGCCAACTCGTCCATTCCCCAAACGTTCGTTACCTCTACTTTGGCATTGGTCCACCGAGGGATCTCGACCACCATGTTGTAAATGGTCTTTTCAGCATTGGCGAAGAGGGGAATGTCGTGGAAGGGAGAGATAGTTATGCCGTCCTTTTCTATCAAAATAAATTTAGTGGGGGGAAAGGCGAGAGGAGGGTGGGTGATGAATGATATTGATAGAGTACTTACGGACATGAAGACGATATGAAGGACTGTAAGGTTGGCCACTAGCAGCCACGGTATAAGGGGACATGATGCAAAAGAGAAAGAAAGGAAATGAAGGTAGTGCTTGATGGGCGTGCAGTATTAAGATTTCTGCTTACGAGAGCAGCACGCGATGCTATGGACTAGGAAGTCTATTTGACTCAGCGCTCCTCTTTAAAGCGAATCATGCGAAACTTACTCACAAGCTCATCATCCGATTACATCTACTACTCTATCAGCTTTGCATGCTGTTAACATGAAAAGTCTTCTCCATACCATTGCATTGTACACAAAAGGTTTGCTCCCCATCATCCATTACATACTATGCAGGCTTGTGAGTCGACTTTGTTGTAGTGGAACGTTGAGCCACAATCGATCCCGCTTATATAGAACTTTGTCTTTGATCGATTGGGATCATCATCATCATGCTAATAGTTTTCCATATTCATGGCATGCATGACATGTAGTATGATGAGATTAAAATGGCAGTAGCTAAACAACAATCCAAACAAAGACCCTGCTAGCTTCATTGTCTTGGACCATGCATCTCGTGTGAAATTCCCTCGAGATTTATTGTAGCGTGTATCAAAACGATATCTAAATGCTTGTCGACCCTGTGTGATAGTTGCATACAAAGAATTCTATGCTGCTCCTGCTGCTGCCAGACATTGCCGAGTAAGCTTGTGACTGCAGCCAATCGCCGACAACTTGACATCTTCTGTCTATGCGACATCCCAGCAGCTTGACCACGTCTCTTGTTAGCACCGAATGGAAAGTACATGGTCTCAAGTACAGAGCATATGCGATCCAGCCATTGATAATGCAACTCCTGTAACGGCATTGTGTTGGGATCCCTACTTTGAGCTTCTTTGGGTGGGCAATGACAACGTAAGTTTTTACTGCAGCACTCGACATACACACGCACGCCCCATCGCCCACACACGTCCACAACCTACTCGTTTTCCCTACCCTCCATTGGACTCATGGCGGATGTTTTATATAGGGCCGTGTCACCTCGTACTATGGCAAAGGTCTTCAACGATACACGTCTTTCAAAGCACACAAAAATGAGCAGATTCGGCAGATTCGACTTACCGATCGAGGCATTATCAGCATCAGTCCAAAGAGTATACAAATGCGTGACCGACGTGGTCTCGTGAGGTTCAACATTAGGTATAGTGGTATCATAAAAGTGATATAAGCTATGGGCTAAATGAACGGGTTGATATAGCAACGAGCAGACGACCGATTTGCATTGTATGACGACCAAGACACTCACCAACAACAGCGAGCTTCTGGTAGCTGGTCAACAGGAAGAGATGCTCGTTATCAACATGGCACGTGGATCCATTACATCAACTGTACCTGATACATCCAACATTGTGGTGATGAGGAACATGGCAAGATCTATATGCTGTGGATCATTATCGGGCGAAGTGACTATGCGAGATACGAGGACAATGCGAGTTGAACAAAGGATACAGGCTCATACGGCAACGCTCTCTGATCTTGATGTATCTGGAAACATTCTTGTAACATGTGGATTCTCACAAAGGTAAATGGCATTTTGAAGGTGTTTATGGGAGTGATCTCTAACGGTGTGTGTGTGTGTATTAGACAAAATTCCCTCGTCATTGATCCATTGGTCAAAGTCTATGATGTTCGCATGGCAGCACGATCATTGGCACCCATTCCTTTCCCTAGCGGCCCCATGTTTCTTCGAATGCATCCCACTCTCAGTACGACGTGCCTTGTCGCTTCTCAATCCGGTCAATTTCAAATGTGCGACGTATCCAGTTTGGCAATGGGCTCTTATGCACCACCAGCACAGTTTTTCCAAATCCAAAGCTCCAGCTATATTACTGCTATGGATATGTCAAGCTCTGCTCAAACCTTGGCATTCGGCGATGGTGCAAGTTTCGTTTACCAGTTCGCTGACACTGACAACTTTGATATCAACCCCTATTCCATGCCATTGACAACACCCGATGCCGTTCCTCAACCCAACGTGGCAATGGCCGATGATAGGTAAATGTCACACACATACAAAAGAGATGGCTAGGAAAACCTTGTACTAAATCATATCACCCAAAAGTCCTCTCTCATCGGTAGGTATGCCCTATTACACGGAGCCATTGTTATCTACTTGGACCACACATTCAGTATTCGAAGCCGGCTGTCCACCGCCCCAGATTGATGATGAAATGATACGCAGCATGAAAAAGATCGATTTTGTTGGATACGCACCCAATCCTGGCAACATGCGACGCAATCAGGCACCCAAAAAGAAACGCACCACCAAAGAAAAGCGCGATGTTCCCAAGTTTCGATCAGAGCAAGAGCGTGAATTATTATCCTCCAGCAATGTCATCTTGGATGAACAAGGCGAACCACATGTACGTCTTTTTATATATTCACTCGTTTCCCTGATGGATATGCTTTAACACTACAATGACAATGATAGCATACCGGCCGACGATCTTCATCCGTGGGCGATTTACACATCAACGATCCATTCGCTCTCACTATGCCAAAACATTACCAACGTGTGGAAATCCAGTACAGCAAATTTGGTGTTGAGGACTTTGATTTTGGGTAAGTATGAGTGGATGTGAAATAACACAAAGGAAAAGTGTATTGAATGAATGCATTATTAGCTATTACAATCGTACAAGATACGGTGGTCTCGAGACACACATCAGGAATTCATACTGCAACTCTCTTTTGCAAATGCTATTCTTCGTCAAGCCGCTACGCAACGTTGCCATTTCTCATATCAAGACATCTTGTCCCCGAGAGCATTGTCTCTTATGCGAGCTTGGATTCCTTTTCAGAATGCTTGAGGATTCCAAAGGACAGAATTGCCAGGCAACCAACTTTTTGCGTGTCTTTAGTACATTTCCACAAGGTAATGTTTTACGACGTCAATGGCTCATGTATGTAACTAATGATATGATTAGCTGAAGTCCTAGGATTATTGGAACCAGAAACACCCGATCACAAGACGTCTTATTCGATGATGATTCAAACGTTTATGCGATTTCTTTTGGAACAACTACATCAAGAGATTGATCAAATGAGGGATAATCCATTAATATCATCAGCATTATGTCTCGACAACACCAGCAATGACCCTGCTTCCTCGTCACTTCCACCTCCATCCGTGATACAACAAATCTTTGGTCTTCAAACGCTTAACCATAGCAAATGCAGCGGCTGCAACCATGAGCTTTCACGAATCACGTATCCATTCGTCATTGACATGCTATATCCAAAGAAGGATCAAAAGATGCGGAAGCGATCATTTACCAGTATCTTAAAGGGAAGCATGTATCGAGAGAACCAGACCAAAGCATGGTGTATCAATTGTCGACAATATCAACCCATGGCGATCAAAAAGGTCATCCAGGCTTTACCACCTTCGTTGTTGATCAATTCGGGTGCTTTCAAAGCAGAGGATACTGCCATGTGGCGACAAAATGGACCCAATATGCCCAAGAAACAGCCATCAAGCGATGCTGGTAGTCAAGAAAGCGATAGTGGCACCGACACAAATGCACATCAATCTTCATGGGTGCCAGAAAGGTAAATGAGGGATGGGTTGTGTGTGTATGTGCGTGTGTGTGTGACACTCTAACATGAACGTATATCAGGTTTGGTGTGTACATCAATGGCACAGAGATTGTTCTCAAGGCATTGCCACGAGGAAAAGAGATACCCCCAGAATTCAACCAGTCCCCAAAGATGTGTGCCATCTATGAGCTTTCGGTAAGCGTTGTTATGGATATCCAGTTCTTTGTCATTAATGCGATTCGATTTTTTAGTCTACAATTTTGCAAGTCAATGCTGATGAAGATGAATCGCACCTTGTTGCTCAAGTGAAAGGTAAAGAAGCGTATGTCTGTTGGTGATGAATCAACTTTTGACCTTTGCATTTAATCTAGTCCCTGATGTTGAACGAGACATGGATGACAAGAGCCCCTGGTACCTCTTTAATGACTTTTTGGTTCGGAGGATTCGAAAAGAAGAAGTGCTTTCATTCAAAGGAACATGGAAGGTAAGCCATCCACATAAACACAATCCATCAATGATGCTAATCACTCTTTGTGCAGACACCATGTGTATTGCAGTATCGACGAGTGGATAGCGACGAGATATTGGATTTCAGCTCTCTTCCATCTGAAGTGGATTATTCGCTCTTGTTTGAAGATCGATCCATTGCAAAGTATGTATAGAAATCGGTTATGGATATCATATCATTAACGAATGCATCAATAGGAATCCACCAGAGAATCCTTTACATCGCGTATTATCACCAACAGAGATGCCTCGCAAAGGCACGTTAGTTGCGATCGACGCTGAGTTTGTTGCCTTGAACCAAGAAGAGACCGAGATTCGTAGTGACGGCACCAAGTCTTTGATTCGACCAAGTACTTTGATGCTTGCTCGTGTTAGCGTCATTCGTGGCGAAGGACCTGACGAAGGTGTACCATTTATCGATGACTATATCTCAAGTACAGAAAAGGTGGTGGATTATCTTACAGAGTTTAGCGGCATACATGGTAAGTTAGGTGTAATTGATTCTTTGTGCATGTAACTTATCATGGTTGCAGCCGAGGATCTGGATCCGAACACAACACGACATACATTGGTGCCTCTCAAGATCGCATACAAAAAGTTAAGAATGTTACTGGATCTGGGATGTATATTTATTGGCCATGGTCTTGCAAAAGACTTCCGTACCATCAGTAAGTAACGCCTTCTTCCATCGTTGTAATACATAGGCTTATACTATGTTGGTATAGATATCTTGGTTCCTCCTGAACAAATCATTGACACCGTTGACATTTACCACATCCGAAATCGTCACAGGTATGGATACATGTGCTGTCTATTGGTCAATAAGCTAACCCTTGATTAGGAAAATATCACTACGTTTCCTTGCATGGCACTTGCTCGAACAAAATATCCAGTCTCACGGCCATGACAGTATTGAGGATGCTGAAACGGTAATACAGCCATAGTACAGGAAAGGGAGGGCACAATACTCAACATGCTTTATGATGATAGGCTCTCATTCTTTACAAAAAGTATCTCAAATATCGGGAAGAAGGAAAGTTTGGCCAGGTGCTTGAGGAGATTTATGAAGCTGGTCATCGTGCCAATTGGTTAAAAGGAACTCGCGAGACGTTATCACGGACACCTAGTGCCATCTTATCACCGAATCCTAGTCGGCCCACCTAAGTGATGAATTACTCATTCCACAACGCATACCTTCTCCTTCTCCCCCTCCTTCTCCTCCTCCTCCTTTTCTTTCCTTCCTATCTCTCACACTGTTATTCCGCTAGTAATCGGCAACTAATATTGGGCTATCATAATAAAGCAATGTACAGTTCATAACCAAATTCATACGTACAGCTTGGGGCTCATGACGGAGCTACACTAAAGTCAACTCTAATATGACATGGGATGATCGTCGTCGTCTAATAAAGATATGCACCCGTGACATTAAAATAGCTGCCGGCATAATGAGATGCATTGTGTAACCTTGTATATAGTGTTTCCAGCTTTTGGGATATGAGATGTGTTTAAGCATGCATATGTAGCCAGCCTTGGAAAATACCCATTGTTGTGCAGCGGATATAATTCATCCATTGTGGGCTGAACGGTGGGAATTAAATGTATTGATGACTAACAAGGCGCCCATCACTTAAGCATGGAATACACAAGAATCGCACACGCATACACACACACGCACTCATCACACTTGGAAGTACAAGCACACCCTGTAATGATGAATAGGCATCAATTGGTTTATTGAAGTATGTCATGGGTGATTCACATAGAGAGCTACAAGCCATTGCATGCACAAACGGTGGGTAATGTGTGATTTTGTGCGACAACTTTAGAGGGCCACCACCACTGCGATCTTTTCCTTTGCTTTCTTTTATCCCTTGTGTATCAACTTTTTTCGTGTTCTTTTTCAGTGGAACCCCCTTCCAATGTACCCGATCGTAGACATTCTCTTTACTCATTCAGGCGTCTCGATGGTAGAAGCAGCTTCCAGATGGGTCATTTCAGCATGGTAGAATAAATTTTTAAGTGGGTTGGTTGATAGTGCACCCCCGTCGTCGTCTTTGTGTGTGTGTGTGTGTATTGGGACCCTGCTCTCTTTCACTTTCTCTTGCTTCCTTTCCCCGCGCTACTCCAAAAACCCGCCTTGTTCTTGGCTTACGTTAATCTTTTTTCTTCTTCCTTTCACTTTTACTCTTCCCATTCTTTCCACACCTCTTCCTTCCCTTCTTATGTCGAGCCCTCCTTTTATAGAGTCTCCTCAAACACCATCATCCTCTTTTAATCCATCAGCCGTTGACTCTTCATCCACTATACCAGCAGACGACTCGTTTTCTGAAGATGGTTATAAGCAGTTAAAGCGCAAGCTGCGGGAAATCATGGAGGTCAGCCTTTTGTTTGATTGCACCAGCGTGACGCGTGTGCACACAATAACTCATACGTGCATTATTGTATATGTACAATAGATCAACGATTCCATGTCCAAACAATACATACGAGCCAAAAAGAAAATTCGGACACTGACTTTTGAGCGAAAGTAAGGAAGAGGAAGAATGAGAGTGGGAGAGAAAGAGAGGGAAAGAGAAATGTGTATGGTGATGTTTGAGGGGGAGAGAGATACTTAATTTCTTTTTTTAGTGTGCTATTGGACAACATTGGACGAACGGATACATTATCGGATGACGACAGCAGCGATCTACCAAGTGGATTATCAGATGCTGATAGCGATTTAGATGAATGTAAGTAACATAAAGATGATCATTGATTAAAGGAGTGGGGGGAGTGGATGCTTACAATAAACCCAACCCACTTGTTGTAGTATTGCCATTACATTCTTCTTCTAAAGCCATCCGACGCCGTGTGACATCGCAACCCAGCTCCTCAGCCTCTCCTATCGAAAGCCCTTCTCGGAAGCAAACGCGTGACATGGCAACGGTCGCGTCTGCACCCCCAAAACGATCCAAAATTTCCCGTGTCGCCGTAAAAACTCGCCGTGTACAACCTATCGATCGTGATGAAAATGGTCAACCACGGCTACCACAACAAATTGGCGTCCTTACAGTACATGATTTGGGAAGGATCGTTAGCGACCGTGACTCTTTTCACAATGAACGTTATATCTTTCCTGTTGGTTACACTGTTAGCAGGTAAAAAAGATGATGAAGGAATGGGCACACTTATGGTTGACACGTAAAATAGAACGTATCCAAGCATGGTGGATCCTGCCAACAATACCGTTATTACATCAACCATTTTGGATGGTGGTGATGGACCACGTTTCCATGTGGTGGCGGCTGATATGCCCGATCAACCAATCATTGCCAATTCAGCTACAGGTGCCTGGACAGTGGTTGTGCGACGATCAAACGAAATCCGTAGCCGTGAACACTCTAATTCTGCTAGTGGACCTGATTATTATGGCTTTAAGCATCCTACCATCGCCAAGCTTATTCAAGATCTACCAGGCACTGAAAAGTTACGTTATTATGTGGCACAGAACTTTGAGGAAATGGAACCACGTGCAGCAAAAGGTGTGATGGCAGCAGCGGTAAAGAAACGATCCAACATTGAACAGCTTGGAAATGCAAATAGGCGAGCACCAAGGGAAGATGAAAGTGGCAGTAGTACAGGAGGTGGACCTATTGGTGATGAGATGGTTATTCAAGATAGCGAAAATACATCCGTTGTATCATCGGCAGGAGGAAATCAAGATGAAGAAACTACAACAGCTCCCAAAATGCACAACTTGTTATCATCATCGACATCACCACCACCCAATGTATCACCATCATCATCATCAACATTACCACCCATTAATCCATCATCTGATTTGCAACCACCACCACCAGCACAATCATCTACACAACCTTCTCAGCAAACCATCTTGCCATCATCATCCGAGTTAGCAGCAACAACAACAGCACCACCACCTCCACCTCCACCTTCAATGCCAGTTGCACAGGATCCTGATAATGATGTAAATATGGTGGATGACGAGGTTGATCAACTCGAGCCTAGTGATGAGGAAATGGAATGAACAAAGCCAGCAGACTACATACATCAAAACACGCCAATACATATTACAACTTATAGCAGCGCATTCTCTGTATCAGATTCAGTCGCCACGTACTTTTTTACAGCAACCCACCATCACGCATGCATATACTTTATATATACAACACACGCCTCCTCTCCTTTTCTTTTTCTTACAACAAGTAGTATAGTTTATTTGGGATACACACGCACAGCTCATTTCAATATACAAATTTATTTCGACCATCGTTGTATAATTCATAATGAAATTCTCTTCTTCAAACATCAAAGATCACTTGTACATCCGCATTGCTTGTTTTGGCTACGAGGTTTCCTTTATCACGTTTCGATCGATATCCTTGTTTTGTGCTTGTCTCCTCCACGTCATAATGAAGCTGATTCTTGACATCCTCTACTTTGGCCGTGCTGAAGGCCGAAGTGCTTACCAAGAATGTGCCTTCGTATTCGGTTGTCTATCCATATGACACGTATGTTAATAAAAGAAAGGAGAGGAAAGGAGTGTACGTTGTACACAACAACATACCACATGGGCAGTGATCGGCCCATTACTGGATTCAAGGTTGAGTTGAGCATCTTTTTCAGTTTGCAATTGTGCCACTTGAATGTATGCATTGGATGTTTTGGCAACAAAGGATGCTACATCACCACCAGCACGTGCAATATCGATTGCGCCATTCGAATTCTCAATGACCACTGTGGCTGCATTGATACTGCTATCGACACGCACTTGATCATTGGCGGTATGCAGGCTCACCTTGTCATCGGCAATGAGATCTTGGGCCATGATGCTTCCTGAACCATCCACAAGCATATCAATAGAATGTTTGCTGGTGATCGTATCCACTGTGATGGCAGCATTGGATGTATGCAAATCCACACTATCGGCTTTCTTGACAGGTTGATCCAATTGGATGTTACCGTTGGATGATTTGAGACGTAATTCCTTGCCTTCGAATGCACCAAGCATATGGATTGGGCCATTGGTAGCGTGCACATCAACAAGATCCATGTTTTCAAGGGGGTCAAGTAACTGCACTTCCACATTCGGCACAGCAACACGTAGCGCTTCACCTTTTTCTGGTAACCAAATATCCATATCGACCTCGACACATACATCACTCTCTTGAGGAGGGAGCTTTATGGATAATTGGGCATCACGTCCTTGATGATATGAGTATGAAAGAGATGATAAAGCTGTTGGCGGGGCAACGCGAAATCGTGCTTGGACCGATCCCGAGTCGCCAGATTGCTGCAATCGATGCACCATCACACGACCCCCAGTCACTTTGCCTTCTACGGAGACATCAATGTTCTTTTCAACAGCAAGCTCGTGAGGTAAATCATCCCAATAAACAGCAGAGAGCCCTTCGCATGAAATCAATGGAGGTGGTGTTGTGGATGAACCAAGATCACTGTACTTCCAAACCGCCAACGCAATAAACAGGGCAAGCAGTAGGTACTTGGCCCATCGTTTGCAACGCCGTGTCACCACCCTTGGTACATCATGATCATCATCATCGTCGTCATCATCACTACTATCACCGTTGCCATGGCTACCACTACCAGCAGCTGCTTTCTTGAATAGCTTTTTTAGTCGTTGACTCAACGTCTTTTGTTTCTTGTTCTTTTGGTTTCTTGGTGGTGCTTGTGCTGGTGATGGTATTTCGTGCCTGTTGGAAGAGGATGAGGATGGGTATTGTTGTTGTTGTTGTTCTCCACCAAGAGCTCCATACGTCATAGGAACAGCAGTAGCCGTGCTACGTGTAGGATGGTTCGAGGGTGGTGGTGAGTAAGGTGGTGGAGGTCCAATAGGTGACGCTGTCACTTGGTCAGGTTTATGCACAACCACCCCGCTACTTGTAGTAGTAGTAGTAGTTGTAGGCTTGGCATCACCCGATCCACTGGATGATGATGATGGTACATAATCTATCTCAGCCAATGTCATGAATATACATGTTTTGAATCCAGTCTTTTATGTGCCAAGCACCTGTTGTGTTGTAATAATCTTTGGGGTTCTGTGACATTGTGTGTAGAAACAAAGGAAAAAGAAACCAAGAAACTAAAAAAAAGGAGAAAGTTCTTTTTGACTTGGCGAATGTGTGTGCCTGGAATTTTTGCTAAGACATTTATGGGACATTATTTGTTACAGTGGAAACCATTGTTTATGCATGATACGAAACAGAGGTATGCTAATTAATCTTTTTCTAAGGATGTATGATCAATGTTCAAATGGTCATAGACAGCTACTTGGAGTTGATACGTCGAGTGTCCATCCACAACCATGTCTAATGCTGTTGCTAATGCGTGCACGGTGCGTGTATGTAAATGATTGCGTTTCTCTAATGCTTCAAAATCATCCCACGGGCGCTCTATCCTCCTTGGTTCATGTCCCAGGTATTCCACTGCAGCATTGCATGCTTGATCACCAAGACCCGCTTCGGCCAGAGCAACAATGTAACGATTCCAATTGTGCTCGTCAAATGAATAGGATTGCTCCGTCAACTCTGTCCATAATCGCTGAACATCATCGATGCGTTGTTGAGATGCGAGAGTGTCAAGGTAAACTGATAATGCAAAAGGAGAGGCGGAAGGTGTTGGAGGAGCCGCTGCCAATAGCTGCACAAATCGGTTATTGCTGTCACCGTGCATATGGAGTAACTCGGTCGTTTTGTATTCGATTTCAGGCAATGGGAGGGAAATCTCCTTCATATCAGGATCCACACTGCTCATATCCAAGGCTTCTGCTGATCGCTGGTGCCAATGTTCCCATAACTTTTCCACAACGTCGTATGCACCTTGCTTCTGATACAGCGTCATAATCGATACGTAAGCCGTCTCGCTCACCGAAACACCAAGCTGCAACATGGTACGTACTAAAGCTTTGGCTTTGGTATAGTTGTCATTGTCGGCATAAGCATCGATGAGTGGTGTAAAGAGATGAGGCGGGGGTATCTGTACCGAACGCTGTGCTTTTCGTTTAAGCAAATCATCAATCGTAAGTGGAAGTCCATCGCTGTACAATTCGGTTGACAAGGCTCGTTTGTTGACATCCGCTAAAACTGGAGACGTGTCACTGCTGCTGCTGGATGTGGATGATGGGGTGGGTTGAATTCGCTCAAGGCCTTGATCAAGCACCCTTTCAGCCAACGTCAAATTGCCTGCTTCAGAGCTACCAGCCATCAAGACGCTCAATGTATGAAAGTTGGGCCTTGTATTCTCTTCCAACATTCGCTCCAATACACGTACACCTTCATTGTAACGGTCGCTATGGAAATAACCTTGCATCACTGATGTCCAACATGCCGCATCGGGTGTCACTTGGTTGTTGCGCATTGTATCCAATAACGATTCCACAGCATTCATCTCCTTACGCTGTGCAAAATAGCGAATGAGAAGAGAATAGGTATATTCATTCATCTTGATGTAGGTCTTCATCATTTGCTTGTACGTGTCCAACACAAGCTCCATCTCATTCATCCCCGTGTACCCATACAATAACGCATTGAATGTCCGGATGTTGGGTCGTCGCTTCGTTTTCAGATGCTTAAACACCTTTTGTGCACCTTCAATATCACCAGCCTTCGCATATGCTTCCAAACGAGCTGTTTCAGCTGCAATATCCCATGGGAGGCCGATTTCTGTCATCGAATCGATCATCTTTTCCACACTCGTAACATCCCCTTCATCAGCAAGTCGACCCAATATAGGCATAAAAGTCTGAGCACTAGGCTGGATATCCGCTTGAATCATGAGATCGATCAAACGGAATGCTTTGGCTGGTTCGTTTCTTCGTACAAAAGATCGAATGAGCAAGTTGTAGACTTCTTCATTGGGTGCCGGCTTTCGCTTATCTCTCATCACACGTAAGACATCCAAAGCTGATTTAGCGTCGTTGTTGTTGATGAAGCATTCGATAAGCGATGAGTGGATGTGTTGATTGGGTGCGATGTGATGCTCGTAAACCATGTCGTGATAAAGATGGCGAACCATGTCGAGGTCACCATGCTTGGCGAACATGTCAATGAGAGGGCCGAGGGTGGTGATATCGGGTTGCAATCCAAATTCCTGCAAGAGCTCATACATTCGACTGGCGCCTTGTAAATCAGGTTCAGGAAGCTTGTGTGCATGAATATCGATCAACGCATTGAATGTCACCAAATTGGGAACAAGCTTCTCGTCCTTGACCATCTCATCCAATAGCTCAAGTGACCGCCCGATGTTTCCACTTCTTCCAACCTTGTGAATAAGGGCTGTGATCATCTTGACGTCTCGTTTCATCCCCTTCTTGACCATCATATCATTGACTTCCAATGCATACTCTGCACGACCCGCACTGGAAAAGTAAAGCACCATTTCTCGATACAATGAAGGATCCAATTCCACTGTCTTGCCACCAACATTCATTCCCAATTTTCCCCAGAACCAGTTCCAGACTGTTTCCACGGAATCATATGATTGGCCCCAAGCGCGTATGTTCTCCACCAGTAATCGTGTCGTTGCATTCGATGGAGGGACACCCAAAGCGATCATTTCATCATACACCTCCATGGACTTTGTTGCTACTCGCTCCGCACCGACACTCTGTTTATGTTGTTGATACATGTTCAAGACAATGTTGAAGGGCTTTTGGGTATCACCATCGACAATGAGGATCTTGCCTTCCTTGAGATCATCAAATACTTGTTCCATCTCCTCCAATTTGCCATTCATTCCAAGCAATCGCATCAATAGCAGCTTCTCTTTCCTTCCCAACGCATAGCCGATGGTCTCCATGTCATGCGCAATCTCCAGGAAATAATTGAGACCTTGGGTATGATTCAGCTGGTGAGGATATAATCGAAGAAGATCCTTGTACTGATCGCGTCCCAGATAATGAAGCATGTCACGTGCTTTCAAATCATTGTAACATTCCCATGCCAGCATCGGATTGTTGACTCGCCGTAACGCATGGAACATGACATTGATAAGTGTACTCGCTGTCGATGATGCCGATTGTTCTAATGCTGCTGTAAGCACAACACTCGATGGGTTCTCATTGTCATCCATAAGCGCTGCTGCTCGTCTCGCTGCTTTGCCTGACATGGTGCGTCCACTGTTGAAGGAACATGGTAATAACCAGTCGTGCTGATACAGAGGTCGTAAAGAAGAAGCTGCAGTTGAAGAATGGCGCTGCGAAGCATGACTACTCGATGCGTGCATTGTGTATCGTCGTCGAGCAAACGCATGACAGGTGGTGGTTGCCTTGCATTGATTCTCCTTGACAAGTTGTTGACATATTCGTGTTGCAACGTTACTATTCTTCATTCGTCCACTTTTCTTTTTGGAAATGGAAGTAAGTAACAGGGGTAATGGAGCGTGTATCGTGTTTACCTTACAATGCCTGCAGGTCGTTGCTATGGTCAAGGTTAACATGGCCTGACTTATTTGTTTCTCCAAAGAAAATTATGGGCTATGCCACCCACCGCGGAGGAAGAAAAAACAGCCGTCCAACCATGAGCGGCGGCTTGTCCGAATATCACGTGACATCTTTGTCCCCCCTTCCACAATGAACCCTGGCAGCCATTGTTACTAATCATAAAGAACAAATCGAATGATAACGAATCATTGAGAACATCGATGGTTGGCACCACATTCATTTATCTACACATGCTCATAATAAAAGATCATCCCTTTTAATGGTGTTGTTGTACATTGAAAAGTTGCCTATCAAGCTACATACGAGACATAACGCTATGTGAGATAGTAAAAGCATGTGTGGAATCATTCTTGATGTGTGTATCCCAATGTCACAATGATAATGAGCGTGGATGGTGGATGACTGATTAAATCAAGAGGAAGCTTATCAAAGTATAACAAGAACTCATTAAACTCATGCTCGATGTATGCCATTGAGGAGGGCTATGAATATAGGATAGTGGATGTAATGGGTATGATGCAAGGTGCCATGATGCAAGTGAAACGCCAGATCGACGGCTGTTTGGTGGGATAGGCAACAACGTCGCCTGGCAAGTCCGCAAAGTGGGGGAGAGCCATCTCGCACTTCCTCCTTTATCCTGCCAAGAACAATTCCACTCACCTTTTGATTCCAGTGTTTGACACACATTCTTGTCTTTACTCTTTTACCTTACTACTTGTCACTTAATCTGGATTCCCCATTCTCCCCTTGTCAATTCCATGTCAAACTCGGAATTCCTTCAGGTATGCTTTGTCCATTCAACACTCTCCACCCCTCTTAATCCTGCAAACGTCGTATACAAGCAAGCACCTTGACTCAGCCTATTCCCCCACCTCCCCATCACGAGTCCAACTGAACAAACACCCTCTAACAACGACGTATCCATGTATTAGAAAGCGATTGATATCGTTAAAAAAGCAACAGACGAAGACCACAAGGGCAACTATCGAGAAGCCTATGGTCACTATCAGAATGCCCTCGACTACTTCATGACCGCTATCAAATGTAAGCTCTGATGGTGTATGGGGTGTTACATTCGGCATCGTCTCATAGGGCAACGCGCGTGTATTAGATGAAAAGAATGACCGTCTCAAAGATTCTATCCGGAAACGTTTCATTGAATACTTGAACCGTGCTGAGATCCTGAAGGAGTTCCTCGATAGTCAAGATGAAAAGAAGGACGAAGAAGTGGGCACCAATGGCACTACCAAGAAAAAGTAAGTGTGATACATACATGCATGCATACATGTTCTAACCTCTATGCTTATAGAAAGAAAGGGGTTGCCGAAGAAGACGATGACGATCCGGAGATGAAGAAGATGCGAGCCAACTTGGCGAGCGTGATCCTGACAGAGAAGCCCAATGTGCGCTGGAGTGATGTTGCAGGCCTAGAAGGTGCCAAGGAAGCTATCAAGGAAGCTGTGATCTTGCCTATCAAATTCCCTCATTTCTTTACCGGCAATCGCAAACCATGGAGAGGTATCTTGCTCTATGGTCCTCCTGGTACTGGTAAATCATACCTTGCCAAGGCCGTAGCCACTGAAGCCAATTCTACGTTCTTTTCGGTGTCATCATCCGATCTTGTATCAAAATGGTTGGGCGAGAGTGAAAGGTAAGGAGGGTGTGGAACCTCTGTTTTTTTTATTCTTGGCATGGAAGTATGGATATTGATCTCTTTTTTTATTGTATAGACTCGTCAAGCAATTATTCCAAATGGCACGAGAAAACAAGCCAGCTATTATTTTCATCGATGAGGTGGATTCACTTTGTGGTTCTCGAGGTGAAGGAGAATCGGAAGCTGCTCGCCGCATAAAGACGGAGTTCCTTGTGCAAATGAATGGTGTTGGCAATGACATGGATGGTGTCTTGGTGCTTGGTGCTACAAACATTCCTTGGCAATTGGATCTTGCTATTCGACGACGGTAAATTCATTCGTCAATGTGTGTGTGTGTGTCTATTCTCAATAGCTGATTGGATCCGATTGATAGCTTTGAAAAACGTATTTATATTCCCCTTCCTGACGCGCATGCAAGAGCAACCATGTTCCAATTGAATGTCGGCACCACACCCTGTACATTGACTGCCGCTGATTACAAACTCTTGGCCGATCGTACTGAAGGGTAATGTAGGATGTGTATATGAAAAGGGTCATGATCTCATATTGTGTACATGGATAGTTATTCGGGTTCGGATATTGCCATTTTGGTACGAGATGCTTTAATGCAACCTATTCGTAAAGTGCAAAGTGCAACACATTTCAAATGGGTAAGTAATGTGCCATAGCGACTTGATTCACATGCTAATTTGTATACGCAGGTGGAAGCACCCTCAAGGCAGGATACCAATACCATGAAACGCTACTTGACACCATGCTCACCTGGTGATCCTGATGCACAAGAAATGACCTGGGTGGACATTGAAGCTGAACAATTACATGAGCCCGACCTTACTTTGCAAGACTTTTTGAAGGCTGTCCAAAACTCCCGCCCAACGGTGAATGGCGATGATATCCAACAACATGTCAAGTTCACAAATGATTTCGGTACGTGTATCAATGTTGCCCCTTTTATATAGATAGATCCAAATACTTATATATGAGAATTGATTTATAGGTCAAGAAGGATAAATAGAAAGGAAGGGGATTGTGACATGTTAAATCGTAAAGCTAGCGAGGAAGAAGCCATTGTATGTGTATATGTGTGTGAATGAAATGTGTATGATTTATTCTTCGTCATCAATGCGGTATGCAACGAGGGCCGAGATCTTGTGTACTGAAGTTGAAAATGATTTTAAACGTACGTGTTCTCCTCCACCTTCAATAAGCTTGGGATCGCTATCTCCCCACGTGGTTGGTACATTCACATCTTGGTCCGTATGAACAAGGATATTTATGGTGCCTATAGACATACAATAGAATAAGCATCATCATCATCATTAAAAACACGAGTATTCACTTACAGTCATCCTGATCCAACTCGGGTAAAAATGTCACGCTTGCTGAAATTTGTCGCATAAGAGCACGGATTTGTTGCTGGGTGCTTTCGCTCACTGAGTTATCGACAAGCTCCATGTCCTCTGGATTTTCCTCTGTAGCAGTAATAGGCTCCACTGGTTGCACAACGTGTACATCAAACTGCCATCGCTCAAGGACGTGCCCAGTCTCTCTCGATTTGATCACCAATATCAGTTTGCTGATCTTGTTAGATTTCATCCAATCTAAAAGACATCATCAACATGAGATACAAATACGAATACAAGTACATTATCGATATGTATATATATACGCACCACGCACTTGACCGATGACTTGATCAATATAGTCTTTTAATTCAGGATTGGTCGTGACAAAGAGTGGTATTCCATATTTCTTGCTGATACGAAAGTCTTCTCGGGGGTATACTCCTCGTTGGAATAAGATACTATGGAAACCCAATGTCAGTGCCCATTCAAAAGCGCGTGTCGTTCGTTGCACGATCAACGTACCTATTGACACAGTATTCTTTCATGGCAGCAGATCCCAATTAGCTTCATCCATTGCTTGTTGAAGATTCACTATTATTCACTCACCAAAGAAGTCGACTACAACAGCGGTGGATCCAGACAACGAGATGGTCTCCATTTATCCTGCAACGCACTTGGAAAAGGAAAGAAGGGGATACCAAAATGAGGCGCTTGGGTCAGCGGTCTCCTCCTCTTTTGACACATCCAATTATGCATCTCTCGTAGACAAAAAGTACCCAGCACACACATACACACATATATAAATCATCTTTTGGATATCATGTTGTTTTCAAATATTGAATTGATTTATGCCGTGTAAGAAAAAAGAGGGAGTTTACTTTGCAGGGGGAGAGGGGAATGGTTGACTAGATCTTCTCATAATCCAACTTGGTTTCCAATTTCTTTGCATCTGCCATCTTGCGAACAGCCTTCATGAAATCTTCTTGGATACAGTAATCACGTTCTTCTCGAATAGCAAACATGCCTAATTACCCCCAATGATGATAAGCCATCCATCCTATAGACTCCTCATTTCTTGCCATCAAATTACGTACCTGCTTCTGTACACACATTCCGCAGATCAGCACCGTTGAAGCCGTCTGACAACTTAACAATGGCCTCATAGTCTATCAATCCCAATGTCAATACCATCATCATCATCCATGAATGAATAAATAGGACATTTACCTATGTCACCATGTTTTGTAATGTTGCCGGCATGAATCTTGAGAATCTCCATTCGACCTTGTTCATTTGGTAAGGGGATCTCGATTTTTCTATCCAGACGACCCGGCCGCAAAAGTGCAGGATCCAAAGTATCGGGGCGGTTGGTAGCCATGATCAACTTGGTCTGGCCAAGATAGTCGAAACCATCCATTTGATTGAGCAACTAAGAAAACAACAATAGATCAATCAATGGGCCCCATTCGAACACACGTGTAAAAGTTTGCCTACCTCCATCAATGTACGTTGAATTTCACGATCTGCTGAAGTACCCTCTGAAAATCTTCGACCACCAATAGCATCAATTTCATCCATAAAGATAATGCAGGGCTCATGTTCCTTGGCATAACCTAAGTAGTAGTAGAACTTGATTAACACACTATCCAACATGACAAAAAGCCGACGTACCAAACATTTCACGAATTAATCGTGCACTTTCACCAATATACTTGTCAACAATGGCACTGGATACCACCTTCAAAAAGTTCACGGATAATGTGCTGGCTACTGCCTTGGCAAGTAGAGTCTTTCCGGTACCAGGAGGACCATATAACAAGACACCCTTGGGAGGTTTGACACCCACACGCAAGAACAATTCGGGATTCAACAATGGTAATTCAATCACCTAACAATCAATCCACATGATCAATACACTCTACCTTGTATCTCTCTCTCTCTCTCTCTCTTCATCCACAAACTTACCTCTCTCAATTCTCGGATCTGTTCACCTAGACCACCAATACCAGCAAAACTGATATTACCAGGATCTTCCATAGACATGTTGTATACAAGAGGATCCACCTCGCGAGGCAAGATGCGCATGATTGTCAAGGTCGTCATATCAAGTGCCACACGTGCACCTTGCTTGAGCTTCTCCTTATCCACTGTGTTTCGGCATCCCACCACATAACGAGGACCACTTGTGTTCTTTACAATAACTATAGATATGAAGCGATCAATACATACACACGCGAGAGAGAAAAAATAAATGATAGAGCTTACATCGTTCATCGTCAAGCTGTTTAAGCACTTCACCAATAACTTGACCCACACTTTGAAGTGCCTTGATATCCTCTTCTGAACGGTCATATTCCTTCTCCAACGTTCGCAAACCGAGACGCACTATACACGATGGCAGTGATCGTTAGTGACATGGTGTCCCCATGAAGGAGGTGTGTGCATCAATAATAAGGCGTACTGTCTTTGAGTTTGGCATCGAGTTCGCGATGTTCCAGCAATTTTCGCTTGTAGCTGCTGAGAGCTCTTGCTTTCGGATCGGGGTCAGGTTGAGATGATGATCCTTGAACAGAGGACATTTTTGGGGAGTGGTTGTATATATGAGTGAGTGATAAAGGAGAAAGGGCGGTGGAGAGAGATATTCGTTCGTGCGTCAAGCAACCCAGGCAACGCGTCAGCAGCACAAATTCACCATTTGCTGGAAAGAGCTTTCTTTCACCGCCGCTGCCCAATGATGATGGCTTGCTGATTCCCGCATCCCCTTGAATCCTCGTTCATGCTTAGGATGTCAATAAATATGTTTTATCTTGCTTGCTATCTCCCCTTGGTCATAAAAGTACAGGATGTTCACAATGGATGGTATTATTTAAAGGTAATGGTCTTCTATGCATCTAATGGAGAGCTGTGTCCCACATACATATGGTCTTTTTCTTGTCGGCCGTATACAAGCATTCTCCTGATGGATTCCATGACACACCACAAATAATTCCACTATACAATATCCGTATTAAGAACTTACTCTATGATCTCATTGCTCCTCATTACTTACCTGTGTTCCTGAATAGCCTTCTCCAATGCTTGAGTCTTTGTATTCCACACATGTAAAATACCATCTGTATCATAAAAACATAAGCTTAGCATACGCATCTTCTTTGTCGCTTTTTGTGTACTTACTTTCAGATCCAGCTGCCACGTAACAACCATCAGGACTATTGCAGCATTGGCGATTAGATAAAAGAGAGCTCACAATACACCCTGATCCAAAACAACATACCTATAGCAAGAACGAGACCAATTGACACCATTATGAAACGTAGATGCCCTATAAAAAGTAAATGGCTATGTGAGCATTGAGGTATAAAAGATATCTGGTTTCCACATACTTGAAGGTGGCAACAACGTTATACATGCGCAAATCTAAGATCTTCAAGGTATCATCTCGAGAATTGGTCAATAGCGAGGACCCATCTGTTAAAAAGAGCTCTTTAGCTATCACTTGGAGACGTCCTATTTTCTCGCTTATCACTAACCTGGTGATACGGAGACTGATGTAATTTGTCCCTTGTGAATGTCACCCAATTCCTTGATACATGATCCTGACCTTGTGTCCCACACACGTAGCTTGGAATCCAAATTGCCAGTTACCACCGTTTGCCTAACATGGGGTCATTGTTAATGCATATGCCGTATATAAAATGATGCAAGCAAACGTACCCTTCAGCGTCGACAAGAGCAAGATCATTGCAGCTTGAAAAGTTAAAGATGGTTCGTGCACCTATATATATTTACCAGCGAAATAAGAAATCGTTCCCTCACTCTCTTTTAACAGTGCCACTTACAATATCCTCGTTGCAAATCCCAAAGCTTGACTGTGCGATCGTAGCTCCCTGTCACCTGTGCTGCTCATGTCAATGGATCATCTAAATAAAGCATGTCATCCTACTTACCACACGTTTGGTATCGGCGGTGAATTCAGCACTTGAGACATCCCCCACATGACCCGTTAACGTGAGCTACATTTCAATGTTATTAGCATATCGCTTGATCCACATGAAAAGTAACGTACTCGAGACCTGCTGGTCTTCAAATCCCATATACGTGTTGAGCGATCGGTGGATGCTCCTAAAACAAGCTCGTCCGTAGCACTGAATGCGATCGAGGTGACGGCACCTAAAGATCCACTAAGTGACACGATATGATTCCCTAAGCCATCTTGATCAGTCCATGCGTAGGTTGCTTTTCAATGATGATACCTACCCGTTTTGCCATCAAATATCCTAATTTTCTTGCCAGCCCCTCCAGCAGCAAACATGTCGCCTGTAGTGGAAGCCCGAACACAATACACCTCGGCATCATCGGTTTTCTATAAAAGGTTGATTTGTTGGTTGATGTAAATGGATCATCCATGTCGATTGTTTAGCATACCAATTTCTTGAAGGCTTTGGTGGGTAGGACCACTGTAGCTGATGGTGCATTGCTGGATGATGTTGATGGCTGCATAATCCATTTGCCACCGCTTTTACGGACCGTCTTGCCAGCATTGCGTGCTTGTTCCAAAAATCTATTGCTCTTTGTGGTTTGAATGCCATTCATGGTTGTTGTCCATCCCATCCAATGTACTCACGTCTCATAAAACTCGGTTGCCTCATTCATCTTTTCAGCCTCTTGATTCATCTTGTCCAACCATCGTTGAAGCAATTGAGCGTTCTCGCTTTTGAGCTTGGTGTTCCTTTCATCCGTCGTCTTGATCTCGAGCTGAAGAGCTTGTAATTCATCATGGATGATCTAGTACCTTATGAGTGTGTGTCTAATCTATGTACGCGTATCACACATGTAGACGCACCTGTATCGTTACATCCTTTTCACGCAGCTGTTCAATTTGAAGCTCACATTTTGCACTAAGTTGCTTTGCGGTGGACGTCAATCGCTTGATTCTATATAGGATGATCCAATATAAGTCATTCATGCCAAGGATGATCATAGGCTAATACATTACTCGGTCGTATTCTGCTTCTCTTTTTCTTCAGCTATACGTAGCTTATCATTCATCTCCACCAGTCGTTGCGCATTGGATCCTTGTGTCTTGTAAAGCTCGGCACGTTCATTGTTGAGTTCATGTATCCGGCGCTCCAACTCTGCCATCTTTTGTTGAGACTCGGGTGAACTGCATGAAACAACACATGAGAAACCCAATGATGGATGATGACGATGACGATGATGATGATGATATTACCCTTGTACCTGAGCATACTCTGCTGCTCTCGATAACGTATCATTTTGCACTTGCACCTTCTTTACTTTTGCTTCAAGTCGAGTGTTGTTCTTTTGAAGGTCAATGAGTCGATTCAACAACTTTTGATCTAGGGTAGGGAGAAGAGCATTGAGTATGCAGGAAAAGACAATGGGGCGTCATTGCAATAGGGGGAATAAAAGGTCGCATGCTTACTTGCCACCACCATCTCATGGAAGACATGTTCTCGAGAATTGCGTGCAACGAGTTGGTCTAGAATGACATCTCGATAGCTCATGGTTTTGTCAAAGTGTATAAAGCAAGGTTGCGGGAAGGGGAGCGTTCTGGATTTTAATCGGCATGTCAGCCCAAAAGAGTGATTGCTTTGATGCATGATTTTACATGGTTTCTCGTACAAGATGCAAGTCTAAAAAGGATATGGGATATCTAATTGCTAGGATTATTTAAAGGGTGGTGTATTATCTAAGTGCTATGTCTTTGGTCGTTGGTGTCATTGTCATCATCGCCTCCATCATCAGGCAGCAGCATTGTTATCATAGCTTGTTTGGCTAAGCCCGAGAATCCTTGTTGTGCCACCTTTCGACTGGCAAGCTCACAAGCAAATTTCAGGGATAAAGACAATGACATGTTTCTTAACAATGAAAAGATGATGCCTGCAATAAAAGTGTCTCCTGCACCAATAGCATCAATCACTCGTTCAGTCTTGATGGCAGGGGCATGATGTAATGTATTATCCGGCGACAAACATGTTGCCCCGTGTGATCCCCATGTGCAGTAGATAATTGCCCTTTTTGAACATTATTGCAATGAGTATGCACGTCAGGATGCTACTAAACACCTAGGTCACTTACTTTGCTTTGCATTGTGCCTTGATATCATGCAGGAATGTTGCAGCGTTATCATAACCTCGTCGTTCGGCAAAAAGCTTTGAAAAAAACACCACATCGCCCTTATTTACATACGTGTTGATTATTATTCCATGTTGCTATGGCAATAGTCGTAATGCATGATGTACGTACCTTTGGCATGAGCCAATCAATATGCTCACGATCGGGTTTCTCGAGTTCAACTGAAATGACGAGTTGATCCCTCCATCCATCAGCGATAGCCTTGTCGTTGAGCCAGTCAATTTGTTGTACCACTTGATCAATGTTGCGTCCTTCAAAATGAACCCAATTGAATGGAGGAGTAGTACGATCCGATGATGTCATCTTGGTTTCAATCTCTTTTGCAAACTCTTCCACAGTGATATCGTTAATGCTACGTCGTTGGTTATGTTAATGTCATATTAGTGATCTTGGTTGAGACCATAATTATACTACTACTACTATTACTACTCACGTTGTGCTGGAAATGATGGTCCTGGATCCAGTTGTGTTGCTTTGGATGATATATGATGAAGGTGTAGGTTCATTACGAAAGAGACAAGTGGACGTATTGATGCCTGCATCTTCCATATCGTGTATCAGGGACCTTAAAAGAAGAGTGTTATTAGCATAATCAAAGGAGGCGATTCATTGTCCTACTTACTTTGTGGTAATCTTTGGACCGAGAGCAGACATGCACCATGGCCTTATCTTTGGGAACTGGGCAAGGATTTCCTAATGATAGCATTTACTATCAAAAAGCCATCCTCATGTATGTTATCGTTACCTACAGCTGTATTTGCAGTGTTGCCACCTCTTCGTTGTTCCATACGCGTTGCTCGAAGTTTATGGTCTTCCTCGGGGAAATGAGGCACATTGAGAATGGTGTCCAAGTAGATTTGACCAACAAGTAGTACATTGCATTCAAGCGATTCCATAATAGTGGGTAGTTGGGGGGTGGGAGGGAGAGGAGGTGTTATATGTGTTGACGGATTACAAGAAAGAAAAGCAATAAAATGTCCTGATAAAGTAGTCGCACGTGTCCTCAATGCGGCAATCTTTTTAAAGCGCATAAAGAGTACCCATATTCTCATTGCGGATCTTTCCTTTTCTCTCCTGTTTGTTGACAATGGAAAAGACGGGTTCCGGTTTTTACATCATTGATGCATTTTCATTGCGACAAGCTTCCAAAAAACCATTTCACCTTGAAAAACGCTTTCTCAACTCTGGCGAGAATGATATCAATACAACAACAACCAGCTTAGAAGAGGCTGAAAGCAAACGAGAAGCTCTATTACAAGAACGTCGAGAGAAGCTTAGCCGTAAATTCCTTGAGGTGCAACAAGTAGTGAAGCAGGCACAAGCTCGTAAAGAATCTCAACGACAAGTGTTTCAGCAATCATTGCAACTTGCTGAGTTGAAGAGAAAGACTCATATTGAACAGCGTCGTGCTGCGAGCAAGGAGCTTGTGGAACGAGCAAAGGTGATTGCTCGTCAAAACAGTCTACGCTTTGAAGCAGAGCAAGGTATCTCCCTTTTCTCTCTTTTGTTTCTCCTTTTGCACGTGGTGGCTCACTTTGGAGAATGATGATTAGCTCGTCAACGCAGGGCTTTGCAAGATAGATTGGAGAGATCGGAAGCACGGTACGTTGTGTGTGTGTGTGTGCGTGTGTGTGTGTCGTAATGATGCCCCTATTCTCCCGCGCTTACATTGATCATGTGTATGTGAATGCACATAGACGTCTGCACATGCTCTCTCAGCCTAAATCGAGAATCCTTGTCACGGGTACTACACCTATTGCATCATCCTCTGCATCGCATTCTCGCAAGAAGAAAAAGAAACCTTGTGGTACTACCTCATCATCTTCGTCGTCATCCACAACAAGATGTATCATTGGCGTTGTCACAGAAAGTGGTGGTGGTGGTGGTGATAGTGCCACATTATCCCGGAATGTCAAAGCGGGTGTGGATAAGAAAGCGGCATGTGATCAACATGCATCATCCATGCACCAATCGGTGGTGGGAACACCAAAGAAGAAAAAAGGTGACACTTGGAAGAGTGTTAGAAGTGCCTTTTACAAGTTATCGTTGCCATGGTCGACACAAGCTTCTACCTGGATACCCTTTAATGAGCTTGTGGTGCTTCTTCGTAGCCGACGTGTGATTCAAGTCATTGCCAAGTTGCTTAGGATGCTGCTGTTGCTTAATGTGACCGATAAGGAGAAGAGTCGGAAATGGTCCCGGGTGCTGCTGTCAGCCTACATGATGACGATTTGCCCATGTGAGGTGTTCCAAGATATGCATGCCCAGCAGGAACAGGTAGGCCACTTTTCAATTACCGTATTTGGTTTATACCCGCGAGCGCTCTAACAAGCTTTCATTTTTTTCTTTTTCCTTCTCCTCATCTCGACATTCCATGGATGACAATGTGCAGCAACTCCTCGCTCAAGCAAAGCAATTTTTGCGCCAGTTTGAACATGTTCTCGAATCCCATCCAGAAGCTTCACCCGGTTCAGCTGCTCGATCACACTTTGAAGAGTCCTGGAACGCGTATTATGCATTGTTCGAAGCATGGAAGGCCAAAGACATGAAGCAACTCGTCGCCAACATGTCATCTTATTGCATCGAATTGATACGTCTTAAGGAGACGCTCGGCCAAGATGATGATACAGTACGACAACAATTGGATGAACAAATTCAACAAACCAAAGATCGTATTCGTCATGTGGGTGGTCCTTCAGCACTAGAACAACTTGCTGAATCCGAGAATACCATCACATCATCATCGTCATCATCCAAACCTACATCATCCACTGAACAACAACAGCCATTATCAGTACCACCATCCCCTACTCCACGTCCTGAACGTCTTGATGATAAACACCAACAACAGCAACAACAACCCATGGCAGATGATGAACTTAAACAAATGCTCAGTGGCTATATCCATGAAGGAGGGATTACTAATCACCAGCTCGCCCACGAGATCATCATTGACCCCGAGTTCAAATTGCAAAAACAGTCATCTGCCTTGGAAGATCATATTCGCAAGATTGCTACTCGAGCTTTCTTCGATCGCGTTGCTGAGGATATCAAGGAAGGCCATTCCGAAGAGTCTTTGCCTATGCTCATGGATGATGTTAAGCAGGTAGGTGTCTCATCATGTGTTTCTTATTTATCATAGATCAACTGACATAGGGTTATCTTTATTTTTACAGCGTCTCCTCAACTTGTTACGCAAAGGCACTAGCGTTTACAATCAAGTGGATGAAGGAATTGACATTGCACTTATCACCCAACAAGCCAAGCAAAACGCCTTTGACCTTGATCAAGTATTGAAGTACGTGGTGCATATCATGAGCCAAATCTGTGCCCCTGTAAGAGATGAAGCTATTCGTGCCATTGGCGACATGGATGATCCTGTACAACGACTACGTGCTATCTTGGAAATGTTGGATGAAATGGCCCTTGATTTGAGCAACTTTCGATTACGTTCTTTGCGTCCACATCTTATTCCTATTGCTGTTGAATACGAACGCTCCAAGTTTGCTGAATCGCTTTCCAACAATACCGTTGGCTTGACCAAAACACGTGCATGGTTACAACAAGCTGTACGACGCATGAATGAAGTTGCTACGCAACGCAATCCGGAAGGTGTACCTACACCCACACCAACGCTTCGTGCAGATGCTGTGTTTGAGGATGCTTTTATTACACTTCTCACGTCGCCCCAGATCATTGATGCTACTACATGCCCTGAGACCCTTGTCATGGATGTCGATCGTATGCGTGTGTACCAAAACGAGATTCAGTCCATCACCATTGTCGCTGCATTGGTTATGTTGGCAAAGAATTTTGGTCATGTTGGCGACCTCAATGATCTCACCAAGAAATTATTTATTATGCTTCAAGATCGATCTACAACTATTGACAATTTGGCATCTGAAATTGAAAGAACGGTGCGCATCAGCCCTGAAAGGAAGCCCATGATACGTGCAATGGTTGATAAGACGGTGTCTCATAGCGACACAGTGTACTCCCTCTTGATGCGACGTGTTGGATCCGTTATTCGTGGTCAATTGCAATCCGGAAAGTTTGCTACTCGTGAAGTGCTCCTCAGCTATGGTCTCGAATACGTTCGTAAGCCTTTGGAATCGCTTTCCACCCGTGTGGCCATCCTCGGTCGTCATCATCGTCAAGTCTATGCAACATGGTATGATGATATCATTGCTGATGAAATCACGGCCATTTCGTAGATTCGTATTTTGTTTATTCTTTTTTCTTCACATCAACTCCCCCGCCACCCCTCTTGTCACTGTATATATACCATATACCATCACACTCCCACACACATTTCCCCCTTTTCTCTGTTTCCTTCTGTTATCCATCATAGCCAATTTACTCACATGCAAATGCTGAAACAGAATACAGCTGCTTCCCCCTCTTTATTTCTGTGAAAGCTCGTTACCAATCTTGTAATTCAAAATCTTGTTCCAGTCTAGCTTGTTACGAGTCAATGGCAATGCGCGACGTAAACCCTTGAATGTGTTCTCTGCAAGGTCGCCGTAGCTATCATTCAATGATTGATGGTATTTCTTGTCGAGTGTAGCCATTTCCTTAGCGAGTGCCTTGGCCACCTTGTCGTGATCCTAAATAATGACCCATTTCAGAATTTTCATCGTCAACGATATACTTCCAACAGTGTAATGCATACCTCGCTTATAGACACTTTGGTTTCGTGCTCCTTTTCAGCATTCAATTGTACGTTGCCATCTTCATAATAATGCACATTGATCTTGGTGACGCTCTTGAGCTCGCCAGATTGGGTATCAAAGGTCCATACTGCTCTCCATCGTCCATTCCAATAGTTGCCAGGATTATACTTGTTGTCGACAATAGCAATGACAATACGGTGCTCATCCGTAGCATACACAGTGCAGACACCTTCAGGATAGTGATCCTTGACATAGGCAGCAACTTCAGTCTCGATGGTAGATCTAACATGGAATTCATCTATTGGTATGCCATTCAATCATTGTTGATAATATCCTTCCTTTTACCTGAGCTCTTCCAAGGATTCATCAATATCATGCGACTCCAATTCAGAAGCAATCTATTTCATGCTTGAGTTGGTATACATTCTATCCCCTTTTCCCATCACCATCATCATCATCATTCTTACCAGACGCATATGATCAAACTTGAATGTTTGCTTGGAACGAGGATCCAGGTACCGATCTTCACCCACTTTGCCGTGGCTCGAAACGATCACCTACACATGCCAGTAAGCACACCATCCTACGTGTAACATTTGTATATATGCTAACCTCATAATCCAAACCAGGTGGAATAACAGTAATAAGCTGCTCAGTATTGTATTGCTCGAGTGCTTCTAGGATACCATCTTGTAAAGCGTCATCATTGGCAACTAAGGTGCGGACATCTATCAACGTTATTGCTTAGCATCTGGAAGACCCATTCTGACAAGGACACCTTCTCTTTCATTCGCGTGGCGTACCATTAAAGACATCGTTAACTTCACCAGGTGGACTAGCCAACAAGAATCCAGAAGCTATTTTGACCTTTTCATCGACCGAGAGTTCCTCCATTATTGCGACAACGAATACGAAAGGAAAAGGCTGAGAGAGCGAGATCGGATGCTGGGAATGAAAAGCAACAACGGCTGCTGCATCGTCCACACACGTGCATATGGATGACTATTTACAGTAGATAGGTAAACCCTCTATTTCCCATGTTACATGATAGATTGCGATAATGGATACGTGTATGAGATAATAAAGTTTGCGCTTGGATAAAAGGATCGTCCTTGGTGTACATGGCTACTACAAAAGTTGTTATAGACAACCAACCCTCGTGATTTGGCAATGCCCGTGGGGCCAATGTTTCTCACAACCAACCGACAAGAGCATCTTTTATAATACATTACCTTGATGAATACCGTGAATGGTTAATTAAAAGCTGTAACGTCTCAAGTCGTGGAGCTGCTGGTCCCGCCCGAGTTAAATTTCTCGCTGAGCTTACTCACTCATTATCTACATACTGAACACCCATCCACCCAAACCCACAATACATCATCTCATAGCTAATACTACTTGTGAATAAAATACACTCGTTATCGCATATAAGAAAATGCACCTGTCATGCTACATCATATGATTTAACAACAACCCATTGCCTTATTACTAGGTCCCAGCAATCCCCCCCCCTTTACTCAAGCCAGTTTCAAGCATTGCATTTTCCGGTATGCTTGGTGCAGCAGCCCTTGACAAATAAAAACTCTCACTTTTCATACATGTACATCTTCGTACCGAAATGCTATCGTTCTCTTGTCAAAGTGTGTATTGCATTCGCTAAATCTTCCTAGTTCACATGCTGATAGACGAAAGAAAATAGCAACTCTCGAACGCTTGTATTACAAAGATGATGATTCGAGATGGGTGATGCCCAACAACAATGTTGCTTGTTATGTAAAAAGCTTGATGGTTCATTGTAAGTTTAATTCATTATGTTCAAGAAAGAGTGAGCTCTGATACAATAATGCACGAGTACACATGAACAGACCATGCTTACCTACTACAATTTTCAGCTACACTCTATCCTATGAAGCTTTATATAAGAACAAGAAACCATTCCATAGGCTATCGTTGGCGGACCTATACTACAGGTAGCAGGTAGGGAGTTATGCACTCTCAACTAATAAAATTGAACCTTCATGTCATGCCCTCAGCTTTGCTACACAAACAAAGCCCTTCGGCATCTTTGGCTCTAGGGTGAGTGAGGCGATTGACAATGACTGAAGACCACTTTTCATATGGCACCCTGTTTAATGCATAGAGAAAACATAAAGACGCCCATACCTCAAGATTTTACAATCAAACGTGGCCCCCTTACTAGAACAAAGTTTCTCGGCTAGGACAAAAGGATATTGTGGCAAAGTATCAAGTTCAAGCGCGACAATCCCAGATTTCGCCATGTCACCACCAGCCAAAAATATTTCAAGAGGTCGACCCGAATCCAATTTGGCTGGTAGCGATATTGAGCGAATCTGGGATTGACCACCTCAATGGTCAAACTTGCACACATGATTCCTTCCACCCCGCCGAGCAGCTTTGTTCTCATAAAGACCTCACATTTGATTGTAAAGTTTAGAGATACAGGCACCTTTATGTTTTCACTATGCTGCAAGCGTGATGCTATATGGAAGGTGGTCTTTGTTCATTGTCGATAGCGTCACTCACATTAGAGCCAAAGATGCAGCTGGACTTGGGTGTGTCACAAAGCCGAGAGGACCGGTAATCCTATTGGTTGAGAGTGCATGATCGATCCACCCCTTGTCTGCTGCCTATAATAAGGTCTGCGTATGATACTCCTGGATTGGCTCGTTCTTATACAAGGGTGCATAGGATAGCGTTAGCTGGAAATTGGCATAGACAAGCATGGTATGTTTATGTGTTCGTGATCATTTTACTATAACTCACTCGTTCTTCAACATAAAGAATTAAGCATACAATGAACCAAGCGGATGTATACTGTAACAAGCACTATGTTAGGCATCATCCCTCCCAAATTTATTGCCTTGAAATATGTACAACCGTTCGAGAAGCTCCCCTACATTACGTCTCTCAGTATACGCGATCCAGCAATCTTTACGAAAGCAATAATGTGACATAAGAACAAAGCATCTCGATATGATGGTGATTGAATGAGCCAAACTCGCTTTTCAACCTTCAAGTTTCTATTCTCCTCTTCAACCAAGATACCAATCCATATCTTGCACATGTGAACTAATAGTACGATGATCTTTCAAGTATTATGTTGGATCCAATTTTCATTCAGTGAAGAAGTCGAAGAATACATAGCACATTAAAGTATGGATGTTTATAATGTAAATAAGGGACAGTATTGCATATAGAATAGGATACAAGGGGAATCACATAAAGGTAACAGAGAAAATGTGTCATTGTATTCTTGATTGCTGCTGTCATAAGCATCCTTCATCCATGATTCCAAAATAGATGGTGCGTGCATCAACTCGAGTATGCCAATATCCATCCATGGCTGCACAACACCTTTCGTCAATTCTATCCCATCCATCATCACTATCAGCCGTATCCACGTGACATGATCCATCGTTCTTGCTGATAACGCGACAAGCAATCACCATGATCCTCATCACTGCATTGATTGAATCCACCCATCATAACCATTGCGAGTCCAATAAGAAAGCACCCATGTGAATCGCTTCTTTCCATCCGGCCCTTGCTCTCTCTCCTTGTTGGTCATTTTCCATCGCAGCTCAACCAGCTGTAGATTGCTTGTATTGCGACGTAGTTGATGGCTGATATGGTGTCACCCAAACTCGACATAACGTTCTAAATGGGCCAAGAGAACCAAGCCGGTCAATAGATCCACGTCTTCCATCCATGTACCAAAGCAATGCAGTATTCGGATCCATATTCATATCCATAGGAATTCGTATGTATTGAAAGTTTGTTGCTACACGTAAATGAAGCTGTTTGTATACAATGGCTATCTGCTGTTCTCGTGAAAAAGGTTGCTGCAAGTAACTTGAGACAATAGAGTAAAGACCTCGCTAATGGCAACTGCTGTTGAGTTTGGTTGTGACAGAGGAACGTGTAAGAGCGTGTGTTGTAGTAGAATGACAAGGTTGTGAACGCTGTTTGAGACAATGTAGCGAATAGCAATTGCTCGATTGAATGCTGTTACGTTTGATCGTGGCAGAGAAGCGTACAAGAGAAAATGCAGTGTCAAGAGACTCGTGTGTTGTAGAAGAGTGACACGAAGGGTGTGTGGACGTCATGAACTTGCCATTCAGTCAAAGGCAATCGAATCAAGGCAATGGTAGGATTGACATGGTGGATTGAAGCAGGACAATCCATCGCAGGTGGTAGTTGTATACTTGAATGGGGCCAACAGTTGAGAATGGGAGGAAGAGGGAAGAAGCGGTGAGTGGAAGAAGTGGAAATTAAGTAGACTTCTTTGTGTTGGATGATGTTTCTTTGTGTGTGCATTGCTCAGTCAAATCCTCTCGGATCAAGAAAGTTGAAGGATGGGCATGCTAGGCTAGATCAGGAGAATCGTTCACATGCATTGGATTGGGAAACAAAGATGATTGGGAGGAATGGGCTATCAAGTGGCAGTTTACAAATAACTTACCAATTTGATTCTTCTGATATTGGATGATACTTCTGTGTTTGAGCTTTTTTCAGTCAAATCCTCTCGGATCAAGAAAGTTGAATGATGAGCATGCTGGGCTGGAGCAGGACAATCGCTTGTATGCATTGTGCTGGGAAACAATGGTGAATGGGAGCAATGGGCTCTTAGCTGGCAGGTTATGAATAGTGTAAAGAATCATGATGCATTACCCTTTCGAGTTGCATGGTATGCTAGGTTACACAAACACGCCCTTCTGCATTTTCGGCTCTGTCAGGGTCGAGCTACTTCACAATGAACAAAGACCACTTGTCATATAGCATCACGTGCACAACATAAAGGCACTTGTATATCTAAACTTTACAATCAAACGTGGGGTTTTTAATAGAGCAATGGGCTCGGCGGGGTCAAAGGAACCTTGTGTGAAAGTTTCAAGTTCATCGTGGCTAATCCCAGATTTCGCAATGTCGCTACCAGCCAAACTGGATCTGGGGGTCGACCTCTTCGACGACGACGACCAAAAAATATTTTTTGGGCTAGTTGCGACATTGAACGTGAAACTTTCACACAAGGTGCTGTTGGCCAAGCCGAGCCCATTGCTCTATTCAAAACCCCACGTTTCATTGTAAAGTTTGGAGATACAGGCACCTTTATGTTTGTAAGCGTGATGCTATATGAAGAGTGGTATTCGTTCATTGTCAAGTAGGTGGACCCTGGCAGAGCAAAAGATGCAGAGGGTCGTGTTGTGTAACACAGCTATGTTTGCATGAATGAAAGGGTCAATGTATAATTACTTTATGGATCATCTAGGAACAGGCATGTATTGCTAGCTAACGGCCACTTTTATCCAATCATCATTGTTGCGAGATCCACTGCATGGGAACGATGCCCCTGCTCTAGACATTCATTTCCATGATTAAAGTAAGATTTGATCCGAGCTGATTTGGTTGAGCTGCGGTCAAAGAGAGATTACATCACTCTGGACATAAAGCACGCTCGATGTAGCTCAACCGATGTAATCTTGTGTGAGCAACCTCGGCAATCAGCTCGGATCAACTGTATCATGGAAATGGTGTCTGGGCAGGAGCATCGTCCTTACCTACAATAGAATGCACAAAAAGTTAGGAATTTTAAGAGTGGCTATTAGCTGTCTTGTACATCCAAAGTGAGGGTTGCGTACCTTTCATGCATTGTCCCTGAAGTCCTGACTTTTTAGCTGAGTTACCCAAAGAGGTCCTTCTGCATCTTTGGCTCTCCCAGGGTCTAGCTACTTGACAATGAACAAAGACCACTTCTCATATAGCATCACATGCAAACATAAAGAGGAGGCCTAATGTCTCCAAACTTTACAATCAAACGTGGAGTTTTATTAGAGCAATAAGGCTCGGCGGCAACTGCACGTTTGATTGTAAAGTTTGGAGATACAGGCACCTTTATGTTTGTAAGCGTGATGCTATATGGGAAGTGGTCTTTGTTCATTGTCAAGTAGCTAGACCCTGGTATTAAAGATGCAGAAGGACCTCTTTTGGGTAACTCAGCTAAAAAGTCAGGACTTCAGGGACAATGCCATTCATTTCCATGATTGGATTATGTTGATCCGAGTTGATTTGACCGAGATACAGCCAAAGAGGGATTACATCAATCCACACATCTAACCATGCTCTATGTTGCTCAACTGAAGTAACCTTGTATGAGCGTAGCTCAGCCAAATCAACTCGGATCAACATAATCCAATCATGGAAATGAATGTCTGAAGCAGGAGCATCGTTCCACTGTCATAGAATGGGCAACATTGCCGATTGTGAGGAAATGGCTGTTAGCTCGCAATGTATGGGATATTGTCAGTAGTATACAGTATCATCCTTCCATCCTTCTAGTCATGCAAAGTAGCTGAGTTACACAAAGAGGTCCCTCTGCATCTTTTGCTCTGCCAGCGTCCAGCGACTTGACATTGGACGAAGACCACTTCCCATATAGCATCATGCTTACAAACATAAAGGTGCCTGTATCTCCAAACTTTACAATGAAACGTGGGGTTTTTATTAGAGCAATGTGCTCGGCTTGGCCAACAGCACCTTGTGTGGAAGTTTCACGTTCAATGTCGCAACTAGCCCAAAAAATATTTTTTTGGTCGTCGTCGTCGAAGAGGTTGACCCCCAGATCCAGTTTGGCTGGTAGCGACATTGCGAAATCTGGGATTGGCCACGATCAACGTGAAACTTTCACACAAGGTTCCTTTGACCCCGCCGAGCCCATTGCTCTATTAAAAACCCCACGTTTGATTTTGAAATCTTGAGATATGGCTGTCTTTATGTTGTAAGTGTGATGCTGTATGATAGGTGGTCTTTGTTCCATATCAATCACCACCATACTAGAGCCAAGATGCAGATGGACTTCTTTGTGTAACAGAGCAAAAAAAAGTCGGGACTTCAGGGGTAATGCTATTGGTGGATAAGTGCATAATGGATGCTTTCCCCTATAATCCTATAGTAATGCCCGCCTATGATAGCTCGTATGAAATGGTTCATTCTTGTAGAAGGGTGTATTTAGTTGAAAAATGGCAAACATGGCATGTCCATGTACTCGTTCCACATTGTATCACAGCTCACTCTTTCTTGAGCATAATGAATTAAGCTTACAATGAGCCAACTTCCTAGGTAATAATATGTAGCAGGCACTATCTTGAGCATCATCACTCTCGAATTTAGTATCTTTGCAACAGTACAAGCGTTCTATTATTCACATTATCTTTCGACTATCAGCATGTGAACTAGGAATAATGTAGTGATGTGACAATGTTGTTGTGACAAAGGAACAAAAAGCATCTTCATACGATGATGTAGATGATCCAATCTTGCTTCCCGACAAACTTGTATTCCCCCTTTCAACCAAGAAATCAACCAAGTGATCCACATCTTGCACACATGAGCTAATAGCATGATACCTTTCTCAACCTTATGTTGAATCCAATTTTCATTCAATGAACAATTCGAAGAATAGCACATGGTAGAGTAGATGTTTATAAAGTAAATATGATAGCAACAGCATTGGGGATTGAATAAGATACGAATGAATCACATAGAGTGGATAGGGATCATTGTGCCATTGTATTCTTGGTGGGTGCTGTCATAAACATCCTTCATCCACGTTGCAAAATAGCTGCTGCATAAATTGAATCGAGTACTCCAATACCATCCATGGCTGTGCAACACCCTTCATCAATTCCATTCCATCCATCATCACCATCCTCAGCCGTATCCACATGACATGATCCACCCTTCCTGCTGACAACGCGCCAAGTAACCAAAGCAACATTCCAGGATATCTCATCATTGCACTTATTGCCATCCACCCATCAAATCCAATATGTTGGTTGAAAAGAGCCAGGTGATCGCTGCTGGTATGCTTGCTTTTCGATCCGGATGTTGGTAAATCTCTTTCTTGGTCCTTTTCTATCGCAGCTCAACTAGGTTTTGATTGCTGTATTGCAGCGGGTTTGATGGTTGATATGGCATCATCCATTGGAATTCGCATGTACCAAAGCAAGTTGTAACACGTAAATAAAGTTGCTTCCATACAATGGCTATCTGCTGCTCATGTAATAAATGGCCACAATGCAGGTTGCCGCAAGTAACTTGAGATGAAGGAGTAAAGAATAGCAACTGCTGCCACGCTTCGTTGTGGCAGAGGAATGTGTAAGAGTGTACGTTGTAGTAGAATGACAAGGATGTGAACGTCGTTTGATACAATGCTGTAAAGGCTTTGCTAATGGCAACTGCTGCAATGAATGCTGCTACGATTGGTTGTGGCAGAGGATTGTACAAGAGAACGTGAAGAAGTCAAGAGCCCCGGGTGTTGTAGTGGGGGGTGCACACGGCATGGACTTGCCATTCAGTCAAAGACAATCGGATCAAGACAGCTGTGAGATTGACATGATGGGTTGAAGCAGGACAATCGTTCGCAGGTGGTAGTTGTATACTTGAATGGGGCCAACAGTTGAGAATGGGAGGAAGAGCAAGACGCGGGAGGTGGAAGAAGTGGAAATTAAATAGGTCATCATACACTGATGTCCTACAAATCCATGCACACTGTACATCAATCCTTGATATTGAGATTGCCTCTCTCGAACCTGAAACTTTCACACAAGGTGCTCTTGAGCATGCTGATAACCTTCATTCTAATAATGACTCCATTCTTCATACCTATGCTGTAAGAGTGATGGGAAGACTTGCTGCTAATGGATGATGTCTCGAGAGCACAATACTGTAAGCAAGGTGAAGAACTGAGTTATAGGCGTGAGCCCCTTGACAGGTTGCTGCCCAAATAGATGATGGTGATCACCTTTCAGAAGGTAGGTAAGTAAACATCATCCAATAATGAGAATCTATCAAGGTATGTGTATAGCAATATTCATGCACAAGAACATACAATAAGCGGATGCTGTCGCCTGTTTTACGTACCGCATACAATCTTCTTTTTTTTCATCTCATCTATTTAGATACCTTTCTTTTCCAAGATCAATGTCGGTGCGTTTCATTAATAACCCTGTTTCAACTATGTGGAAAGATCTGTCACATGTTCCTGATCCTTTGGTCATCATTTCCATAGTTTTCATTGTTATCCTCCCACTTCTTTTATCAACGTTGTCGTCATTGTGACCTTTTACGCCTTATAATGGAGTAAAAATTAATCATTGCTATGTACCAGTTCTGAATCCATCGTATACTCATACGTACTACACATCATTCTATATACTTGACATGGCACCCATACCTCGCTTCTGCATTGATGACGGGACCTCCCTTTATGGTTCGGATGTTGAAAACTGAGAACCATGAATCATCCCTCTGCATTTGCGAAGATGGAGATGGCAGTGCAGAAAGCACAACTAGTCCCAACCAAATCGCTGCTGATGACGACGGAATTCAAACGAACAAGGTCATACACAAACGGAAGAATTGAAATCCTTGCTTGTACATGGTTGAGAACAAGTCATACATGATGGCCAGAAGATGATGCATAAAGGAAAACATGGCCTCATTGGATGATGGTTGCTATGATTGATACTAGGCATCCTTGCACAAAGTTCTTTTCTCCCTTTCAGACACATGTGCAGCAGCTGCTCATTCTTTATCCTCCGAAGTAATTTATATTGCAAGGTTTTGTTCCCTTGTCGTACAGTACATAAAGATCATTATTCACTCCTTTTTATCATTTATTACTGCTGTGACATGCGCACATGACATTTATTGATACAAATTGCATATGTCACCACCTTTAATTCTATTCCATTACAATGTAAATGTAGACATGGTAATAAAGGATGAGCTATCAAAGGTCGCACAGCATTCATTTGGTTATCTTACAGCTCCATTTTGCACACGCGCACAGGGCAACTAGAACCAGCACCATACGCGCACTCACTTTAAAACATGGCATCTACTAAAAGAACGCTGCTATCTTCTTCGTTGAGATAATGTCAAGGCATCTGATGCGAGGAGTAAACAAGTTTATGAAATGGGGTCGCATATTCTATCAACTAAAAGAATTTGGAGTGAAGTAAAGATTTCATTGGCCAAGGTTTAGAAATGGATCTACTTCCCTTGACTGCCAACTCTAAAATGGGGTGGATGTTATGTAGAGGATGGTAGCTATAGATTTGACTTATGGATCGAATAAAAAAGCGTTGTGCTGTACATCATTAAAGCTAATTAAGTGGGTGCACTGATGATATGAGGAGTTGATAGACGAATATGGTAAAGGGGGTTTAGGTGGATCGACGAATAAGAGCGAGATAGGGGAGGTGTTGTATGCAATGTAAAGGTGGCGGGTAGACATTTCAGACTGCGAAAGGTTGCTGTTGTAAAGAGCGAGAGGGTGTAACTTGTTCGTCTTTGTTCTCGTACCTGGCCTTTCCTTCATACTCCTCACACACACACACTCACACTCTCACATTCCACACTCGTCGTCGACATCGTCCAGCACTGTCTTTCTTTTAAGCTATTTCTCTCTTCGCTACACTGCACATTACACACCAGCAGACCCCGCCCATCGTATTTCTGCAACTGGTATAGCTATCCTCTACTATCAAGAAGCCGTCCTCTTACTTGCTCTCATCGCACTAGAACCAACCGCTTACTACTCTCTCGCTCTCTCCAATTGAACCACTCAACACTATCGACCATGAAAGGATGGAAAGGAGTTGTATCCTTTTTTTATATTGACCCACCCCCCAATGATGGGGCCCGCCATTGTTGAATATGTCTAACCTGATCAGCATCTACTCTTCTATCTTTCCTTGACCATTTCTCAAAGCTTTCTAGAACAAAAGGACCTGTTGACCCTTCGTCAATGGCTGGCAATGAGAGTTCCGAGACATCATCACCATCTCCGCCTCAACAACCCTACTATGCTTCTACACCAACACCTTCGTCTGTAGCCGTTGTCCAGCAACATGATGATCCACAGTCTCCACCACCCATGTCTCAACCAGGACAAGCTATGCCATCGATCGTTGTCGTGAATGCAGAGGATGGATCGGATGTAAGTGTATCTTCGTGTGTGTGTGTGAATATGGAATGAGCGTTGACGGATATATATTACCCTAGCAACAACAGCAACAACGTCGAGCCAACGTTTCATTTGCACACAACCATCATCCTAAATCTGGTGAGCGTGATGTTCCAAAGACGGGTGCACTGGGTCGGTTGAAGAATGCTCCCAAGGATCAAATCCCTATCAGCAAAGCTCCTCGTCGACAGAAATCATCTCGGTTTTATGTCAAGGAAAAGGTGCAACTTGAAAAGACGCCTGCTTTTCATGGTAAGGATGGATGTCTATTACGCGTGATGGTACCATGTGCTAACATGTTTCTATTGCAGAGGTGCCACCCCACTTACGTCAAGATCTCTTTATCCAGAAGATCCGACAATGCACAGTGGTTTTCGATTTCAGTGATGCATCATCTGAACTTCGAGAAAAGGAAATCAAGCGGCAAACTTTACAAGAGATCCTTGAGTACGTCAATATGAATCGGGGCGTCTTGACCGAAGCTGTTTATCCTGAAATTGTCAACATGGTATGTGTACATGCATGCTCTTGCTTTTCTCTTTATCACGTGGGATAAGCAACTCATCATCATTGTAGTTTTCGATCAATCTCTTCCGTACCATCCCACCTCAAGTCAACCCTGTGGGTGATGCATTTGATCCAGAAGAAGATGAACCAGTACTCGAGTTGGCTTGGCCTCATTTGCAGATCGTGTACGAGTTTTTCTTGCGCTTTTTGGAGTCTCCTGAATTCAACATTGCTTATGCAAAAAAGCATATTGACCAAAAGTTCATTCTGCAGGTAAATTGGATTGTGTGTGCGTGTGTACATGCTAAATGGGGGGGTGGAATACTTTCGGCTAATGGTATGATCCTATGTAGCTCTTGGAGCTTTTCGATAGCGAGGATCCTCGAGAACGTGATTTCTTAAAGACGACGTTGCATCGGATATATGGAAAGTTCCTCAACCTTCGTGCGTCTATTCGTCGATCCATCAACAATATCTTTTTCCAATTCATCTACGAAACGGAGCGTCACAATGGCGTAGCAGAGTTGCTTGAGATTCTTGGAAGCATTATCAATGGTTTCGCATTACCTTTGAAAGAGGAACACAAGATTTTCTTAACACGCGTCTTGATCCCGTTGCACAAGGTCAAATCACTCGGCTTGTATCATCCTCAATTGGCCTACTGCGTCGTTCAGTTCCTTGAAAAGGACCAAGCCCTTACATATGAGGTACAATGACACACACAGGCAAAAGCAAAATGTGACAAGTGTATTCTAATAAGGTTGTGGAATCATGGTAGGTTATCACTGGTTTACTGCGATATTGGCCCAAAGTCAACAGCCCAAAGGAGGTCATGTTTTTGAATGAATTGGAGGAGATATTGGACGTGATTGATGCATATGAATTTCAACGTGTCATGGTGCCATTGTTTATCAAGTTGTCACAATGCATTTCAAGTTCACATTTTCAGGTAAGAGAGAAACATTGGGATGTACCTCTGGGGTCACTGTATTGATTCATGGATATATCAATAGGTTGCAGAGCGTGCCCTTTACTATTGGAGCAACGATTACATTGTCAGCTTGATAGCCGAAAACATGGAAACGGTGATGCCCATTATCTTCCCCGCATTATACAAGACGTCAAAGTCCCACTGGAATAAGTGAGTATATGGAGCATGAGGAAAATGTAATTGGATCACCCCTTGCTAATTTATTGTTGTTATAGGACGATCCTCAACCTCGTATATACCGCTCTCAAATTGTGTATGGATATCAACCCTATCTTATTCGATGAATGTGCCAACCAGTACAAAATACAAAGACAACTGTACGTATCAACAATATGAAAAGTGTTTCGAGATCCTTGATGGTTAACCATGTGTCATTGATGTAGTGAGCGAAAGCGGCAAAAGGAAAGTGAAGAAAATTGGAAAACGCTTCAGCGGAAAGTTATGGTGTTGGCTTCCACTGCTCCCTCTGATGAAGCACAACCCAGTGATCCTCAAAATGAATTTGCTTTCCCAGCACCTCCAGGTAAGGAGATACCTTGTCCCTGAGTACTTTTGGAAGGAGATGCTGATCACACACATGCTATGATAGGGTTGCCAGGTAGTGCCATGGAGGTTGAAGAAGATATCCTACTTGATGATGAGCCTGAAGCGATGGAACCTGATCACTCAGCGGAACACACTGATGCTATTCATCCAGATATGGTGAGTGTAAACTTTGAGTTTACTTTTTGACATTAGTTAACATGGCGTATCATAGCAACAATTTGATACAGCACCTGTGCAATATCAGCAATTTAGACGAAAATCGATTATACCTGTGGATGAGACTGTAAGTATGCGATTGGACAAGAGGGATAGGGGTGTATTCATGACTCAACGTGTCGGCATTAGGTATTCAATGAGCTTTCACGCCACGTGAGCTTGGATGAAGTTTTGAATCAAGCACCTGGTGCATCAGCGGCAGCGGCAGCCGAAGCCGAGGCGGCAGCAGCAGCAGCAGCAGCAGCGGCACATGCATCCAACAATGCTGTCGACCCATCCAACGTACCCAGTAGCAATGAACAGCAAAGAATGAGTCTGGATAACAACATCCCTTCATAAAAAAAGGATACATATATAGGCTATCGAGCATTTATATACACATACAAGATATTGGAGGACCCCCAACATGCAATGAATAGGTATATTACATTAAACATAAAAACGAAATGGTATACACACTTGAGTCATGGGGTATCTATGGTGAATGAACAGTATCGGGATCATTGTTGTTGCTGTCCTTGGATCCTGATGCTCGTGAGTCGATGGTAGCGGATGTAGTAAGAATGGTAGGCATCAGTGCACTGCTTCTATTTTCATGAATGATAGGAGTGTGTTGATGCTGGTTGGTTGAATCAGTGAGTGTGCCGCATGAAGCGCATCGACGAAAATCATCCAATTGAATGTCATGTGATTGTGAGCTGAGTGATGGTCTTTGTTGATGCGATCGGCCAAAGAGCGCTCGTTTTCGGATCCCTCGAACGACTTGCACCAAATCCGAATCATAGCCAATTAGCAATATAAACAGCATGTTGGTAATGGGCCAATAGATAATAAGAACGATTTGATTTGCACTCTATATACATACACAAGCAATGTGAGATGATGGATCCATCAAAGCAGCACGCATTATTTGAAGTTACCTTGAGCATCAAAATGACTGTTGCAAGGTTGCTCACGAACAACACGGTTGTACGTATGACATTTTGCATAATAATAGCATAGTACGAACCCGATGCTTGCTCATCATCGAGTGAGGTTCGTATACGTTTGACATGGCGGTATAAGGTGATACCGATAGCGATAGTGACATACAAGTCGACTAGCGTGTCGTATACGGTGTAAACCGGTCCCCACTTTAAAACGTTAATGCCGCTCCCAATAAAAATGTAACCCAGATCCACCCATACACTATTACTTACAGCTTTGTTTTCTTGAAATTGGCATGCTCCACTAGGCAGAACAGCACGCTCCAACAATACAACATCGACAGCGCCGATAATGATACGCATTCCAACAAGGACGACATGCAAACTTTTGATATAGGAGTTCCATCCAAATGGAAGTACTGCCCGTATTCGCAATAAGAGTACCGTCATGCCCGCTGTCATACTTAGATGATAAAGAACATCGGCTGTTCGTGCGATATGGGTACAATTGTTGATTCTATGTATATGTGGTACATGAGAAAACGTATGCTTGCATAATAAAACACGTTACACTTACGCTTGTTTACTCGACATGGTAGCGAATAAGGCAGTTTTTGTGAGCATGGTTCCTGCCATGAAGCATTTGAGTAGGCGTATTGGAAAGTTTTTCTGTTCCATCCTATTAGTGGCACAACGAAACATAAGTTGACCGGAATAGGCCATGACAGCGCCTAGCACGGTGATGGTGGCAATGACTGTAGGTGATACAGGGTATACAGCTGCTGATATATTCGTCTGGCCGAGAGACGACATGACTGCATTGCCTTTTCCATTTGTTGTATGCGTAAAAAAAGCAATCAAAATGGTTTCATGCAAGTGGTCGGTTTTTCTTTTTCTCTATATCCTGGGTTTGCATTAACGTCACTGTGAAACCACCCCACCCTACCAAAATACCTAGCCTCTTTATCCGTTACGTAACGTATGGATCGTGCACTTTTGCTCATTTTCCGAATTCGTTGGGTTTCACCAAGGACGTCTATTAGAAGAACGCGATAATACGTATCGCATCATACTGCTGCTTTCGAATTGATGTTCTTATGTATACACAAGAGTCATTAAAGATGTGCTTTATTGGACAAAGAAAAGGAGGTTCATAATGCTCTATCGCTTTCAACACAAAGAGACCCACCAACCTAATGCCACCATCATCACCCACTTCTTTGTATGTGCTGCATGTAACACACGTCATCTGTGAAATGATTGGATCTCCGAATAAGGTGTCGGCTGGGATGAGCACGTACACGCAGCGCTGACTTACGTGTCCTTGAATTTTCCTGCTCTCACTTGTTCCTCCTCCTCGACAATGGAATTCTCGATAGCCAATCCAACAGAATACGCCTCCGTGCCAATCGAGCATCGATTCGAACCTTACGATGATAATGGCGGGTGAGTTAAAAGTGACCCCATTGCCCCCTTCCCATGTATACTTGTTCCTGACCCACTCCCCAACGACAACACGAACAGCACAAGCTTGGCCATTGCTGGAAAAGACTTTTGCGTTGTTGCATCAGATACCCGACAAAGCACAGGCTACAACATCAACTCTCGATACGCGCCCAAGGCTTACCGACTTGCCGACAATGCAGTGATCGCCATGAACGGTTTCCACGCCGACGGTCTTACCTTGAAGAAGGTGCTTGATCAACGTCTCAAGGTATTCACTTTACAGAGAGAGGGGGGTGAAGACATGCATGAAACAGTACTCATTCATGTATGTATGTGCGATACAGTGGTACAAGTTTGCACACGACAAGGAGATGTCTGTTACGGCTCTCGCCCAAATGCTTTCAATCACCTTGTATCAGAAACGTTTCTTCCCTTACTACAGCTTTTGTTGTCTTGGAGGTGTTGATGAGGAAGGTAGAGTATCATGACGCGTATCAATTTCGAAAGTGGACGAGGACATTCATTTTGACCATCATGGTGCATAGGTGTTGGTGCTGTATACTGTTATGATGCTATTGGTTCATACGAACGCGAAAACTACCGTGCTAACGGCTCAGCAGCTGCATTGATTCAACCCTTCTTGGATAACCAGGTATGGATCTCATTCAACATCTTTATATACATGTACGTACAGCCCATTCATTGACATGGTTGATTCTTAGGTTGGTCGCAAGAATATGCAAAACGTATCATATCAGCCTTTGGAATTGGAAGAAGTTTTGAAGATTGTCAAGGATGCGTTCACCTCTGCAACGGAACGTGATATCTATACTGGCGACTGCTTGCAAATCTTTATCATTAGGAAAGATCAGGAGGTGGAAGTACAACATTTCCCATTAAAGAAGGATTAGGTGCCCTTTTTGATCAATAAAGAGATTGTATATCCAACATATCCGTGTATAAGATCAATCCCAGTTTCAGACGCGTTTTATTAAAGTACTATACTACATGTACATGTTATCCATGGGGGCAGTATGGTTAAAAGAGGGTGGCACGATAAAGGATCGGGAACTCGGAGCTTAGATGTAAAGGCATAGATTGGCCATTCTTACATTGTTTCTTCTTTTCCAAATGACGCATGGCACGATCGACGTACTTGCTTCCTCTCCAAAATGGTATACACAATTACCAGCATCATCACTTACATGCCTATTGTCGGAGAGCCATTGCAGCCATGATCAACGACCTTCACCACAGAGCGATCTATCATCGAAAAGACCATCCAGATTGAACCGAAAACAATACATTGGTCATTACTCCAAGATGTCATATCATTTGCGTAAAAGATGTGATCAAGCATCAAACATGGAAGCCGATAACGAAAACGAAGCAAAAATCCACCTAACGCGACATACAAAAAAGATCGCTCAGCAGCGCAACAGGGCGTTCAGTCTGGATACCTATCAAGAACTTCGTCGTGGTATTGTAAAGAAAGCTGTACAGGCAAAGCGCGAGTGCGATGAGCAACCTACCATCCACGACGCATCACCGAATCAGAAAGTGAGTCAACGTGGCAGGCCAAGGAGGTCCGCCATTCGCACAAGGAAACGTGGCAACAAGAATGAAGATTTGGGATTAGGCTTTGCCATTCCTGCCAAGTATCAATACTTTTCCACGGATGTGGATAGTGAAGATACCGAGTTTTATCCCCCCGAGTGGTTTCCAAATATGGATCATGTTGATCAAGTCATGCTAGACCTTGGGATCGATAACAAAGGTAAATATGATTGACAAGGGTCAATGCTTTGAGAATACTCATTTCAAGTGCCAATGGATAATAGCAACGTCTGAGAAATACCCGAATGATCCATACTTATCAAGGCTCCATCCAAAAGATAAAGCATTGGCAGCTTATCTTGGTCTTCCAGCGTCCAAATACCTAAGATCCAAGCGCACCCTCATCATGGCAGCCTGTGAGTTTAACAAGCATGGGGTTCAGCATGTGCGATGTGTAGATACCAGAAAGCTATTACACATTGATTCTTCCAAAAGTACTTTGATGCATCAACTATTTCTAAGGCTTGGATGGTTACGACCACATTCTCCCTCAACTTAGAGCACGTGGATCGCTTCTTGTTGACCTTTGTTTTTTCAGACTAAATCCCATCCACATGTAACCACACGCACGCATCCTATATCTCGCATCTCCTCATTACCTCCTTGTTATCATTACAAAGACACCAATAAAGTAGCAAGCATTTATTGTTGGCTCATAGCAAGTTCTTTATCTCTAATAATCTGCAAGAATGGAAGCGGATACGCGGGATGAAAGTATTTGTTCAACCAATGAAATGGGGCACAGACGTCATGCATTAAACCTTGCCCAATGGGTACCTGTTACCAAGGCTCGATGTGAAAGATATAAAGACGATCCATGGAGAACAACCCCGTTTTCACTTGTTGAATCTCCATCTTTTTCTTTCTTTCTTTCGATATACACACATTATACGACATGTCATCACCGCCGTTACCACCATCATCACCATCTACTTCAGACAATATGATATCCTCTCAACAGCAACAACAGCAACAACAGAAAAAACAGCGTACATTACATAGCTCTATCGAGAAACGTAGGAGAGAACGGATCAATGACAAGATACAACAGCTTAAAGAGATGGTCCCGGCATGTAATCCTTATTCAGAAAAGAATCCCATCGCTGGACCCTCACTTTATCAACCTCTTCATAAATTGACCATCTTGCAAGCTGCCATTGAATACATCGAAGAAATGCATCAAAAGTTACTCGACGCTGCTGCTGCTGCTTCATCATCATCGCCCGACTCAGCAGCAGCAACGCCGTCCCATCATCATCATCACCATCACCATCTCCTTGACGACCCAAAGATAATTCAAGTGATTGAACATGCTCAGCAATGTGCCAATGGTAGTGCTTCTTCTGGTTCTTATCGTAAAATCCTGGAATAATAATCCAACATGTGCAAAAAGCAAATAAACAATAGCAACAGGATTATTGGGGATGGATGTTGATGAGCCAACTCTCTATCTAATGCTGAAAAAGCCTTGCGGAGTGTTTCATTCTTCCTCTCTCTTTCACACCTCTCTCTTTTTTTATTCTTCCAAGCGCGCGCTCGTTAACATGTCATCCTGGTGTGAGTTGAACATGTGTTTTTATTCTCACTCGAGCTTTTTCTCTTGACCGTTCTTGTTTATTCTATTCTAGTCTCGCAATTGAGCAGCACTGTTTCCAACATTACGGGTGTCGGCTCCACCGTGGAATCCATTCGTACCGTTGCAGACACTGTCAAAGATGGCCAATATTATACTCCATTGGATGAGAAGGATCTCGATTGGACCTGTGCATCTGGTTCTTCGACTGAAAACCAAGTTTTTTATGTGACCACGAAGACTGGAGGATTTGCTTTTGTGCAGCTTATCTACTCGAGTATTGGGTAAGTAGTAGTCATTGACATGGGGTGTGTGTGTCTCTCTCTCTCTTTTTGGGAATCACATGCTCATTCTTGGGCACACAACAGTATCTGGAACCCCACCATCTCGTTCACTTGCCGCTTCTACGATCCTGCCACCAAGACCAATGCATTCAAGAATATCAACCAAGCCTATCAATTTGAGCTTTCTGAGGATCGTCGTTCTGTCAAGACTGAATTCTTCAATATCACATTGGACCCCACTCAATCGACTTACAAGGTGCAAATCACACATCCGGATTTGGTGGTGTCGTTGGAGTTTACACGCATCGACAAAGGTTTCAAGGTGGGCGAAGGTCGCACTTATTTGGGTGGTGGTGACTTGAATTCAGCGGCTGGTTTCGTTTCGCACAAATTCTGGCCACGTGCTACTGCCAAGGGTACTTTTATTGTCGACAAGGTGCTCCATGAAGTCGAAGGCGATGGCATGTTCATCCACGCTATTCAAGGCATGCAACCCCAGCTTATTGCCTCCAATTGGAACTTTTGCAACTTCCAAGGCACCGATGCCTCCCTTTCCATGATGCAATTCCAAACCACAAAGCAATATGGTGCTGTCAACATCAATCAAGGTTCCATTGTCTTGCGTGAAAAGCTCATTTCAGTATCGGTCGAGAACCATGTCGAGTTATTGGATTTGGTCAAGGATGAAGAAACAGAGTATGACATTCCTCAAAAGATCAAGCTCACCTGGAAGGGCAAAACCATCAAGGAATCAGAAGATGAAGAACCAAAGGATGTCTCCGTGGTCATGATTGTCTCCGTCAAGAACTTGATTGATAAGATCGATGTGCTCAATGAAATCCCATGGTTCCTCAAAAAGCTCGTCCAGCGATTCGTTGTCAAGCCCTACATCTATCAATGGTTAGACAAAGCCACCGCCGAAATTACCGTGGGCGATGAGAAAGTAGAGGTGGAGGGTCAATGTTTCCAAGAGCTTGTTTTCGTGTCTGGTTTCTAGATTCACTCTTCTTATGACATTTCTATTACTTGTAATATTTCAGACACCCACACACACACACACACATAGTCATCACTAGCCATTACCATTACCATCATCAACATAATAGTAGTTTTTAGAATACCCCTTCTTTAACACACACACACTCTCACACACTTACAATGAAGATAACTGAAGTAATACATTAATCAATGTCCATCCTTTTATTCTATAATTATAGTGACTATGTCATTTCATTCATAAACTTGTGATTCCTTTTTGAATGGTTTAACAGTGCCTATGGAGTATGTAATGACTTATGGTAGGAGATTGGTGGGTTCAATATAGACTGCTGCATGCATAGGTGATAACAATGATGAGATTGAAAGGAGCGGGTTTACCACACATAGGAGACAATCAATGATCTTTGTTTTATAGATTGGCAGCAACAATGAAAGACACTTTAATTTAGAAATCCTAGTTTACACAACAAAGCAGCTCGTAACGCCTTATGCTTCGTCCTCATGGGGAGGCTCGTCTATGGGTAGCAAGTCTTCGATGCCAGCCAGCTCATCACGATAAAAATAACGTATGATTGCTCTTGCTTTCGCCACACTGATGTTGTGTATAGGGTGTGTCGGTGCCTATAAACAAGATGACCGATTACTACTGACATCCTGTAACCTTGTTACACATAATGCAATGCATGCATGCATGTTCATACCAGTAAATTTTCGACATCACCAAACACGGTAAGATCGTTGTTGCATTTCCACATCAAGGAACCAATACCACCCTTTGAAGAGTCAACGCCTCTCTCTCGAATCAATGCTGCCTTTTCATTGTCGATGGTGACCATATGCTGAACCGTTGATAACCCAGAGAGACAATAGCATGTATGGTAATAATCAGCACCCCTAGGAAAACAGCACGTGTTGGTTCTTGGATGTCAAGGCCACCTCATTCATAAGCAATCCCACTTACTTTCCAGGCTTGTCAATCAATCCACCATATTCGGACTGGCAGCAAATAAGAATGTATTCTTGTAAAGCGTCTAAGAATGGTGTCAATGCTTCGATCAGGCAGTACATCCAAGCAAGCAGCAACACATACCTCTATCAAGCAAGTAGTCGCTTCCTTTGAAAGGTTGTGTTAGTCTACGAACATGAGATTGAGAAATAGTGATACATACCAGGTTGGGTTTTCCGCCTGTTGACTTCAGCATGAAGAATTGGAAAGTCACCTGCGCCCCAAAATGAATAGCATCCATCGACCAACTTGTTTGTACGTCCTTGAAAACCACCTTCAAGCTCCATTTGTCGTGATACACACCATTTCTAACACCAAAATAACCCATTGAGTGACCAGCTTCATCGATCATGATATAGCCCATAGAACCATACAATAAGCTTATCCACGTTCAGGACATGTGTCTCTCCAAGGATTTCCATTGCAGCGAGACCACAAAAGGTATATCCATTATGAGCTTCTTTGCCTGGGTAAGGTCCAATTCCACCTTCGTATGTTTGTGACCTAAGAAAAACATAATTAAGGATAGTCCACGCATTAAAAAGTAGAGAGTACCATACCTCTTGATAAAGTCTGCACAGCCTTTTGTCAGCTCAGGAGTAAGAAGATTCGTCATAGCTGCCACCGACAATGCACAATAGGAGCCGCTACACCACCACGCAAAATGATCAGCCACATGTCCATTGTTTCTAATCCATCGGCTATCACATACCGGATATCAGTTTCGCCACCAGTGTGCATTGTAAAGGAGCCATCCGGTTGTTTCATACGAAGAAGGAATGCATAAAGTGATTCTCTGACATGAATGATTCATCTTTAATGCATATGTTATACTCCTCCAAATAACCATCCAGCTCTCTTACCTATCAATCACATCGTAGGCTTCATTGGTACCAAGGATGGCAAGTGCATTCACAGCAGCATAGGTTGTGGCAAGGTGAGCAAGCTGATTTGGACCTCCACTGAAACCTCCTTCAGGGTGTTGCCATGAACGAATGGACGCAATTCCCCTATGATGTACCATCATTCATTCAATCAACCATCCGTGCTCATCGGTCATCATACGACGCCCCTTTGATCTTTACCTTTCCACAATATCGGGTGTGATATCCGCTTCGAGTAACTCAAGTGAATGTAAGATCCAGTAGACTAGCCAAGGTTTGCTGGCATCAAGAACGACCATCCACCGGCTGAGGTGGTTCAATCCTCGTTTGAGATAAGGGATATGATTTTCCCGTTCCAAGCGCACGCTGTGTGGATCGCATTACGAGCAAAAAAGAATCGAGTGGTGAGCGTTGTTGGTTATCGTGATTTCTCATTGTCCATGTCAACCTTTCCAACGGTTTGCGTCGAATGTTGTGAGGTGCATAGGTCGCGTAGCATTCCAACACTGACTCCTCCGTCCTTTTCTGCAAAAGACAACGTGTGTGTCAATCGGCTTGCGTATTACAATGCTGCAGTCGGCTTACCTGTGCAATCGATGTGTCAGTTGGTAATGTGTCGTCGCGATATCGCAGTTGTGCCAAAGGTGTCGTGCCGTCGAGAATACCCATTAAGACAAGAAAGAGGGAAAAGTTCAAGTTCCAACACCCCATTTTCAATGCCCTCCTTTTATGCCTGCATGTTTCACCCAGCCAATGGAACCATGTCCTGGATTATTATGCACACCCACCATTGATAGCGATTACCCTCTATAGTAGATAGTTGACCACTACACATATTATCTCATACAAGGATCGCTTTATCAATAAATAGAATATAATAAAGAAAGTAGTGTGTTCCGCTATCTTCTCCTCGGTGGCAATTCCTGCAATCCAATATCCTCAAACTCTTCATCCTCTCTTGAAGGAATATGGCGATGATGGAAATGATTGGAAGTTCGATAGGGTGCTATTGATTCTGATACAATGGGCGCATTCATACAACTGTCAAGGGTGATTCCACTCTCTTCTCCTTCCTCCAAAGAAAACAGATTTTGTTGAGACGAGCCGCTTTGTTGCTCCAAGTTGAAATCCTTAAAGTTCTTGTTGCTTCCACCGACCATGGTGCTTCCATCAGCAGTGCTTGTATTGGATGCTTGTGTCGTCACGCATGTATTGGTGGAGACGCTTTGTTGTTGTTGGAACATCCAATTATTGGCCGAACCATTCTGGTAATTGAACCATCCACACCATTGCTCCAATTCTTGCTGGCTACCCACTTGAAGAAGGACATCATACATGCCACGACCATGGACCTTGAAAATGTATGCATCCTCCTTATTAGATACCACCGATGCCCGATAATACCCAAGCACTTCGCCCTTGTTAGACTTTTCCTAAAGGTGATAATAAATAATTGCTTCTCATCTCTTCTATATAACCAATTTCCCTTACCGAGTAAAATGAAAAGTATCCCACACGTGGAAAAAGAAACACATGCTTCATATCCCAAGCACCGAGTAATGGAAAATATCGAAAAACAACTTGAACTGGCATACGGCCCTAAGGATACATGATAATGAGCATCACATGTAGAAATGATGTGGTCAATACACAACACACCTCGTGGGCTTCCAAAATGGAATCATTATTGGACAAGTGATGAGGCACCACGGAGTTCTTCCTTCCTGGCATAAACGTTGATCCCAATGGGTTGGGACTTGCAAGCATCCGATTGATACTGATCAATTCTCGGTTCTTGGTAAAGGTTTCTTCAGCACCAGGAGGTCCACCACCACCCCCTATTTGACGAGGATTGGATAGGCGATCTGCCATGGGTCGTAATCGTCCTGAAACATCGGGTCGTCTACCTCCTGCGTTGGCAGATGCATCATATTGCTGGCCCTTTTTGAAAAACAAGAGGAGCTTGGGAAAGAAGAGTACGATCATTGAAAAAGTGGTTGCCCATAATACGGTGGTTGCTGTCAGGTAGTGGCGTGTATAGTAATCGGTGGTGGGTACTGAGTAAATGACAAAGCCGATCAATGCTGAAAAGAAAATGTTGCTAACAATGTGTGGATTAATCATTTGGAGGCTTCAAGGTCATGGCATAATAATGTATACTTACTATACTGAGATACCAATTTGCCTGTATTCGCTGTATTTGGAGTATCGCTTTCCAACCGTCCTCGTCTTGATCGCCAAAAATGTCGCAAATAGGAGCTGGATACCAGCCACCACAGTAAGGATTGTGGTGAAAACGGAGCTCGCAGATCCTTGATATGAGCATTGCACATAATAGGTGGTACGTGATAATGGCACTTCGATGGTAATTATCTTGCTCGTAGAAAGCCAGGCCACTAAAAGAGACTTTATGCATAATGGCGCATGTATCAACATATAGCTCCCTCCTTTCCTCATTACCTTTTCCACAATTGACTTACCGACACAATGAACAAGATGCTGCCGGACACTTTGAGCAAATGAAAATCAGTGACGACGGTCTTTGTGATGAAGACATTGTTGAAGATTCGATAAATCCGATAATTCTTGGCGATCAGGTTCCTTTATAAGCAGCGGTGTTAGTCGACCCTTCATCATCCATATACAGCGAACGAAACTTACGAAAGCACCAATGTGAATCCAATATGAACTGTGATAGGGATCATGATACAATCGCTCACGCTTCGCTTGGCTGTGTAGCATATGATGGCTGTATACATCAACGTAAATCCAAGTAGCTCCAAAACACAAAATAGGGGGCTATGCACAAGATTATCGAGAAATCAGCATCCGATATTTCATTGTCATGAAGAATGAATCATACCTGGCAGCTTTGAATACTTCACGTTTTCTGTACAAAATGACAATGGCCATGATAATGAGCGCTACCAAGGCACCGAATGCAGCAATTGCACCAATAGCAATGGATGTCGGCGAGCCATAACCAGGATTGAGATTCACTCGAGTGGGCATTCCTTGGGGAGGCTACTATTGGTGAGCTGTATAAGATCAATCATGCAAGATACGCAAGGCATAGATTATCGATTTACTGTGCTTGTTCCATCATGGTACATGGGTGCCGATGTCAATGTCAAATCCCCCGCTGTAATACTGCCGATCTGCACCTGATTGCCTTGTTGGATGTTGTGCACACGAAAATTGCTAATAGTAGCTGCATTAATATTACATAGAGCGGTGGTATGATCCGGCGCGCATGTTGTGTGCACTTACCCAGTCATCACATCCCCATTTTGATCGAATAAAACGGGTCCAGCTGGGCCAACAAAGCTAGTGTTGAACGTGTTTGGCTTCAAGTATTGACCAAGTTTGCCTGATGCCAGGGATTTCAGAGCTGTTGTTGGATCCGTAGAGTTGTTGATTGTCTGATTAAACCCATATGCCATCACCATCATACATGAATAGGCAAGCCTATGTAACGTTTATGTATCAGCATCACCTTTTGCAACCCACAATTCACATTACCTACCCTTCATTCCTTGTCAGCACATGTCGTCCAGCATAGGGATATCTATTAGGATCATTAAATGATGGTTAAACATGGCTGCTCATAAAGTGTGGTGGTAGAGAAGTTATACATTACATGGTTGGATCGAGCTGTGACCATCGATCGAGAAATGACTCGTAAGGTGGGTACCCTTTCAGATCAAGTGTTGATTCAAACGAAAACAAGCCTCCAGCATACGTCTTTTCAAAATCAATGGGCTCCAAGTTCTTGGCGGTTGCAGCTGCATATAAAATAGCGTTGGATGTGTCTGCTGTGACATTATAAGCCGTGGATGATAGTGTCGTGCCTTGTTGTTGTTGTTCTTGTTGTTGCTCGCTCTCTTTTCTTTTCTGTATCGCATCATTGAATTGGCGTGTTGCCGAAGCGAGCGATTGTGCTATGGTACCGGTAGTCAACCAAACAGTGCTGTTGTTGATATGGCCGAGATTAGCTGCAACGGTCAAAGCTGCCACTTGTGCGTCTCCTTCAGCCGCCACAAAGACAATCTTGATGCCATCATTCATCAATGTGTTGATAGGCCCTTGGATATCGCTTTGTGGACCATCCTCATAAAACTTTTGATATGCCTTGACGTGGATCCCCTTTGCTTTCGATTTCATGACCAATGATTCGGATACTGAATATAAACAACCACGCATGAGAAACACGGCAACAAGGCGCATAAAGTATGTGTACTTACACTGCTGCCCAGAGTCGTCATTCGTATAGAGGATACCAAGCGTCGGCCAACCTTGGCTCACAAGGAAGGAAATCGCGGCATCAGCATACAACAGCTTGGTTGGTATAGTGCGAAAGAAGTAACTGTATTGAGTCTTATCCGATAACGAAGCTACAAAAGACAACAAGAGTGAATGGTCGGCTCTCCATGGAAGTGCGTGTGTGATGAGCCCATGTTGACACTTACTTGCAGCTGCACTGAAGGAACATTGAGGAATGCGAAGGGTGCTTGTCATGAGCGCAGACAACGAAGTCCATGACGAAGAAATGTCTCCAATGACGCCAATGACACCTTCTTGAATGAGAGAGACGGCGGCGAATACAGCTTGGGTGATACCTTCTTGACCTTGGACTTGCTTTGGAAAAGAGTCGCGCTCCACCAAGGTGATGTAGGCACCGGGTATTAATTGTTTGGCATTGATTTCCTCAGCAGCCATACGAATGGCCGAGGTACCTCTATATAGAGTAGTAGATAGCCTTTTAGCTGCATGATAATAAAAAACTCAAGCATCTCCCCTCCCTTACGTCAATGTCAACTCTCGGGTATAATTATTTCCTTGCTGATGAAAGGGCATTAGCACACCCACTTTAAGCTCGGTCCAGCCGGGTTGTATATTGTTGGGGTATATATATGTGGATCCATTCTCTTTTCGCATTACAAACGAATAATCTTGCATGATAGATGGGGTGTTAATTATGGCTGTATTGGCTGAAGTACTCATGTTAGCTTGTTGCGGTTGGATACCGCTCCCATCAGCTTGAACTAAAGAGGCTTTTGATGTGCCGTTGTTGTTGGATGGAGGAGGAGGAGGATAGGTGGTGTCGTTCATCGCGTGATTCGATGGTACGGCCATATTGTTGGATGATGCTGGATGGGGTCGTATAGTAGTCTAGTCTTGGATACTCAAGTTTGCTCAATATAAGAGAATGAGATCAAAGTTTCTTCAGCACTCAGACATTGCAAGAAGAGAAAAAGGAGAATGATAGGTATCGCGTAAAAAGAATTGTATTGTCTTTGGAAATAGGGGTGTTAGGGGAGAGGGAGATTTCGGCAACGAGAAAGTATAAGCTGCTGCTGATGATGATGGTGATGCTTGTGGATAATGAGTTCTACGTAGCAATTACAGAATCACGTTTCACGCTGAGGGAGAAAAGCTCATTTTTTTACAAGGAGACATTTATTAGGGGAACCTCCTTGTCTTACTATGATTCAGTGGCTCATCACTCATATCATCATCGCCGTGCCTATCATATGGTGCGTTGCCATGTGGGAATGGATCACAATATTAAACTCAAAGGCGGTATCATATTATAGCGCGGGTGAAATAAAGCATTGCTGCTTGTAGTATGTATAAGGTAATGATATCGAGTAACGCAAACTGGACATTGAACACGAGTATGTGTGTGTGTGTATGTGCGTGTGCGGATCACCAGATTTCTTTCACCGACAGCTTTGTTTTGAGAACCAAGAAAGAGAGAAGGGGTTTTGATGTGCATAAAGGATCCATGTACTTTTTACCTCCTTAATGCTGTCAGAATGCGTGCTATTCGTTTAATCCATGCACCATGGGAACGCTAAACTAAGCCGATTTGCCTGTTTCTCTTTATTTGATAGGCGTTGCTATGACGACTTTTCCGTCAACTGGTTGCCATGCACGACCATAAAAGCTGTTAATAGCCATTTTCTGGTAATCCTTACTTTAATAGCATTTGCCGCCACCTTCCTTAATGTGGCCCAGGTGCTTGCTTGGTATACTGTACCTGTGCATGATGGCCGCTCATGCAGACGCCAATCTAATATTGCTATGTATTGTCAGCTTTCCTCCCAAAAGTGGATTTGCCATATTCATATACATCCGTCGACGTCCAAAAACCCTGACATCTGCATACTCATATGCATAAAATCATCTTTGATGACGACGTATCCCGTATGCTATGATATGAGCTTGCATACGAGATAGCGCAGTAAAAACGTCTGTGTGTGGTGTTGTCGTCGTTAGTATGTCCTTCCTGCATAAAACCACAAAGGGTGATCCAGAACTCGGTCCTGCCATTCCCCTGTCATGTTTGCGTCGTGCATGTGACATGTGCAACCACACACACACACATAGATGCCGGCAGTGTTTATCGGGTCATGCTTATTGCTGCTTCATCATCAGTATGACAACTAGGCCATGTCCCATACCAGGGGTATGTTTTTACATGCACGATGGAAATGTAATAGGTACAAAAAAGTACGTTGATATAGAACAAGTTGAGCCTTTTCATGCTTCAAGGGAATGGCAGGCATCCCTACTACTACCAGCATGAATGCTTTTATCCAAAATCAATATGGGTCATAATCGACTAGAACTTTCGATTTTGTGAAAGCTGTTATGTGTGTGTTATTGAAACGCGTTATGTATGTAGCTGTGAGTACATCCTCGTGTATGAGAACGCGCACACACACACATACACACATGCACACCCGAATCGCTGGCGATTGGGATCTATTATAACAAGGTCCTATCTATTTGTGTCATTCTTCAACTTGCAACGCCACCCATGTTTCTTCTTTTGTACCGGTGATCTTGTTTTGTAATCGGATCGTTGCAAATTAAGGAAGTTGGTGTGTGGGGAGCTGCCGCCTGCTGCCGCTTTGTTCCTGTGACACAGAAGAAGCGCGCGTGCATACTTGCTAAACGATAAAACACAAACACAAAACATAGACCCACCATGGAAGGTCATGCATGATAAACATGCATCATAATCAAGATTGTCTTTTATTTCTTTTTTTCATGTATGTTTTTGTTCAGCTGAATAGTGTTGATGGTGGGTAATAAGGAAGAACGAAAAAAAAAGTTGCTTACATGGTTGGTTGGTCACGACGTCGTACTAGAGACAAAGGGAGAGGGGAGGAGAAATGGTATGAACAATAGCTCCTAGGAAGATGCTAGGTTATGGAACGAAATAAGTTATAGAGAGAAAAAATCAGCATATTGGTCGATACAGACCGCTTGAAAATGAGAGGCAATGACGATGGATACGAACACCAGGGCAATAAAAAAGAGAGAGCGAGAGCGAGAAAAAGAAAGAACGAGGAAAAGAATGTAATTGGGAAGAGGGGTAAAAAGGACGATAGCGATGATGATGATGATGAGGTGCCACATTGAGAATGGTCTCATTGAGACAAAGAGGAGTGCGGTGTAACCAAATGACCGTTGTTCCGAGAATCCATTGTTGACGTTTTGCCATACTCACTAGGGGACGATAATGAAGGCGGCAAGTGAGCGTTATTGATGGTGCTCTTAGCTGTGCTGGTGGCACTCGTGATACTTGGAGGAGGCGAAGGCAATGAAGTTAAGGGTGTGGGACAATGCTGCTGTTGTTGTTGTTGCCCATTGTATTGCTGGTATTCAACTCCAAGTTTATGAAGATGCTCCCTTAGCCAGTTGTTCTCTTGCTCCAGCTGTTGCATTTGCCATGCATAGCGCTCTTCATTGTACATAGTGTGCTCGACCCATTCAAGTGCTTTTTCAATGATTTGGCTTTTGGATGGTTTACGAAAGTTTTGCAAGTTGGGTAGCATCGTTGCCAATAACTGGAACTTGCCATTCAAACACTCGCGTCTCGCACGTTCTGTGGCATTATGTACCGCACGTCGTTCTGGTGCAGCATTGCGAATCCGACTTTATAAGAAACGAATGAGTTTTCAAAGCATAAAGGAAAAGATGGCTTTGGTTGAAAGAAGAAGGAGAGCTTTACCGTCTCAATGATTGCTTGGTTTGTGGCGACATTTCTTCTTTTACGGCTGCTGGCATAGCAGCAGAAGGTAATCCTGGATCGGTGGTAACAGCACTACTATCGCGTGTTTCTTGTTGAGGACTAACCAGCTGCATCTGCTGAAGAAGCATCTCCTGAAGCATTGTCGATGAGGCATAGCTTTCATCAATAGGGATGCATAAAGAAGAAGGGTCATCGGAATAAAAAGCTTGTTGGGTTGTTGCATTGGGCGGATGTGAGCTTGACGATGACGACATGTTGTCTTTTTAAAAAAAGATGTTGAAATAAAAAGTCGTATGTATATTGAAGAAGGTTGTTTCTTTCCGTGGATAAGATGATGTTACTTAAGCCAATGTGTGTGAATCAATTGGTGATGAAAAGGGATAAACAGAAGGATAGATCGTTTACGTATGTGCGTAAAGAGAAGGAGTGATGAAATTTGAAAAGGATGGTCAAAGGAACTTTGGAAGGATAAAAAGGAGGACAAGTAGTTATATGAGCAAGTGCATTGGGCATCACATGGCCTACCAAACAGTGGTTGCTTTGATACATGCTAGCGGCAAATGATTTCCTTTTGGAACTTCATTTGGGATGCTTTGGCTTAGAGCTCTTGCCATATCCGGCGTTGCCATGTTGCTAGGCAACGACTACGATGGTAAAAGAGAGTCTCCTTTAAGCTCTGTACTATCATAGGTTGGCACGTTATACTCCATCATAAGACTGCCTTGAATAGGATGTACAGGGAAGAAGAACGACATATTATTTGGGAAACAGAAGTATGCACAACCATGCACCTGTCACCATTATTGTTATGGCCCGCACCTGAAAGCCGAGTGTTTCGGATTTGCGAAGGTCCATGCATCATCACACAATCGGGTACTTGTTTTGATATCTTTTCCCCCTTTCTTATCCCAGCTGCAAGTGCGATCATTATCTTGTGTTTCTTTTTTCGCTGTATACGGCTCTTGCCATTTTACAATTTGGCAGAGAGAATGGGTGATCGAGTGGCACAGGTGTAACGTGGTGGTGTGTATCTACGTACGTAGCTGTCCAATTGGTATCATTATTTGTCAACGCCTTGGTGGTATACTTGTATGCAGAATTCCAAAAGCAAACGAGTGATGACAAAGGAGGATGCAAGATATGAGCATGGGATGCATGTCTGTGTCGATTCCTAAAGCATTTATTGGCTGCGGCGATTCCTATAACAAGTGGTTCACGTCAGACAGTGACAAGATCTCTTGCCCCATGATTGATGTAGGTACACAAATTTACATACTTCGCCAATGACACTGCCTGCTGAGCAACCTTTTGATACGCCAACAGGGGAAACGATCTGCCCTTGACTTTTAGTATTCTCACGGCAACACAATTGTTAACCTGCCACAACAAAGGATCCTCGCCGCGTGCATTGTCTGTAACATTGTTGAGAACGGGCCACCATTATTATATCATCATCATCATCATCGCTATGAGCCATCTTTTTTTGCTTTCGCTTTCATCCCTCCTCTAATACGTACGTATCCTTGATGGATGATGTTGATGTCATTTGATATTATGATTCATAATCCTTTCCTTATACGTTGACCGTATTCATCTTTGATGATAGCAAAAATTAAAAAAGACAATCGGGGCCGCGGTAATGGCTGCACGTAAAGCCGTCAAAACTATACCAGTCCTATGGGTTGGTCACATGCCCACTCAATCAAACACGCGATTTATATGACCTTTATTATAACGAAGAAGGAGCATATCAATAAAAGATAGTTTGGATTCTATTCAACTTGGGAGGCTTATACTTTTTTTTGTGAAAGCCACAAGGCATTGTGTGAGATATCACTGGTAACAGCTTGTGTATGTACGTTATGCATAATACCCGCGACAAATCCAGGGGCACCAAACACGCTTTCCTCCTCTGTTGTTTGCCCGATCAATGCTGCAGGGGGGCCTATCTTACACACGGACAAAGAGAAGAGCCGACGTGTATACAAGACCCGATATCGCTTCTAATCCGCCACCATTGATAACCATTCTTCTCAATGTCATCATGCCGAACCAGCCTTCTGGATAAGGGATGATTATCATTTGCATCACGTATTCTCGGATGATGTTATCATTGCATCCCTCCCCTCCTTCATGTATGTATTATCACATGGAAGGAATGGTGCATCTACTACTCTACATGGTGCCAACAACTTGAGATTGTCGTAGTCGGAATGCCAAATAGAAATGCGGCATGAGTAGTAGTATGATGTATGTATGTAATAGCAAAGCAAGAGCTAGAGGAGGAGGGTACATACGTACATAACAACGACCCATCTAGAACGTCTCATCGCGGGACCTACCGATATGGCAGGCAATTATTTGTTTTGTGTCAAGGCACGGTTCACAATTGGTATAGGTGCATAGGTAGTTTCCAAAACACGTATGCTTTTATCTGCATACTTTTTTTTACCAAACCTTACTGCTCTGATGTAAGACACCAAAAATGGTATCGGTGCCCAAGATATCAATTCAAAAAGTTGGCAGCCATCTCTCTCTGACGTATGCCACAACGATGGATATGCCCGTCCCACGTGTACAACAACATCAACATTCATCCTATATACATAGGGCGGATCAAGTTCATGACAAGGCATCCATTGGATATACATTACAGCTCTTTGGATAAATAAAAAGTGAAGAGTTTATGTGTTTTTCCATGCAATAAGGTCTATATATTTGCAATGTATGAAAGATTGAGCTCTAGGAAGGGTTAAGAAGAGTAGTGACGAGGGTATTTACACACGTGAGAGAAAAATGAATATGCTATGGGAGCTGCCAATGAGAACCATTCCATTGATTAGGGGTGTTGGTGTTGTCATTGGCATTGTCGCTAGGCTGTTGTTGTTGTTGATGTTGTTGTTGCTGTTGTTGATAATACAAGGCACGATCAGGTTGTACGACTGATTGAAGAGATGGTAATGGCCACAATTGCTGTTGTGGTGGTTGTTGTTGCTGTTGTTGTTGTTGAGTATGATCCAAAGAAGCCGATGCATAAAGCGATGTGGGAGCAGCAGCAGCTGTGGCATGAGTGTAAGCCATTGATGTAGCAGGAGGGCGTTGTTGCTGTTGTGTAGTTAAGGCATAGGGCTCCTTTTTGGCGGGTTCCTGGTGCTTGACTTCCTCTTTTGGAGTGTCGGAGTGATCGAGAACAGCGCTGCATAGTTGTGAGAGGATGTTTAACTTGCCATCATCTTCGGAGTCGGCGCTATTGGACGTTGTCTCCTTTGACGTTGTTGTCGTTGTCGTCGTCGGCTCGGCTTGCTGTTTTACGGGGGAAGCAGCCGCGTGCTGTTGCTGTTGCTGAGTCTGATACTCACCGCCTGTAGGGTAAATTTGCTGCATAATTCCAGGCACGGTATATGGTGACATGATAGCGCCTGCTTGGTGATATGGATTGGTGCCGGTGCCATGGAATGTTCGAATGTAAGGATGGCTATTGTTCAACAACAATGCATCTGCACCATTACCAGCAGCAGCTGGCACAGCCGAAAGATTGGTTGGCACTGGTGTGGTGGGTTGTGAAGCAGCCTGTGATGCAGTTTCTAATATGTATTTCAAATGTGTTATTATTCACATTCGTTGACTCTGAATTCGATGTTTCGAAAAAAGAAATACCTTGGTTCTTACGTTGCTTATAGGGTCCACGTTTGACACCTTTTTTACGTTCCTTTCGAACCGAATTCACACAAGTCGCCGTAAGACCATACTTGATACAACGAGGACAAGGTCTTGCATCATCACATTTCTTGCATGCTTTTTGACAATTGACTAATAAACAAACAAATGCGCACAGATGTTAGAAGGGACACTCCCCCTTTTTTGAATCATTCATGAAACTCACCACAAGCATTCTTGACTTGTTTTCTTTTTGGTTTCACTTGAGGTACAGCTTGTGGTGGCACAGCAGTAGCAGCTTGTTGGGTTGCAAACACATCTGCTGGGAAGCCATGTTGAATGCCTGGAATGGATGGATAAGCCATACGTTGCTGCTGTTGGTGTTGTTGTTGCTGTTGCAAGTGATCCAATGAATAGGGCATGGCCGAATTGGGAGGAGCACCTTGTTGTTGCAGCGAGGAAGAGCTGGTCACATAATCCAAATAGGATGGGTGATTGAATTGCATGTCCTGATAAGAGAAGATGATGAGAATGGATGTGTGTGTGTGTGCAACTTGAGAGAAAAAGATATTCTTCCTTACGTCAATATCGGGAAAACGCTGAGTTGCGAGATGCTATAGTCGTGGCAAATGATACGGTGGAATAAAGAAAAGATACAACCGATGTGTGTTTCACAAGATTGAGTATATCGTAATTAACAAAGGTGCGAGATGGAGAAGGAGTGTGAGGCGCTCAATACCGTTAAAAGAAAGAGATAAGATGATGAGACAAGACTGAAGGAAGGAACCGAGTCGAAAAAAGTAAAAGAAAGAGAAAAGAGAAAGAGAAACGTGGTTGCAAAAAAATTTTGGCCTTCGACATCGGCAAATCAACTTGTAGAAAAAGCGGATAATCCAGCTCGCGGCGGCATTGCTATACTTGCTGCAGGCCCCCCCTCCCCTTCCTTCCCTTGTTGTATCCAGCATCCAACATCATGTTGATAATAGGGTTGTCGAGTATTGGTGTAATTGCTCTTCCAATAATAAAGTTGGGGCGTGATCATCAGGCGACATCCCTTCGATTAGATACATGTGCTGGAAGATAAAGTTGATCTGCTGCTGCATGGCTACTTTTGACAGGTGTTGCCGGAGATACTTTTTGCGCTACATGTTGTACTCCACTCACTATTGATCCTGCAGCAACACCTATTTCAGTACACAGTATACTTGGAATACAGACATCGCATACGTACATTGAGCATCAAAAGACTGCCCATCCAACCATTGCCACAATCGACTGAAACGCTTCCAATTCTCCCTCCGAAAAAGTCGAATGGCGACCATCGGCCATCAGCGTGGTGAAAGTTGTCAATGGCGTCGTTTATCATTGCCTCGGCATGCGATTGTTGTTGGATTGCTGTTGTTGAGTTTGCGCTATTTTCCTTGAAAGGTGAATAACAGAGAAAGAGATAATGGGAAGCAACGAGCAGCGACTGAATCGGCTAATTTTAGGCGTGGCAACCAGTGTCAGCCGACATCAAGAAGCTGTGCCTTGTTGTTGTTGTTATCCCACCAGAGCACATGTCACACAGAGATGGAGATTGTCAAACACATCCATGGTCGAGACTAAGGTATGTGCGTATCTTTATATAGAGTTATCAAGGGTAAATGGGTTATCTCATCATGACATTAAGCAGTACTTTTGACAGGGGGAAACGTGTGCAGCAAACAAGGAAGAGTACTACGTTGCGGCGGCATCATCCCGACAACGACGACACCAAGCGCCGCTGCATGGATAAAGCTGGCATCTCCGAAGCCATCGCGTCTTTAACGGTTGCATTCACACACACGTACACATACACACATACACGCACCTTTGCTGCTATTCGAATCGTGTCATCAGCTATAAGGGAGTGTTGTGGATCTGCAGCTTGGATGTTTATTACGGCAATACAAGGTCATCAGATCGTGGAATGAACATGGTCATGTTATTTTCGCCAAACCGCGCTTTTCCACTCCCTTCTCGGTACCAACCATGTTGAGTAACCTGACCTTGCATCATCACCCGAGTGATCCCAAAAAAATCCTCCCCCAGGGTGGGAATCAGATAAAGGATATTGGTAAGCTTGCGTATAGATATGGATACAAAGGGAGGAGAAGGAAAAGGAGGGTCTATCATAGAAGGTATTCGAAGCTGATGGGGTTTTTTTTTGAATAGGTCTTATCATCATGACATGCAATGTGTTTCGGGTTGGCAAGCTAGTATAAACAAACGGGATCGGATGTCACGTTAAAGAAGAAAACACACAGGTAACTAGGTTGCACAACAAGCCGCGTTAAAGTTTTCTCATCTATAAAAGTGCCTTTGTCCTTGTTCTCTTGCTTACGCGCGCTTTCTTTCGCATCTTCAAGCATGACCAAGTTCCATATCTTCCATAAGGTGGTCAACGTGCTAGTCTACCTCGTTTTCCTTTCCTCGACCGTTTACAGTGTCGTTGGTCCTGCACCTGGTGACACCTCTGTTGATGATGGCCAAACCTATATCACGCCATGTAAGTCTGTCAAACATACACTTTACCTCCATGCAAAGCTAATACCATCATCATGAAGCCTTCTGGATCGAATACTTGTGGACCCTTATTCATATCCTCTTGGGAGGCTTTGTCATTTATCAATGGTTCGAAGATGCCCATGAAGCTGCCCTTCATGGTGTTGGCTGGCACTTTGTTATTTCGGTTATCTTGAGCGCCATTTGGCTCGCTCTCATCGTAAGTTTGGACTTGGTGTACCCTTTTCGCGTCTCACTAAAAGTTAACACACTCTTGGCATGGGACATTTGTAGAAGCACTCCCACTACATTATTGGTTTCATTTTCTTGTTGCTCACCGCCTCCTCTGTATCCTATGTCTTTTGTGAGTATGATGATGATGATGCAAGCCGAGTGAACAAGTAACTTATCGTGTGCATGCAGATAACTTGGAGAAGAACTATCCTGCCAACTCTTGGTGGGACAAGCTTTTCATCCATGCCCCCTTTTCCTTGTGGCACGGCTGGATTGTCTTTTCCGCGGTGATTGGTTTCTTCCAAGCCTTTACCGGTGTCCATGAAGATGGTCCTGGTTTCTGGAGCCGTCTCTTTGTCATCATCGGCATGGGTGTCCTTGTGGTCACTGCTGTTGGCTACGTCGAATACAAGAAGGAAAAGGGTGACCTCACTGGTGCCTTGGTCATTGCCTTGGGCTTGCTTGCTGTTTTCACTAACCAACATGATCCTTGGATCCACTGGTATGTATTTTAAATGTGTGCACCGGATATGAATGCCGATTGGTTAACCTGAATTTCTTTGTCTTTAGGTTTGCTTTGGCCTTCGCCATCATCACCTTCTTGTACCCTGCTCGTCCTTATATCTTCAAGTGGTTGGGCCGCTCTTCGGATACCGAGAATGCTCCTCTCTTGGGTTAATTTCCTTTCTTGCCATTTTACCCTTTTCTTGTAATCCATGGATTGCTTTTTCATGGCACCCTTTTTCCTTATGAATAATATTTATCATTGCGCTTTATTGATGTTGTATGTTGTAATGTGTGACCTTGTACAATGCTCCCATCGATATGTTATGTATGTGAGTCTTCTTGTGTGATGCATTCCGCGGTGTGATCTTCCATTAGCAGCTATGCTCAAGTGACCCATACACAACAACATAATACATTTTAATAGCAGTTGTCGTTCAATATAGGCTCTTACATGTGCTGCATGACCGACGATTCGTTTCTCCTTGCACAAACATAAGCATGACCTGATTGTTTGATTGTCTCGGGTCACCGGGTGATGATTGATCGTTGCAAATGAAGGTCATTGGAACATGATTCCATGAGAATAATCCCCCATATCCCCACCCTTACTCTACACAATGCTGCATTGTTTATGTTTGATCCTCATTGTCAGATAAATAGGGTTGTTTACATCCTGCATTTGTCTTTAAACGGAATTAAGCTAGCTGATAAGACAGCTTTGGTTTATTCATTTGGCAATAATAGCTAGTATTATGGATGATCTTACTCACGTTGACTGGTTGAATCGAGCACAATATGCCTACAAGAAGAAGCCATGATAAGCTGCCGAGGCAGGGATGATTTCCCACGCATCACGTAAATAAAGGTAAGGTATACCTGCAGTTGTGAGACAAGTGGATGGTTACTCAAATGACGATGCAGCATTTTGTGCTTATTCTGTAACAAGAGCCAAAGAAAATGGGAAAAAGAAAGAGAGTGAGAGTGAGAGAGAGGGTGTTTGTACCACGCATCTTGTAAGAGAGAGCGAACAAGACAAAAAGAGGCGCACCAACCACGTGCGGAGTATGCAAGTGAGTGTGTGTGTGTGGTGGATTGAGCTGTGTGTGGTGTGTGTGAGTGTGGGTGGGTGGGCGGCTGCTGATACCCGATCGGTCGACTGGATCACTGGCAACTCCCTCTTCCCTCAGAAATAGATAACGGTAAGGGCCCCTAATCCATCCATCCATTATCCAACACCATCGATCCACTCTATTCGTTCATCCATCATCCACATCATCGACGACACAAGAAATGACATCCAATATTGAGTCCACTTTGACTAATCGTCCACCCCCCACCCAATGGCAATTCCCATTGTACTCCTCAATAGGCCAACATGGTTGCTTTGAATCTCCCTGCTGACGTTTTGGCCAGCGCCGATGGCTCTCGCAAGCTCTTCAACAAGTGGTCGTATGAGGATGTCGAAGTCAAGGATATCTCTCTCCAAGACTATATCCAAGTGCGTCAACACGTCTACTTGCCCCACACTGCTGGTCGTTTTGCTGTCAAGCGTTTCCGCAAGGCTCAAGTATGTATTGTTATAGTAGTGCTATGGATGGTAAACAGCAGCATTGACTCATGCCCGATTCCCCCATAGTGCCCCATTGTCGAACGTTTGACCAACTCGCTCATGATGCACGGTCGCAACAACGGCAAGAAGCTTATGGCTGCTCGTATCGTCCAACACGCTTTCGAGATCATCAACCTCTTGACCGACCAAAACCCCATCCAAGTCATGGTCGATGCTATCATCAACACTGGTCCTCGTGAAGATTCCACCCGTATTGGCTCTGCTGGTACCGTTCGTCGTCAAGCCGTTGATGTCTCTCCCATCCGTCGCGTCAACCAAGCTATTGCTCTTTTGACCACTGGTGTAAGTAATGGGATATGGGTGATCATGTGATTCATAAGGGGAGAGAGAGAGATATTCATCGTTGTTCATCATATAGACCCGTGAAGCTGCTTTCCGCAACGTCAAGACTATTTCCGAGTGCCTTGCTGATGAGCTTATCAACGCTGCCAAGGGTTCTTCCAACTCGTACGCCATCAAGAAGAAGGATGAGCTTGAGCGTGTTGCCAAGTGTAAGTACAAATGGAAAAATGCTACATACCAATTTCAGGGTACTCATTTTGTTTTTTCTTTATAGCCAACCGTTAAATCTATTGGTCGTCGTTTGTGTGTCTCTACAATAAAAGAACCTTGTTCAAGGGAATTACAATGCGTGTGTATGAATTGGATATTTGGATGGAATTTATTTCTCTCAAGATCAGGGCAAATTGATGGAACACTACTAGGTAGAGAGTGTAAAGAGCGGGTCTATTTACTCCTTCGGGAATGTCGATCGCTATACAATAAGCACGAGGAAATCTTGGCGTATGCTATGCTTGGTCCCCTTCCCTTACATGTTTGCAAGTAATGATGATGTACATACACGCAAATAAAACGTGCACAGGTGCATGCTAGATTCATTTGTGAAACATGAAATCAGGTTGTTAATGGTGTTGTTGATCACGTGGTAAAAGAGTATATCCCAAAACGCACTGTCCTCCACAAGGAATGATATCATAGCAGCTGATTGAGAGTAGTAGTAGTAGTGGGGCGTAATACATATCATCACCATGACAAGTTGAATAGCGCGCAAGAAAAAAGGGGGGGGGGGTTGTCCTCACTATGTACCATTGGGTATCGCATACACAGAAAATCATTCCAACCTCTCCTCCTCTAAAGCGACCAGAGTGACACGGATACATCTCTTTTTCTTTTTCATCCCTTATACGCAAGGGGCGATGGTTAGGTACATTACTCTAAATATCCACCCACACCTATAGTTAGTAGCAGTAAACCTGTTTTGGTCGTCTGGATTTTCCCCCCAAATTCCCAAACAGCAAGGAGATTATATAAAATCAAGTCGTCAAGAGGTATGTGTGTACATTGCTGGTGGAATTAAAGGATGTATTTACAAAAAAAGTGCTGCTGTTATGGTATGGGTGTGTGCGTGCGTGGGGTATTTTCCTTTTTCAAAACCATCAGGGGCGAACATAGGATGAGGAGGAGATGCTCGTCAGGGTGATGGAAGAGTGATGAAGAAAAGGTGGTGGTGGTGGCGAAGGGCTATCAGCAGCTTCTGGAATCGTACTTAGATAATGGGTACCCGATGATGATGGTGGTGGCAGAGCACATGCATTATCCAACATCATGCCCGTTGACCATCGTTTACGTTGTTGTTGTTGTTGCTGTGATCGTGGTGGGGGTAACATGGCAACCGTAGTAGAGGCGCTGTTACGATATTGGTTGTTGTTACGCGTAGTAGCAGTGGGCCCAGCTGGGGAGGGAAAAAGAGCTGCTTGGATACATTGAAAAAGCAAGTCGTGGTCGTCATTATAGCTTGAAGATGATAATGCAGAAGGTGTAGGATCAATGCATGATGAGCGTTTTGTCGAAGACTGTGTCTTTGTCTTTTCACGACGATGACGTTTCCTAAACAACCAGTTGATAAGGTTCATATACGAAGCGAAAGTGGCGAGGAGAAAAAGTGGGAGAAAAAAAGTAGAAAAGAAAAGGAAAAGGACATACAAAGTGTCAAATAGCAAAATAGACAAAGGCTGTGAGTGTAACTTACAAGGATAATCACATACCTGGAAGGGAGGTTTCCCATTGAAAACAAAGGTAAACTCCCCCCCCCCCCAATTGTGTGTCATGGAACCATCAGCCTTCTTGTCAAGAACCGCAGCCGCAGGTCACATGCAGATATGTTTGTGCACTTTGGTCGTTGTCTATATCCAAACTCTTCCTGCCATCCAATTGCAAACACATCAGGAGCCGATAGGTCTCAGCTTCTTAAGTTGAAAATGATCAATTACTACTTGATATTGAGGTCCATCGTAATACACATTGTCGTATGAAAAAGTAAAAGAGAGAGGTGTTCATTATGGGTGATTCCTTGGGTACAATGGAGTGGATAAAATGATTGAATGAGACATTGAGAATAAAGAGTGCATATGACAATGAGAAAGTGAGTGCGTGTGTGTTTATATGTGTGTATGCAAATAATAGGATGTAATGGTGTAAAAGGAAATGGGGGAATCAGGAACAGCAAAAGTCAGCAAACATGTCCTTGTAAGGATCGTCTCCATCAACATCTTGTTCCGGTAGCTTGGTATCAGGATATTTTTCAAAGTTGCCCGTGTCGCCTGGATGACGGTACTTGGGTATAATAGGTGCCTATGGTACATGATGTTTGGTATCATAGCCAATGGATGGTAATGATAGGGAAAAACAATCGACTTACCCTTACAGTCTTTTCAAGAAGACCAATCCAATCCACACCACGAAACCATTTGTGTCTCTTGATATCTTCAGGTCCTCCCTGTGACAAAAAAGAAGGTTGGCTTACTTGAAATTGCTACTTTCACATGATGCATGAAATACTTGCCTTGAGGTTGCCTAATCGTTTTGTCCTATCGCCAACTAGTAAACGTTTGAGCAGGTCCTTTGCGAGCAAATCAAAATGACTCGGGAATTGCACTCGGCCGGCAAGGATCTTTTCATAAATCCCAAAAGAGTTATCGTCAAAGAAAGGTGGATATCTTGTGAAAGTGCAAATGTGAGGAAAAAGAGTAGGATCCCAAGAATGCATGATCTACTTACCCTGCAAGCATTTCGAATATCAAGATGCCAAGTGCCCACCAATCCACAGCCTTTCCATGTCCTTTACTTTGAATCACCTCTGGCGCCAAGTATTCGGGTGTACCACATAATGTCCATGTCCTAATCATTCATGTTAATCACATGTTACAAGAAGGAGGAGATAATGTACGTACCTATCCTGGATGATCTTGGCAAATCCAAAGTCTGTCAAGATAATGTGTCCATCATATCCCAGCAATAGGTTTTCAGGCTTTTCTCGAAGAAGCTGATGGTTAGTCAACTTTCCACTTATCGTCTGGTATTACATATACCTTGAGATCACGATAAACAATGTTCTTGGAGTGGAGGTATTCAATAGCAAGAACGATTTCTGATGCATAAAAGCGGGTCATATCGTTTGTGAATCTGCCAGCGCGACGTAGATGAGAGAACAATTCACCACCGACAACGTATCCTAGCAACATGTACAAGTTTGTATTATCTTGGAAGGCGCAAAATCTATAAAGAGGAAGGCAATGTGAGTAAACGATCATTGTTGTTGACAATAAACACAAACGCACAGATCGACAATGAACGGGAATCGGACCGACGCCAAGATTTGTTTCTCCCACAGTAAATGTTCGACCTATGATCATGCAGCAAAATAAGTTACTCGGATCCCCCAAATTCGGAAAGACGCCGACGCTATGCGTAGCAACACACGCACACGCACAATTATTGTAACCCCTTGCTCCTTTTACCTGCTTCAATCGTACTACTTCGGATTTCTTTAGCACCTTCATGGCGTAAAACTTGTTCGTCGATCGGAATCTTGTCAAGTAAACTCGTCCAAATGTCCCCGTACCTTAAGAAGTGGGATGAGTGAGTTTAAAGATCCATGATGGCATGATGTATAATAAGAACATTTACCCAATGTATCCATTAATTCAAAATCCTGCAAAGTAAAGCTTGGATTGACGACATAAACAGGAGGACGAGTGTGAAAGTATTGTAGACGTTTGGCTTGTTGTTGCTGGAACACGGACTGCGCCGTTGTGGCACTCAGGGGGTGATTGGGCGGCAAGTTGTGCTGAGGAGAAATGGGCGTAGTAGTAGTAGTAGTAGTAGCAGCACCATGACCAGTGGTTGTAGCCATAGTGGTAGGGGTGGCAGCTCGTTTATTGGCAGTCGATCGTAGCGATTGCTGTTGATAGGCACGTAGATTGCTCAAATAGACAGAGTGATTGTTGCCAAGAGACAGTGGTGAATGAGGGATCTTTTTAGTGTCGAAGGGAGTAGGTGAATTGCTCAACATTCTGAATTGCTTGTCCTCTTTTTTCCTTGCATGAGGATCCATAGTTGCAAATGAAAGAGATGGTATTCCCACTTGACACGACACAAAAAAGGAATAGAAAAAGAGAAAGAGTGTGAGTGGGGGAATAGGGAGGAGAAGAAACGAATAAAAAGAACACTGGTGTGATGTGTGTGTGTGTGTGTGTGTGTGCAGCAATACATAAGTGGTAACCTAGCACTCTCGTTCTCATGTCGGCTGTTCCGATAGTGTAGCTCTTTATACACACACCATCACTTTGATATGCACACTCTTTTATTCATGATTGGATCCATAATGTTGGGGATGGGATGGATGGGGGCACTGACCACCTGCAACTCATCACACACACACAAGCACACAAGCACATCATGGAGCACACAGCGAGGCATTTTGTATGTGCCTCGCTTTTACTTTTTACACTAATTACTCTTCTTTTGTGTGTCGGCCTTCTTCCCGAAACGTGTAACTGGGGCGGAGATGATGTTACATTAGCAACTTGTATTTGGAAACCACGCGTGAAGCACCAACAGAATGGAAGAATGTCAATTGTATGTACCAATGAAGCATCCCTTTCTTTGTTTACTTTGAGACTTATGCAAAAGTCATCGGACAACGGGCCGTGATTCCATCATTCATCAATTGCATACATATTATTTGTTGCTTTGCTGCATAATGGGTATCTCAGATACCATCCTCCTCCTCCTCTCCTCTCTTCCCACTACCACTTATTCGATCCAAAAGCCGCATTCCTCCATCATGTGAGTATCTTAATGAGATTGTTGTTGTTTTGATGATGATAATGATATACATGTACTGAAATGCAAATAACAAAATGCTAAACTCGTGCCTTTTTTCGTGCTTCTCTCTTTCTCAAACGCTGCAAACGCTTAGCCGACATCTGTAACAAATGATGTATCAGTCGCTGTATCCCGATAGCTACCCATGAATCATATACACCAACCTTAGCTGCCAATGCCTCGTATCTTTCCTTCTCTTCTTGAATACGTTTACGTTCCAAAGTAATCTCACGTTTACGCTACACCATTGTGGGTCAATATTCCACCAACGTAATTACATCATCCACCCACCCATATGACTTACATCCTTCTCGGCTTGCTTATCAGCTTTGAGTTGTCGTTCTAAGGTCTTCACAGCATCCATCTTTGCTCGCTCGGCCGATCGCTTTGCCCAACTGTTTCGAAGGCTTTTGGATTTCTGTGCTCGTACAGTGGCCGTCTTTTTCAGTTTCCAGTTTTTGCCTACATGGGAGTTGGTTGATCCAATACAATCAGCCTTTGTTGGACAACACGATCGGGCACCGATCTCGGCATGAGACGAGTGTTATACCTGATACTCGATTGGTGACCGTTTCAACAACGCCTCCTTCAGCAACCTTGATATCCTTATCTTCTGCAGCCATGGTGTAGATATTATATATGTACAATAGAGACAAAGAAACAAAGAAAGAAAAAAAGCTTGCAAACAGCAGCACCTGAAATGTGATAATAGCGGAGCCTTGATTTCCCATCAAGTAACAAGAGGCAGAAGTTGGTGTGTCCCTTATCCTTTACCCCACCTACTACTTCTCTTTCTTTCTCTCTCTTTCTCGTATTCTTTATTTCACTCACTACTATCTATCTATCTTTTTCTCCTTTATCTACTCGTGCTCAGTTACCCGCGCGTATCCATTTATGTCCTTGTGAACTATCGACCTTCTTTCTCGAATAACGAACGTATCTTGAAACCAACCACCTTTGGCAGCACTGACAAGAACCCAACCCACCATTGTTGCATGGGCTCAATTGGACAATCATGGATACCGATGCCACGCGACGATACCGCCTTCCCACTCACTTGTCAATGAAATTGCCACAATACAGGCAGTACTTCAACCCACCGAGTTTGGCAGCACCCTTGAGAGACATTCCCGATCCACACGATCTGTTCAATATTAAAGAAGACCTCGAGAATATCGCCAGTGAACCGGAGACACGTACACAACGCTTACAACGAGATTTGGCTCACTTGTTGGAGAACGTCAAAGTCTTGGAAACACCACCTGGTAAAAAGATCATCGAAGCGGCATATCACATAGTGGACAACATGCTGATAAGATGCATACTTGTATGTATGAATAGAACAAAAGCCAAGACCAGTAACAGGTGGCAAGAATATGGAGGTTGTCATGGAAAGAATGCGTAAGCAACAGCAACAGCAGCAACAGCAACAACAAGAACAAGAACAACATGCCACTTTTAAAAGTAATGGGAATTGTGTGTAATGTCATGTCAAGTATCTGATCGATGTATACACATCTAGGCGATATATACGACTCTGGGATCACCAATGGAAATGGGATGAGACATAATGCATCAAGGATATCAAAGAATCAATTGGAACGTCAAGCGTAAGTGGTGCATGATTCATTACTGTTATAAAACTCATTCAATGGTTTTTCTTTAGTGCATTGGAAGCTCTTAAGCGACGGCGAAGGCGAGATGATTCTGAAGAAAGCTTTGAAGGTATTGTAAAGAGGGAAAACGAAAGCTATACATGGTATTGATGAAGAAGCAAAAGGCATTGTGTCATCAGGAAGAGCAACGCGAAGGTCTGATAGTCCTCCTGCAGATGTGATACAGGTACAAGAAACAATGCATGTATGTATCTAAGCTAACTCTACCTCTATGTAGAATGGAAGAAAGCGCAAATCGATGGAAGAATCCTCATTATACAATGGAAAGCAACGACAACAACCGCCACATCCTCCACCCACTCCTCCTCCATCAGCGGATCATGTTAAGAAACAAAAGAATCATCACACCACAGTGGATGAAGAGCTCGATTTTGTACGTGTCAAACCCAACCAACAAGTCCCCATCGTTACATTTTGGCAAGCCATGGAGCCCTATTTTCGCCCATTGACGGAAGAGGACAGGCGATTCCTTATGAAGAAGGTAAGGATCTACAATGGGGAATTACAAGGGAGAATGAACCACTGACGCCAAACATGTGGTAGGAGGAAGAACACGAATCCACGTTTGAAGTACCGCCTTTGGGCAAGTATTATCTCGAGCAATGGAAGGAAGACGACCGGATATCGACTGAACTTTCATCTCGCCATGCAAATCGCACTGCCGACCTATTGGATGATGGATCACGAGAAGGATTATTGGAAAGATTGTTGAGCTCCCTGATACCCGAACATGAGGAGCAGCAGCAGCAAAAACAGCATCATGCGGTTTTGGATCATGAAGAGGTGGATGATGATGATGATGACGACGATGATGACGACGATGATGATGATGAAGATGACGACGACGATGATTTATATGATGAGGAGGAAGATCCTGATGCTATCATCAGCCATTATGAACAACCAGAAACACCCTCTTTTGAAGATCGACTTCGACAAGAAATGCAATACATCGGTATATTGAGTGATGATGTGGACGAGGTAAATCACCAAAAGAGATTGAAGGAAAAGGATTCAGCGTATTAAAGCCATATACAGCACAACTGGAATGCAAGAGAGGACGATGATATCTCGGCTGAAATCCGGAGGCTGGGTCGCGAGTTGAAGGAGCAAATCAATACCAACGAATACCGTAAGAGTCGCTTGCTACAAGTTGTGGATACCCAGTTGCAGTATGATCAATATCGTCAAGTGCTTGATGCCCTTGAAGTGCAAGTGGAACAAAGCTATATGAAACGATTCGTAAGTATCGAGGCTAGGATGCATGTGTGGGATGTCATGGCATTAATGATGCATTACACTAGCGAGTACAAAAGGCAAAGAAACGCAAAGCGGGATCATCAACAAAAGCAGGCTTATCTGAAAACACCGTTGCCGCCATGGAGAAGCGTAACATGTTTATCAAAGAGCTTGGTCCTTTGTTTGTGGATAAGAACCTTGTATTGCCATCCCACTCTATTTACGACAACAACGGCGAGTAGTAATAGTAGTATAAAAATCATCCAAGAACCTTGTACATTCATCACTTTCCCCACTCATTGTGTCATTCCCACACCCGCTTTCTCATATACTACATCTATATTAAAAGAGCAAACAATTCATTCATTGTACGATACGATGTTTATTAAGCACGAAGATGACTATTATGACGACGTGTTCAAGCTTCTCCACCGCTTACGTAAACAATGGGCATATTGATCATACTTTGTACCCCATTTTTCAACCAATTCCCTACTCAATGTCACCAATCGAGAGACACCAGGCCAAGTAGATTGATCATGGAAGCTTGGTTTTGATAATTTGCCCCGAGTGTCAAATCCTCGCATGACTCGTATCACAAACAGCCAATGCCACGCACGTTCCACCTTGTCCCACACGGGTAATGATTCATCCTGCTCGATCCAGGTCCACAATGTGTGCCAGATTTGACCATGATCCGCTTCAAACTTGAGTAAAGAGACCCATGCTTCAACAGAGACTATATTCTCAGCAGTGATACTCGCTTCATTGACCTGAATGTGTACTTGATCAGGACCTAGGCGGTACAAGTGCTCCAAAAGAAGGTGTTGTGCGCGTGAGTCATTCAAAGAAGGATGCAATCTACGTTTCCAATCCATATAGTACACGAGGATCAGAATCACCCACTTGCTAGGGGTCCGCTTCCCATTCAGTGTCAGCACACGTTGCACCATGCATTCAATCTCCTTTTCAAAGTAGCCTGGTAATGCTCGTCCTTGTACCATGATGGACCATGAAAGAAAGTGATAGATGCACGTAAACTTGCGTAATTCAATCTCTTGCTCACGTCCTCCAATATCACGTTCAATGTAATTGGCAAGGTGATGAAAACATTTATACAAGAGTCGTTGGAGTGAAGCATAATCCATCCATGCAGGTGGTGGTGCCATGTTGTCATCATCGCTGCTGCTGCTGCTATCCATCATCGGTAATTCTTCTCCAAAGACTTGCGTTGCAGGCATAGCGAGGGGTTGTTCTTGTTCAAAAAGATTTGCAAGGAATCCTCTTCCAATATAACGTGTTCCAGAAATACTGCCTTCGTAGTGAGATGGAGTTGTGTTGAAATCATAGGTGAATGTTGGATGCGATTTGACAAATTCTTCAAATGGATCTTGAATAGGTGTTGTTGTTGATGGAAAAGATAATGCTGGTGAAGAGGGTTGAAGAAGTGAATGCTGGAATGGTGGATGACTTGCTGAGGGTGGTGGTGGTGAATTAAATGCAGTGGATGTCGTCAGTTGTGCAGAGGATCGAGAGTTGGTATTGGTATCGAGCTCCATGTCGTCCATGTCGTCATCGGAGGGAAGGTATGGAATATGCGATCTTGATGGATCTCCACGTCCAAATTTGGGTAAAGAAGGAAGATAGTCATCATCAAGACGTGGATGAATGTAAATGCCATCTAACTTGTTGCGTTGTCGTCGTCGTCGCTTCTTACTCGGTTGCTGAGGATGATGATTACTGCTTCCTTGCGCTGTTGAATTGGATGAACGTGGCATTTTGGAGGATGAATATCGAATCTTGTTGCTGGATGAATGATTGGTATTAGTTGTTCGAGGCCGTGATGATGATGATTTTGAAGGTTGTCGTGGTGATGATGATGAATGGGATGCAGAATGAGATTGAGGAGGTGATTCAAAAAATTCAGGAAGCAACTGCTGTTTCAATGTTGGATCGTACATAGGTAATTCATCCGCTGATGCTGATGATGATGCTGATGATGTTGTTGAGTGTGCATCATTATCCTCTTCATCATCCATTTGAGCAACTGGTTTGGGTCGTTCTTCCAATCGCTTTGCTACAATGCCGAATGAACGTGGTAGTACGCCGTGTGTTGAAGGTAATTCATTCATGTTGAATCGCTTTCTCTTTTTGGGTTTGAATTCTTCCGTATCCTCCACCACAAACTCATCATCATTGCTCGTTGCTCGCTGTCTTCCTTGTCGTCGACGCTTTAATTCATCCATTGCTGCTTGGTGAGTTGAGCGTGGTCGTGGAGTAGTCGGCGTTGAATCATCAACTGGATCATCGTCAATGGGATCAACGGGTTCAGCATCAATGGGAAAATCAAATATGTCATCCACATCATCATCCTTGCCACTATTTCAGATGTTAGCTATCATTCGGATTTGTCTCTATGTCGATAGATCTTCTTACCTCTGTCGAGTTGCATTGGGAAATGGCGATTGGATTGGATGCTGAGGAAATGCAAACACGTCTTCAACTTCAGGTTCTGGTTGCTGAATGTCATCATTTTCCATATTGTCATCATCTTCATCTTCTTCTTCATCATCCTCCATAATCCTTGGTGCTCGTCGTCGTGATGATTGAATTTTGGATTTCATTGGCCTTGTCATCCGATGCTTTTTCTTTTTACTACCATACACGCGTGATACTGTTGGTGCTCTTGTATTGGTGGTATGGGTAGGCCACAGGCTCACATGAACAGAAGAACGTAAAGGATCAATTGGAGGTGGTGTTGATGGCAAACTAGGGGAAGACGTAGATAGAGATGGTGATGATGTATGTCGCTTTTTCTCTGATAAACGCATGTGTCGTAATCCTTTACGTACAATACGCTCCTCTGATTCATCATCGTCATCATCTTCTGTATCCATCGGATCATCATCGTCATCATCATCTTCGTCGTCTTGGTGATCATTTTCTTCTTCTTCATATTGATCTTCAAGGCTGTGTTTCTCTTCCTCTCTTCGTAAACGTGCATCAGCTGCTAGTAACTCTTCAATACCAGCAATTTTTGCCTTGTGTAGAGCGAGTTCCCAGGTGTATGGCTTTACTTGATTTTCTCGTCTTGGACGCAATCGACGAACAGGAGGATTCTTTTTGGGTGACGATGAAGAAGCTGATGCATCATTCTCATTGACTGCCTCATGTGTAGTAGCCGTATTCTCATTGACTTCCTCAGATGTCCCGGATGATATCATAGCCGTATCGGGTGTCGAGCTTCGGTCGAGATGAACCATCGAGTTGTCGCCTTCGCTGTTGTTGTTGGTTGTTGGAGTGATGCATATGCTGGGGCTAACAGAAGTCCACACCTCAATGAAATGCTTATCATCCTCTGCAGACAAATAACCGTCCTCTTCTACAGGTAAAGATAAGCGTCATGGGTGAGTGACATGTATGCATGGGGGTTGACATTGTGCATTACCAGAAGTAGGATCTTTCTTCATTGTCGATTCCAGGTACCAATTGTCCTTGAATTCGTGAGGCGGCATGGAAGAGTATGCTCGCGCAAGCTCCGGGTCAAAAGAACCGTTGTTATCGACGACATTGTCACTGGTAGCTGCCCCAGCGTGAGGGCTGGACATGACAGGCTTGATGCAGTTGAATGGAAACGGGACGTGACAAAAAAGGAACGTGTCTGGTTCCAAACCCACTTTTATTTATTTGCTCAGACGTTGGTGTCGCGTTTCGCGTTCATGTTGGTGCAACATTGAGAACCAGCAGCAGTATACAATTACGATTTACATACTAGAAAGTAATAGCTGCCCGAATAAATTACTAAATGTTTTCCATGCGACAAAATATATGCCAAAGCATGTCCTTGTTTGTCCAATATGAGAAATGAGCACTGAGTCCGAGAATGTATTCATTCGACATGACACCCGTCTCAGGCGTAAGCTCATAATCAAAACGACGTCCTTTGTCCATAGACCAAGGCCGGGCTTCTTTTTCTTCTTCAGGCAACGGTGTAGCTGGTGGAGATGATTCGCATGATGAACATGAGGATGCTGTATCACTCGTGTTATCATCTTCTTCTTCTTGTTGTTGATGCGATAACATGGGCTTGAGCTTTTCTTTTCCAAGATCAGGCATACTATTCGATCGCTGCAGCATAAGAAAGTCTCGATCCTTGCGTGTTATGAGAATGTCTCCTGCACTTGCACGACGCGATATTTCACTAGCAGGACGAGGTTCACCCAATGCAGCACTACCAAAGAATTGCCATACTGCAGAGGATAAATAACCTAGCAATGAGCCTGATGATGGCTGTGCCTTCTCCACTGTAACAGCAGGTGTGTGTGTAAAGTCTTCGTTGAGGAGCGGCTCAATGCGGAAAGCCAATGGATCATAGGGATGATAAATGTTCTCAAACACAACGCTGTCATCAGGATGATAATGACGAGGATCTTGGTTACGTGCCACCAGCAATCCTGCTACGGGACAACCCATACCAAACAAATAATCTGGCATGAAATCCAACCTTGGTACTTGAACATCAAAACGCCTCTGATGCTCCATTTCGATTGGATCACTCACATCTCGCTGGTGTGAGAGCATATCCCATGAGATCAAACCACCCAACGAGTATCCTAGGATAGCAATCTTGCCACAAAAGTTAGGCTGCTCCTTCATAAATAGATCGTAGGCTGCATTGAATTCTTGTGTCACATGTCGCAAAATGCTTTCTCCACGATTGGGACTAAAGTAATAAAGTACATCCGCAAGGTAATCGGTCTCGATCATGCGTAGCGTTGGGATTGATTTTGGCAAAATTCGATGAATAGCAGGATCCGTTTCCTGATGAATGTGTCGATGCCACTCGATAGGGATCATTTTGATTTGCATTTCTTGACCAGGCATCCGTGTCTGTAGCACTTGACGCATTGTGTCACGTAATGATTGCACTTTTGAATGGATGAAATCAGCCAAATGAACCCTCATGAAATGGGGGGAAACGACTTACTATTTTGCTCAAACATGCCATATTGCTCAGTTTGCTGATTGTAAGAAAGACCATGTTAGTGATTGGGTGCATATTATGGTACAACACTTGATCGCCTTACTTGGCCAATGCCCTACAAAGAAATGACTTGTGAGCCTCGTGAACGAATACCGTATGCGTGGGTATACTTACATGGATGACAAACACGACGTGGTCGCTATTAGAACACATGGGAGTTTCTTCTTCAAGCGATTGTTCGGTGGCAATTGGAGTTGAAACCTCCTCTTCTTGATCTGGAAACAAAGAAAGTACTCATATGAGTAATTAAGCACACCTTCCATAAGTCATGGCATACCTGAAGAATACATGTCTGATACGAGCTCAGGTGAATAAAGTCCTGTGGTTTCAAAAAACATCATGAAGAAAATCAAAAGAAGGATGACAACCAAGACAAGGAAGAGAACCATCATTTCTCCCAGAAAGAAATGTCAACAAGGGCTGACAGGGGAGGAGGAAAAAAAAGACATCCTAGCATTCTTTCTTTCTTTCTTCTCCCTCGCACTTTGGTCTCTCCCTTTTCATCACTCCTTTCACATACACTATCAACCACCCCATCTCAGGAACAAATCATCCACCATGTTGTCCTTGTTTTCTTTACCCCATCATCCCCCATTGATTCTTCCCCGATACACCTATGTATTGTTTAGCTTGCTTGGAAAGGGGGTCATAGTCAGCGTCCTTAAACCAGCAATGCCTTTGTACATGTCACTCGGCAAAATGTAATGAGCATGTCATTTTTGATCCATGTATGCAAGTGAAGCCATGATGCAAATGCATGTACCTCCATGCCAGGGCTCATGCTATGTATGTATGCCACATAATAAAATAGTATTTATTACCAAAGTGAACCTTATTGCGTATGTGGTATCATTACTGCGGCGATGGTGATGGCGATGTAGACCACTTGTGCCTGTTGTCGTTCCCCGCCAAAGTTTAAAAACAAACCTGATGTCAGCCTGTTGCCACTGATCACTGATAAGGGTGATGCTAGTAAAAAAAACAAGGAGACATTGCCCCAATGCCATCACTGACGGTGGATCATCCCTTTGCTTATCCGTAGATTTCAGGGGCAGCTGAAAGAATAGGTACATTGTAATCGTCACCTGTACATGGTGCCGTATCCATGACTACCAACTCACTGCTGCTGCCCAAATCATGCAAAGTTGGTCTGTGCGACATGTTGGTAATTGAATTATTTGGCCACTCATTATCTCTAATACGGTGCTATGCTACAATACATCGCTTTGATGAAAAATCATGTCATGTTGAGCCCCCAGACAATGAATTCAAGGCAATCCAAAAAAGGGCATTCCCAGTAGTAGGTAACAGCTCAACCAATCCCATAAGAATCCAAATGCATGCACGTCCCATTACTCATTTCCAGATATAGATTGTAGTGTACCAAAATGCGTGGGTATCTTATTATTACAGGTCTATTCGATTGCTTGTGGTGGTGGTGGTGGTAATTGCTGTTTCTTGTCTATATTATTCTCTTCTACTTCGCTATCCAAATCCTCATGCTCGTCTTCATCCTTCTCCAAGTAGGTTCTCAATTCATAGGCTTGAAGGCCAATTGTCGCCAATAATGCTACTGCAGCAAAACCAGTGGAGCCCCAAAATGACATGTGCACCGCATCCATGTAAGCTGAGATGACTTGGCTGCGTACAGGTTCTTCAAGACTCCAAAGATAGGATGCGCTTTGACGCACCTGTGCTGCTGATACACCGCTGATAGGCGCCAAACGCTCGTACAATGTATTGGATAAAATGGTCCCTTGCACTGTGATGCCTGTGATACCGCCTGTCAAGTCACATAACGTCATGAGAGAAATGATGGCTGGTACACTATTATACATGATAGCTATTTTAGCCCCTGAGCATCTACGTACATCTTTTTCAATTTACTTACTGTTCAAGTGATACTGATGCCTGCGCTGTAACAATACTGCTATTGAGCATACCACCAACACCAACACCAGTGATCAGCATCAAGCCTACAATCAATCCTCGACTCGAATCCGGTTTTAGCAGCTGCAGCAATCCACTGGCCAACACCAACACTGTCAAAGAGGATCGAATCGCCCATCGATAATGTCCCGTTTTAACAATCAAAAGTCCCACTGTGACGTTGGCAATGCATGCAACAAGCACCAAGCTAAGCAATTCCAAGTTGGTGGCCATGGAGTCTTCTTGGCGGATCACCGATAAGTACAAAGGAACATAGGTCATGAGTGATTGAAATGTGCCGCCATAACAGAAGGCTGAAACAAGAATCAGGACGCTACTTCGATTTTTGACGTAGCGAGGAATGACTGGATCGCTGGCACCTTTCCATTCCCATACACCAAAGGCAACCAAGAGAACCGACCCCACACACAACAATGCAATAATGACTGCTGAGCTCCAGGCTACAACATGGGTTGTTAATAAAATGCATTTGTATCATGTTGTTGGTACACTTACTATAAGTGGTACCACCCCAGCTGAGTGATAAGATGAGTAAAATAGCAGCTCCAAACCAAAGAAGGACACCAAAGAAATCAGCACGGATGTTGTGATGGCGACGAAATGTGTCACGGATAGAAATGGAAATGAGGACAATGGCAAGAACAGCACTAGATAACTTCATTAGCATGGTGTAATCATTTTGACAGCATCATGTGTGGATATCTTACATGCCAAGCTGTGTGTGTGAGAGAAAGGAAAACATAGATGCATGAATATGCAAATGATCGTTAGTGTGTATCGGGCTACCTTCCTAATTTGATCAACCTACCGCCATCCAAAAGACTGTTCGCCAATTTGTCCTTTCTACTGCAGCCCCACCTGGAACAAAGATACTAGGTTGCTTAGTACCCAAATGATACGTGTTGCCTATGATCCTACATACCAACAAGTGCGCCAACAATGTATCCGAGACCCCAAGAAATTCCCAAGGCGGCTTGGTATTTGCCGATGTAACGCACAGGTACATGATCTAGCATGTTGAATGTTATCATCGTATGAATCCTATGCCTCTATATACACTGCTTTACCTGCAATGACAATCTTCATGAGACTATCAAATGCCCCAATGCCAATACCACAGAGTGCACGCGCTATCACCAACATGAGCATGGATTGTGACGCTCCGCACAAAGCTGCCCCAAGAACGTAACACAACAGGGCGAATACAAAACAAAGGCGTCGGCCAAACACATGAACGTATTTCCCATACAATGGCTGTGCAGTGGCTGCCGTCAACAAAAACGCCTAAATTGCAGTAGTGGATACTGTAAGTCATCATCGATCTTGGCATTTCAAGGCGAAACACACACAACACACGCAACACACGTACCGTTTGCGCCCACGAATATAAACCAAATCCATTATACTCGGCAGCTGCCAAAGGGAGATTGCTGCTAATGACGATATTATCGAATGCTGCCAGAAATGACACAATGCATAACCTGTAGCCCCCCACCAATGTCAAAATGTCAGCATTGTGTTCGTGTGTGAAAGGGGTCGTCATTTGTTGGGGTGCAGTGTGTGCACTTACGCTGTAACAATAAGGGCTAGTTTGGCTTTTGGCATAAAGTGGGAGGAGGAGAAGGAGGACAAGAGAAAGAGAGAAAGAGAGGTACACGTTGAGGTTGTGGGAAAGAGCACGCTCTTATCATCGATCCATCAATGCATTACGATACCGCATTACCTAATTTTATCGTCCTACCTTCCCCCCTGATGGTTCGTGCGTTCAACAGCTTGTTGATCCTTATTATGCATGTTGACCGAGATCATGGATACACAAAATGCATCATCAGATCGCTCACAATGAAACCATGCCAACATAAAGAGACAAGAAAAAGTACAATGCTTTTCAATTTGATGTACAACAATGAATGAGAGAGGGAGTGATAAGAGGTACATCATGTGTGCGTGTGTGCAATATTACACTGCATAATTACACTACGTAGATAACGGGATCACTTTTTTCTTAGCCGCAAACGGGTTTTGGACAAGCACTAGGGGAGGGCAAGGATGTTGTAGTCGGCGTCGGATGATCATAAATGCAGTGTCTGGCAATGATGTCTCGATACTTAAGCTCGCTACCACCTTCATGATGCTGTTGCCCGTCAGGATTATTGGAATGCTTCTTATGAATGGGTAGAGCTTTCTTGGCTGCTGACAACGAAGCGCCAAAGTTGTATCGATGGGCAAGCCTTTCTTTGGCAGGAGTCTTCATTGTGCCTTCTAGCCCTGGGCCCTCGGGTGGTATGTTGCCATGACGACCTTGCGTTGAAGTTTTGGTGCGTCTATCCTTCTTATCGATCATGTGATCACTGTGGTCGCTTACCACAGCAACATTGATCAGGTAGTTGAGGCCGTCATTGTTATCCCAGTACTCTCTGCCATTGACAATGTAACGAAGGGCAAAAGAAACAGAGGTACTACTACTAGTCAACTTGTTGTCATCCAAATCAATATGAAAGACGAATCGATCCCATGGGCTGCCACAGCTTAAAATCGGCTCTTGATAAACCGCTTCGGCTTCTTGGTATGAATGCCAATCATTGGTCGTGTATCGTACAGCGACATGCTTTTGAAATGCAAGGTTGGCCACGCGACATTGACCCATCAGTGTCACTCTTCTTGTTTTGGTTATTACTTGTTCCACCGATTCCATACGAATCACCCCGCGTTGTGGTTGACTTTCCAATGACATGTTGTTGGGCCAATTTGGATGACACTTGAGGTTCAAAACAGTGGACAAGCATGATGCATCACCTTCCCTAAGGGCAATCGGTTCCTGGTTTTTCAAGAAAAACCTGACACGCTCCAGTTGATCATCGCTGCAGAATCGCACTTGTTTCTTTGCCTTTGGACGGCCATTGTTTTGAATGTCTTTTGGCTGCTGTGATAGTTTAGGTGATGAGATTAAAGTCACTCGACGATGAAAATGTCCTGAAAATGAGGATTGATAATAGAAAGGTGGATCCATAACAAGCTTCTTGCTCTTATTATACACGAGACATGATGACGATGTCAACCCGACAGGTGCCAAAGTCATTAAAAGAGAATGGGGAGAAAGCGGGATCGCTTGAGAAGAGTACAAAAGAGACCTCCAATGATGATAGTGAGCAAAGGGAAATGGTGGTTGTGAGCTGATTGCAGTGCTATATATATAGCTGCATTTGCGATATCCAGCAATCGATGGCACGATCATCAGTCATTAGCAGCGATCCAAAAAGTCTCTTTTATTTGTGGGTATTGTACAATGAAGAGTGTGTGAAGGTCGATAGCTTCCCACGCGGCTCATTATTGCATTGCATGCCAACTAGGTTTCCTCCGTCATCAAACGTCGATCTTTTGATGGCACCAGTGGTCAATAAAAGGGGGTACAACATAGAGGTATGTGCATATGTTGGGTAGATGATGATGATGATGGATACACCATTGCTCCCTTATGCCGACGAGTTTCGAGAAGGGGGGGTGGATGAGTTTCAACATTGCTATATTCTTGCCCTTCTTGGATACGTACATATCAAAGATCCTTTTGTTGATAATGCATGTGCAAATGAATCTTGCTCTACACAAGAAGTTTTTGATGGCGATGATGATGATAATGTTTGTTTGGGAGTGTGCAACCAAGTTCTCAAAACAGAGCATATCCAGAAAGGTCAACGCCATTTTTGGCAACAAATCATTCTTCTTTCCCCCAACAACATGTTTATAACAAATATAGTGTGGAAAGAGAAAAAGGTATTATGCACTACCAGGGGATGAACAACTTGTTCGCCTGACCTTTTGCCAAACACCATTTGGCCCTAAGCCTAAAGGAGTATACAAGCCTGGACAATGCGTGTCTATCCTTCCCCTATCCTATTTCTTGTCGCATAGCAACGACGACCTTTTTTTTGCTTTCTTGTTCCGGATGGTATTGATGCTAGCACCATTAGGGTATCGATGAGACAACCGTATCCATAGGCGACAAGGGTAATCTTGGAATCAGGTTGTCGTCAACTACATGCTCGACAGGATCATTCATGCATGATCACGTTTGCCCGCGCAAACAAGGTGTCATCTGATCCATAAAAGTAAAGTATTATCCTCACTTGGAGTGCACGCACTACATATCCAGCCATATAGATCCCCATTTTTCTTTAATAGTTGTACATTAGGATGCCTCCCTCGATGAAAAATCATAATACATGCATAGCATTCTATTGCTGTAACATCATTGACGATGATTTGTGACCTGCTGCCGCATGTTGTTGGTGGTGGATGGCATACCCCTATCCAACATTACCATTATCGTGGATAAACCGACGTAAGGCTATGCGTCTTTGTTGTTCCCATGTGCCCTTGGTGATAGCGTACATAAAAGTATACCCATTCGCATTGCTTATCGGCCCATAGTAATCGATTTTGTTGTTGGATGGCGGTATCAACCAACGACCACAGGTCTAACAATTGCCCCCAACCGCCCACTTTGGAACCAAACATTAATTAAATCAAGCACGCCCAAGCTAGTGATTTCCCTTAAACTATATCACGATTCATGCATATACGCACACGCCCCACTCCCTCTACTTGGCAATGACAATGAATTTATAATAATGGATATGGACCAATCAAGTTTAGCCAGAGTTGTGGGTACGTACGTACATACGTACGTTGGTTGTATATACAAAGTTGCAGGATGCATTGCATGCTTATGCCGGCATAGACTACAACGTCAAGAGCATGGAGGTGAAATTGTATTGTTGTGCTGGGATAGTTTGGGGGGTGGATGGGTGGGTATCTCTATTATCTTTTCGATGGCGGAATACAATGGGTGCAAAAAAAAGATTGACAAATAGGTGTAGAAAAAAGGGGAGGAGTAGTGCTTTCCCTGTCATAAAATGGTGCTTTGGTCTAAATACACATAAAATAGAATCCGATCGACAATGACATCATTTTGCCTTGTCCTTGCTTTTTCTACACACGGCCTTGTTGTTGATGTTGGTGATGCCAATCATGAGGTCGTCGTCGTTTGTTGGGGCGTCTTGAACAAGAAGAGGAGGAGAGCATGGTGCCAGTACCAGTGGTGTTGTTAATCGGAGATGATGTGAAAGAGGTGGTGGTGGTGGTGGAGGAGGAGGGGTGATGATGATGATGGTGATGATGTGCAGCGGATGATGATGATGATGATGATGAGGATGATGAGGAGGCAGACGTAGATGCTGTAGAGGAAGAAGAAGGGGGTGGCTGGAGCCTGACCAAGATCAAGGGCAAAATACGCCGACGTGCATTGATGAACCAATTGCTGATTTGATTGAGAGTGAGTCCAGTTCTATTTCTCAATGCCATTTTTTCATCTTCTGTGGGATATGGGTGTTGGCAATGATCAATGAGCCATTGTTTTAGGATGGCAGTGACGGTCTTTGGAAGATTGCCGCGACGTTTCCGATGCTTCTCATAGTAACAATCTTGACCAGAACGCTGTGATTGTTGTTGCGATAACGACTGACGGTGTTGAAATGGTGGCGATGGAGGTATTGAAGGGCTGGATGATGATGACGCTGTTGATGTAGAGCTTGAAAGGCGTGGCGATGATGAAGATCCTCCACCACCACCATTATTATTATGGCTGTTGCTGTTGTTGTCAACTACCATTGCATCTTGCATGTCATGATGGCTGTTGTCATTATTATTATTGAGCAAAGGATGTGGTGGTTGTGTTATGTATTGCCACCATTGGCTATTGACTTTGAGCATTTTATCCATTTGTTCCTTTTTGATTTGGATCAAGGGTCGATAATAAGGGTCGCCATATGATATGGACTTGTGCTTTTCTTGTTCATAATCATGAAAGAGAATGACAGGATGAAAATGATGACGGCTCTGTAAATGTCAAAAGAAAGTTGCAGGCATGTCATCTGTCAATGATTCTTCCCTCATATTTGTTTAACGTATATATAACAACAACACACTTACGCCCACGGATGACGATTGGTTGCCTGATGGGTTATTGTCTGTCAACATGATGTTGTGGCGGAAATTTTTAAAAGAAGAGAGGAAAGGAAAGGGTAAAGAATGGGAGAACAGAAGAAGAAACAAGGTTGTGGTTCCTTGCTGCCGCCCGTGTTTTTATATGCATTGAGAGAAACATGCATAAAGAGAGCGTTCACCGGAAAGATTTGGGTCTTGTCGTGTTTCATCTGCTGCGTAGATCTATTATCACCATTAGCACTGGTTGGGTATGTAGCGAGGGCGTCTATGTAAGAGAATGCTCTAGCAACCCTGCTCTTGCATAACTTGTCATTTGTCTCGTGCTGTCATTACAACTTGACAGAAGCTATACGCCAAGGTAGTGCATATTTTTGCATGCATGCATATCTCACAGGAGGACTTGCGATCCCATCACCAGCAGAGGAAGGTAACAAAAAGCCAAGTTGCTATGCTGTGTCTTTGTTTTGACAGGTCCCTGACTATCCAATCAACTCACACAACCTTATTTACTAATCGCCTATGGCTTCTTTGTTAGCATCATACCCTGCAACCATTTGTTTGTCGTCCCCATCCAATGTTTGCACACCAGGTTGAAAAAGGAAACATGACTCTTACAACGTTTGCAGGCCTATGGCTACATGCTACGTGTGTATGTGCGTCTTGTGCATCAACATAAATGTACCAGCTATGTATGATGGTGGATGATGGATAGGAAAGAATATTACCTTTTTCAACCCATTTAAGGAACACCATATTGCCCAACGTATCAACCTACATGTAACAGCTCAGCAATGATGGTCACTTAAAATCTTGTAACCTTGACACCTTTCTCCCAAATACGCCATGAGAAATCATTCAGTGACATTTACTGGATATAGCCATGTTGTGTATATAAAACAATCATGGATCATGGCAGGTGATGATGCTGCATGCATGGTGGGTCAAGTGATCGTTAGGTTGTAGTTGGCGTAAGAAGGCTACTAAGAGCGCGCTGAGATGATGGTGACAGAAGGAGAGGAAAAAAAAGACATTTACCCTGATGCAAGGGAGAAGATCATGCAACATCTCGGATAGTGTCTATGCTGAGGAAGGTATCACAAGGACCATCCCATCATTATCCCAATGCATTTCAGCAACGGAGCTTGTAAAGCAATGCACAATGTCTTTGACCATGCGTTTGTACAACAGTAACTGCGTAATGCCATACCGATGCCGAACATGAGCCGTCCTGCACAACGACCAAGTTGCTGCCGCTGCTTTTGTAGTATAGCAAACTCCATGTGGGTCGTACGCAAGCATGCGTCGGATAGCTTTGGGAAAGCATACAGCTATGTAAATCTAGACCTTCTTTTGATGTTGCATTAAGCCAAGATATGCATTGAGTAGATCGATAATGAGGGGATAATGGTTGGTGGGTTGGTCATGGCAACAACTTGTACAAGAGTTCTGAAACATATGAGCTGAGCTGGGATCTATACCTACCTAGTCTACAACTCCTTCAAATGGGGAAATAGAGAGCATACATAGAAATAATGAAATCAGCGAGCTCATTGTTCGATGCCAAGTTTTTCTCATTGATGAAGAAGAGTCATTATTATATACAATGCGTGTTGTAGATGAATAATCAACCACGTTGATGATGATGATGACGACGACGTCATTAAACAGCAGGAGCACAATGCAACCACCACGCCTTATGAATGTGGTCATACGTATTCTAGTACCCTGGATAGTGGGTAAGCAAGCACTTTAAGTGATAGATGATTATGCACATGGTAAGGTTGTTTAATTGCCAGGGACTGATGGGTATAGTGTGTGTACCTGGGATCATGTCATTTATGTGTTGGTCTAGAAAACAGGACTCTCCGCTGAGCATTTGTGTCACCTTATAACGGATGCAATCAAAAGCGACGAGTATGGCAACCAAGTCGATCACTTCTTTCCCTGTTCTGGTGGTTGTTTCTTGGTGTCGCTCTCTCACGCTCATTATCATCACAACAACAACAACAACGATACATCACGCACATCCTTTTTACATTCCCTTTTCCTTGTTCCTCCGTTTTCGTTTCAACTTTCTGTTTATCCACGATCCTTATCATACACACACACACACACACACACATTTACTCGCTCATATGACACCTTCTCCCGCTCAACAGCAGCAGGTGTCTCTCTCTTCTCATCATTGCATCGATAACGGAGGACTCGATTCTCCTGCCATCATGACAACAACCACGACCACAACGTCGGCCATTCCCTCTTCTTTTCAACAACACCTTGCTACAGATGTACCACAACCTCGCGACTCGACCCATCATGACAACCACTACACGCAACAGCATGCTCGAAATCAACGCTCTCACTCTGTCAATGCGTTGCCTAGCGATTTGCAGCAGCAACAACACGAGCAGAAACAACGACTAAGCTCGCACGAAGAAGAACAACCTCATCAACCATGGTGGCAGTATTACTATCAACTCTATCATTATCATCCTCCTCAAGGTCGGAAGCCAACCGTATTTGGACCTTATCTCTTGTTACAGACATTGGGTGAAGGCGAGTTTGGCAAGGTTAAATTAGCTGTTCACATCAAAACAGGTCAGGAGGTAAGTAATAGTGATTTCTTGTCTATGACTTGTGTTGTGTTGTGTAGAGAGGGAGGGGAAAGAGCCTATACTCATAATAATGATCCTAGGTGGCCATCAAGTTGATTAAAAAGGACAACCTTGATTCCTCCACGAGAATGATAAAAGTTGAGCGGGAGATCTCCGTGTTGAGAGTAAGGCAAAAGGGAAAAAGGTGAAGGATATTCGACACGTGCTAATCTCATGTGATGTCAATAGAAAGTGCGGCACCCTTACATTGTCAAACTATACGACGTTATTGAAACCGAACGCTATATTGGCATCATCCTCCAATGTGCTTCAGGTACAGCGCTAGATCTTTTTTGATCCTATCTTCTTTTTTCATTTATTCATCGCATTTGGATTTAGGAGGAGAGCTCTTCGAATACATTCTAGCACACCGCTATCTCAAGGAGAAGGACGCTAGCCGATTGTTTGCACAGCTGATCAGTGGTGTCCATTATATGCACCAAAAACATATTGTTCACCGAGATCTCAAGTTGGTGAGTATGTAGGGTTATGCATGATTTCCCATACTAACAATGACCTGCATATACCAACAACAGGAAAACTTGCTTTTGGACCGAGACCGCTGCATTGTTATCACCGATTTTGGATTTGCAAACCAGTTTTCATCAGCCAAGGATGATCTCATGTCCACTTCTTGTGGCTCACCATGTTATGCTGCTCCTGAACTTGTCATTAGTGAGGGAATGTACGTGGGTTCAGCTGTCGACATTTGGTCTTGTGGTGTCATTTTATATGCTATGTTGTGTGGATATCTACCCTTTGACGACGACCCTGCCAACCCAGATGGCGACAACATCAACTTGCTTTACAAGTACATTCTCAACACCGAGCTTGCATTTCCCGATTATGTCAGCTCCGAGGCGCGTGATCTACTGCAAAAGATGCTTGTGCCCAATCCAGCTAATCGATGTACCATGGATACAATCATGCAGCACCCATGGCTGAGTCAATATCGTTCGCTCTTTGAAAAGTCGATCAAGGAATTAGAAATCGAAGCCATTGATGCAGCTGATCTTCCAATGCCAGTGGTCCCTGATGATAGCCCAGAGCCTTCCACATCCCTTGTTGATTCAAAGAACCAGGAACCAGAACAACAGGACAACAATGATGCGGATGATACAATGAACGAAGATGTTCCAGCAGAGGATAATGAACAACAAAATGTGGACGATGTTCCTGCTACACCATTACCTGAATCTCGCAATGATACCCTTGAGAACAATGAAAAGGAAGATGCGCAATATGAAGAGCCAACAACAACAACTTCGGCTAATGTACAAGAAAAGGACGACAAAGATGATGATGATGATGATGATGAACCTATGAGAGAACGACATGGCGTCAGCCTAGACCTACCATCAACAGCACGTCGAACAGAGGACATTCGATTATCTCAACAATTGCCACGACCCACACGTACTACCAGCAAACGTGTCCATCAAAGAGGAACCGAAATGTTAAAGAGCTTCTTGTCAAGGAATGCTTCCAGCAATGGCAATAGTTACCGTACTTCGATCACAGCAACACCACCTGATCACCATCCACAACAACGACCCACTTCACTTATTCCCGGTCAATCCATTTTACATTCAAAGCTTTTATCGAGCTTACAACGCCAACAGCAACAACAACAGCATCTTCAAAATACAACGGCCCAAATCGATTCACGATTGGCATATATTAGCAGCACTCAGCGATCAACTTCTACAGGCATCGCATACCCTGATCAACCACCAACAGAACCTACATCACCTAAACCTACTTCGTATCCATCATCTCGCGGCACACGTCGAAAAGCACTTTCATTATTGGTGAATCCCCTTTCATCAGAGAATGGAAAACCTAATCGATCACTTTCTCGTCGTGGAAGACCTACATTCTCGAGACCAGCATCGCAACAAAAGACACCCACACCTTCAGCATCAGAACAATTATCACCAAGCTCTAGCAAAAAGAGTGCAGGCAAAAAGTTTATGGAATGGTTTAAAAAGACACCCCTGAGTAAGTAACCCAAAAGGAGAAGGAGGTGTAATTAATTCATGCAATCGTTGACAACATTTTTCTTCAGGTACGCATCCCCATCGATCATCGGCCAATTATACTACAACTCGATTCAACGATGCACGATTACGGACTTATCATGGTGCTGTTGATCAAAATGCTCTCACTTCAGCCTCACCGCCACAACTCGTCATGGAAATGAAGCACATCCTTATTGCCATTGGTATCGACGTGAAGCAAGATGGTGAATACAAGCTGAAATGTGTGCGTCGACAACGACATCAGCCAATGCCTGATAATCCATCTCGTTCCACAACGTCCAAACCCAATCATCCAAATGACATCAAAAAGCGACGCATGAGTATCAACAACTCCCAGAATGCATCTACCACACGACTACGTATGCTCTTGAGACGTCATCCTCCCCTTCACAGCGGCAGCACACCACCAGCAGTAGCGGCAGACCTACCTGCATCCAACAATAACAACAGCAACAATCATGATCCTGCTGGTGCGAGTGCCATTCTTTATGGTGACCCTGTGGTGGATCCTGGTGAGGAGGTGCGATTCAGCATGGAAGTATGCAAGATCAAAAACCTTCCAGGACTCTATATTGTTGATATTCGACGTATGCGAGGTAATGTGTGGTCATACAAGTTTTTGTACCATGCTGTGCTTGGCGCATTGGATCTTGGAAGAAAAGGCGGAGGCTACATGGCTGTTTCAACACCCACAGATCCTAATGCCATGGACACTCTACAACAACAACATCATCATCAGCAACGTTCTAGCATTGTGAGCAGCAGTAACAATAGCAGCAGTGTCATTGATGAAGGAGCCGTCTCCATGATCAAAGAGTAGCATCCTACTACATAACTTTAAAACCCACCCCGTCAATTTATATACCACGAACAAACGAATCCAACCAACCAACCAACCAAATGCATCATCCTTTCGCTCATCTATACATTTCATAATACATCATCCTCCCCCCCCACCAGATTATTGCATATCAAAACAAACAGATGCTTATAAAGAGCTTTAATTGTTTTTACACGTTGACTATATATAAATGAGGAAGAATGTATGGTATATCGTTGCAGAGAAGAAATGACTTGTTTTTTACTCCTGTCGTCGTTCGGGATCGGCAAGTCGATGTACAGTGACATAGGGGCCTGGCACCATGTTGCTGGCGTCTACAAAAAGTACATTAGAATACTATGCTTCATTTGATTCTTTTTATCGTACCTTGAGGAGTGATGAGAATGTACTGTGAGCTGTTTTCACAGGCCGAATCCATCTACATAAAAGGTGTAAGCCATGCAGCTGACGAAGTGTTTTGTTTGGTTGCGCACTCACCATCAATTTCATACTCTGCTTCCGGTTCACGGCATCCATATATACATCGAATTCATCAAGGCTATGCTTGTGATTAATATCCAACTTGTATCCAACCACCATCGTCAATGACTTACCAAAGGATAGGTGATGAAACGCCTTGCCACAAGGCCAACAAAAGACTGACTTGGGAGAATGACTTTTCACCACCAGATAACGACTTGGAATCCTTGCGTCGAGCGCCCGTTTTGTTATTCTGGTCACCCGTTAAAACTCGCATATCCAGCTTTTGCCTTTCGTGGTTGAACTTGAGGATACCATCATCGCCACGCTTGTCCATAAAGTATCGGAAATGACCGCTGGCAGTAAGAGCAATATACTTTCTCATCTCGAGCCATCGCTCAGTACGTGCTTTCAAAGCCTTCTTCATTCTCTACAAATGAAACCCAAGTTAATTTGGATCAGCTACCACATTATCTCCCTTTTTCCTTTTACCTTGGTCAATCCATCCATCGTCCTTACTGTCTGCTCCGCATCAATGTATTCTCGATGTCTTTGAATAGCTATCTCTTGTGCTTCTTCCAATGACATTCCCGTGCTATAAGAACGAGCTCACCGTAAGTATAATTGAATCACCTTATGATACGCTTTTGACACATACCTCTTTTCTTTCTCCCTTTTACGCACTTGTAAGTGAGCAATTTTGCGAGACAATTGATCTGGTGACTCATCGGTATCCACACGATCAGGGAAGTTGAGCTGGGCCTTGTTTAGCCAATCCTTAATGATGAAGAAATGTTAGCAGGGTGTGTTAACATACAACGCAATCAGGGTCCTTACTGCAAGCGTGTTCTCCAGGTGCTTAAACTCTTTTTGAGCAATATCCATTCGCTGTCGGACTCTTGCCATCTTTTGCTCATACTTGTCAACGTCCTGATTCGCAGTGGCTTTCATGGCTTCAATGGAACGGATCGTTGCCTAAAGTGTAAAACATACCATAGTAAGAATCGCGTTACCTTCAACACTAATGAACCAACCTACCTTGTACTCATTCAATTCCTTATCATGTTCATCCTCGGCCACCTGATACTCCTCAATCTTTATGGCGACAGCTTCGATCTTGGTATGGATTTCAGATTGCTGGGTGACTAGTCCTGCATATTGGCCCTTGAGAGTCTTGATCTTTTCCAATAAATCCTAGATAAACAACATGAATGAGATCCTGCAGATCCTGTTCCTTGGAATTAAAACACGTACATCTCGCATAGACATATGGACTTGGATATTGACAGGCTCTTCTTCCTTCATAGATTCCTCCAACTTCCTGTACTGATGCGAAAGGCGTGTGATCTCCTCATCCAATCTTGTTCGATCGTTCTATAAACGACATACTGTGCGTTAGTGCCACCATTGTGAATAACAAGTTGTCGATTGTACCATCAATTTACGGAACGTGTCTCTAAGCTCTTGCCGCTTTCGATCAGCACGACGCACTGCTTCATCCAATTCAGCTTTTTGATTGTTCATGGCTCGTAGCTTATTCTCGGCTCGCCTATTGAAAAGCAAATTAATGCAAGGCCCATATTCTATATCATGATGAATGATACTTACTCGATCGCTGATCCCACATCGGATGTCAAACGCGGTGGACCATTATATTTGTTCATGGCCTCAGACCGTAAACCTTTTTTTGCACCAATCTTGTAGCAATCTTTGGAGAAGCACGTTTTGACGTTCTTTGGACCACTGTTCCTCATAATTTCATCACCTTGACGACGTTCATGCACCAGGATGATTTGTTGAATGCTCGCAACAATGACCAGCTGGCGCTTTACCCACTCGTTGTCGAACTATGAAATCATCTTGTAAGCTAAGGGGTTTCTGTAGAATACTTCACAAGCTTTGCTATACCTCAAGTGCACGCATCATTGTTACGTATTTCTCATCGGGTTCGGATGCGCTGAAATCGAAAATATCATGCTTGGCGACGAAGATTGTAGTGTTCCAATCCCTGCAGAAATGGAATTATTAGTATAACGCGGGCGTAACAGGATCGTAATCACGTGCATGCGGTGTTTTCTCAGCAAAGCTTTCAGTAACTTTTGATCATTAAAGTTCTCGACGACGAATGCACTCATGAAGTTGTTGAGCACCATCTCGATAACATCTGCGAATTCGGGCTTTTTGAGCTTGAGATATCTTCCAAGTGGGCCCACCGGTTTGCGTTGCCACCGCTGTTCTCGTTCAATGTCTTGCAGCAAGTGAGGAATGTTTTTGCCGAATGCTGTGAGTCTATTTTGGCGTTGCATTCTCAAGCCTTCAACCTGCTTTTTGGCCTCCTGCATGCTGCGCATATGGTGATCATAGTTCTTTCTGGCTTCGTCGTAGTCGTCGTCAAGCTCACGCTTCTTGCCATTCGTCTCTTCAAGCTCCTTCTCGCAAGCCTTGCGCTGCTCCTTCTTTCGTTCCAAAGTCTCTTTGAGCGCATCCAACTTCTCCTGCACTTGTGCACGCTTTGCTTGACTATCCGAATTCTGCTTGGCAGTCTCTTGTGCGATAGCGCTATCGTGCTTCTCCACACGAGCTTTTGCTTGACGCACTTGTCCATTGATCTCTCCCATATCATTCTAAATAAATACATGTAAGACACTTGTAAATTGAATGTAACACCTCTCATCGATCATGACACGTTACCACTAATTCTTGTGCATCACTCTCAAGTTTTGCTCTTTCTTGTTCTAATCTTTGGCGATCTTCTAGATGCGGGACACCCAATGCCTGAAATTCCTCTGCAACTCTTTGTGCTTCTTGCAATTCTTCGTCTTGTCGCTTTGCTTTGTTCTATAACGGCACCAATCAATGAGATACTTTCTCCATATGACAAATCCATCTCCCATTACTTACCTCTGCTTGGATCTTTCTGTCTTCGAGTTGCCCCATAACATCCTCATACTGCTGCAGCTCCTTTCGCTTTTTCTCGGTCTCCTCTTCCTTGAGAGCAATTTGTCTCCAAACCAACTCATTCTGGGCCTTTTCAATGTCGGCCTCAATGTCACGGGCAGAAAGCATCTCCTCGTACTTTTCCTTTGCAATATTTGCTTCCTTCTTCAGCTCTGGCAAGAAACCCTTTTTGCGATCGATAATAGCTCTGGTGGTTTCAATGCTCTCGCGGATCGTTTCATAGTCCTCGTGCAATTGAAGTAATTGGGTGCCCCGCATGAATAGCTAAACAATGCCCTCATCAGCTTCCTTTGTTCCTCTACCATAGCCGGCTATCACTTACCATATACTTGTCATGGCTGGAACTCGAATTAAGGAATTGACGTGCCATATCCTGGCTGAGCACCGTCAATGGGTTATCAATCTGAATCGACATGTGATCGCAAATCGCCACTAATTCTTCACGTTTGGTGGAGACCGTCTTATTGTTGGATGACTTGATCTTGTACTGGCCACCTCCATCACGTAGCAACTTGCGTTCAATAATGATCTCATCGCCGTATACATCCGCTTTGTAAGCATCTGAGCCCTTGTTGGTGAGCTTAACAATCGCCAATGCCGCACTATCATTCTTTATAAGTATTCCCAGTACCAATAGACAGCCTCGTTGATCACTTACTTTGCACCTTCACGAATCAAGGAACTGAGATTTTTGCCACGATTGGTCGAGTTGGCCTTGGCACCCAATGCAATGGTGATGGCTGTTAAAATGGCACTTTTACCACCTATGACAACAAATTATGATAAGCCGATGCTGCCGTGTGATCTCCTAAGCACCCATCCATATACATACTTCCGTTATGACCAATGATAAAGTTGATCTTTGGGCCCAACTCGATCTTGAGATGCTTATGACACATAAAGTTGAATATCTCCACGCACGAAATGGTGCCTGCTTCAGAAACTTCCTATAGAAAGGATACGACCCCTATTAGCTGAAGCCAAAGAGTGAGAACATAGGGTGGCCAACAACGTACCATGCCTCTTGCGACCGACATTGAGTGTGCATTGGACAATGCCTGCGACTCGATTTCAAGGTCTTCGTCTTCGTCATAGTCGGTATCACTGGATTCTTCCCCTTGGTCATTGCCGTTGACTAGTCTGGCTTTCTTCCTCGCGACTTGTGAATTGGACACCTGTCAACAATTTGGGATCTATTAGCAAATAAGGGGGAATCGTTTGTTGCTATCAAAAGCACTTGCCGAAGTATCCGAATGAGAATCGCCGTCAATCTCTTCAGTGGAGGAGAGGCGTCGTTTGACCGATGGTGGCATTGGAGACGACAAGAAGGAGTTGAGTTGAAAGAAGCAGCAACCGTTCGTCGCGCCCAAAAAAATGTAATTTGATTGAATGTACGCGCCTGTCGCGTGCTCAGCCCTATTTTGGCGCTACTACACTATATGCCTACCCACACATCATTGACTATACCCTTCAAGTCCTATATCACGATGACTACATAACATGTCAATCGATGTCATTGATAAGGTACGTGGATTTGACATGTTTTTTTCTCACATCGGTATCATTCTTACGATATTCATCCATGGTATTATCTCTGTCATTCGCATTCGATGAGAAATCACTGTGTCTACTGCATACGCAAGCGTTGTTATGCAGCTATGTTATGTGAACCAGGCCAATCCAAATACCTTTTGGTTAAAAGGTCCCTTTCCTCTAATTTGTAAAACACATCCTCCCTTACATAGCAACATCAAAGTTGTTGTAACTAATCGCGTATGCAAGTATATTATGATATAGTATGGGACAGTAGGGACTATGAATATGAGATGTGTATAAAAGGTCTAACGACAATGAGTTGTTGCTTTATGCGTGATGAACGGGGGTGGGAGGAGGACCATGCTGGTGTTGTTGATATGAATGGGTCAAGGGCTGTGACATGCTTGCAGGGCTAGCAGGCTGAGAACCAGACATCCATGAAGCACGAGGTTCCTGAAGTTCATCGCGTGGTTGGAAAACTTCAACATCTTCATGCTTGTTCTTTCGTTTACGGCGAATAATAAAAAAGGCAATGGCAGCTACCACCAGGGCACCACCTACTCCACCTACTACGCCTCCTACAATCTTTCCGGTATTGTTGCTGCTGCTGCCATCATCCGTGGTTGACAGGGTGGCAGTTTCACTTGGTGCAATGCTGCTGTTAGTAAAGCTGCTAAGCAATGTATCGGTGGGTGCAATACTACTACTATCGGTAGTAGTCGATGGTTCTAACGTAGCGCTCATAGTGGTAGAAGCACCCATATCATCGGTTGATGTGGTGATTGGATTACCCCATTCATCAGTAGCTGTTGCATTATCACCATCATCCGTGGGTTGTTGGGTGCCATCGCTGTTGTTGTTGTCATCCCACGTGTCGGTTGAATCGGAGCCATCAGTGCTGCCATCATCGTTATTGGTGCCATCATCTTGGCCTGTGCTGCTGTCGCCGTCGCCGTCGCCATCGCCATAATCACCACCATCATTATTGTCTCCACTGTCATCATAGCCGTCTCCGCTGCCATCATCGTAATCACCATTATCGCCGCTATCATCGTAATCGTCTCCAGTAGTATCATCACCGGTGCCGTCATCATCATTATAGCCATTGTCGTCTCCATTGCCATAGTCGTCACCAGTACCGTCGTCCCCGTTATCATCCCAAGAACCATCGCCATCATCGTATGAGCCTACAATGGCAGTGAGCATTTACGTGTTGTATTCCTTGTTGTGTGTATTACCATTGTCTTGAGCCAAAGTGGGTGACACAAGCCATGAGTTGGCAATGACGGCAGTGACAAGTGCTGTAAGGTGTCTGATTTTCATTCGTAAAGGAGAGTCGTAAGGGGATAGTCGTTAAAAGAGGAGGTAAGTAGTAATGAATGTGTGGGGGGAAGAATGAAGGAATGGATGGTGTGTGGTGAAGTTAAAATTAGTAGAGAATGAAAAGAAAAGAGAATAAAAAGAAATACACTGGGGCTCAATGCATGCCCACGCCAAATAATAGTAAGGGGATGATGAGTCCAGAATCGACAGAGAGGAGATAGAAAAAAAATCTTCATATAATCTTCGGCGACTCGGTCTTGTAACCCAACTGCCAAATTAACACGACATCCCTCATTTGAGCGAACACCTTTCACTTCGTTTTACCGTTATTCTATCACCTAGATCATGTATGTACGCATTGCATAGATAAAGTATGCTCATAGCTATTCTTTTTTATATGACATTCAATGCATTAGAATTACTGTACCTGCACTTTCTAAAATTGGGTATTGGGGGTACACACGTCAGGGCGCTCGTCGGCACGATGCATGTGGTGTTGTTGTTCTTGTTATGTTGTGTGTGAGTTATCCTGGGATTTCTGGATCTAGCTGACACCACAACAATGTGATCAAAGTTATGCAGAATATTGGTGAAACTCCCGTGATAGATTATAGTGTGAGCTGCATGGTTGCATGAACAATCAAATCTTGCTACTAGTGCTGTGAGATGGACAACGTGGTAAAGGCGGGTATTCGCATGATGAGTAGCACAGACATACAAATGCATATACAAAAAAAGGCTTAACTCATATAAAAAGCAGCGCTATAAAGCATCAGATAACACATGTTGCATTGCCAAAATATTGGACGAGATCAATGTAGTACCTGAGACGTCGTAGACTCAAATGGCAACAAATGCTTTGAATGCATGCTTATTGCAAAACAGGACATTTGGTGCAACCCAAGCCCTCTACATACGTGCAACATGTTGTGTAAACTATAACTTTTATTCTTCTTCTTTCATGTTGGAATACAATACATCAAAGCTAGCTGATGATGGTGACGACAACGCTCTTTTTACTCAGCAACAACAACAAAGACGTCTCGACGATACCACTTATCAACCCCTCGACGAGATTCAGCTCACTCGTGATTTCCGCGCTTCGCTGATCCTCACTCAACTTGGTCACCTTGATCCATTACCGCCGTCGTCGTCGTCAACATCGAGTCCACAAGTCGCCAATGAAGCCGTCAAGAGCCATTCAGTACACAACACCACCCCACCGCTATCGCCATCGTCGTCCACATCAGAGGTGCGTGGTGGTGGCTCCAACAGCAGTCGAAGCAACAGTGAGATCGTAGCAGGCGTACCATCAGTAGCCACAACAACGGTAGTCGCCCCAAAACAGCAACCAACGAACACTATGAAGGGGGTAAATTAACTCTTTTGTTGATCTCTTCATATTCCCCAAGCTAAACTCAATTTATGCAGGAGGTGGTTGATTTCCATGATATTACTTCGGGTCCACCCATTATCCCAATGGCCAAGCCTCCACCAAAGAAGACCAAGGAACCGCCTTTTTCGGCTAGCAAAGGCAAATCTATCTTTGAATCAGATGACGAAGATCTTTCGGACGAGGACATCTTTTTCAAGGACTTTTCACGTGGCATCCGTTCTTCTCGTCTTGTCATTGAAAAGTATTCCAACACCAACAACAACAACAATGGATCTTCTTCTCTCTCTCAACGCAAGACGAGATACAGCAAATTTGATCTTGCAGCATTCGCCCATCACTTGCACGAGAATCGATTATCGGTCATGCAACTACGTGAAAGCAATATCCAGTTATCACAAGAAGATGAACTCGAGCTGTTGCGATTGTTGAAAAAGAGGAAAAGCATGGCAGTAAGCATGGCAACCAACGAAGACAACAATGACACCAATGACCCTGAATCATCATCTGTTGTATCACCACCACCACCACCATCATTACCATCTCCTATCAACAATGAAAATATACCCGAACGACCAATAACCAAAAAGCCTTCGCTTTTGTTACGCAAGATGCATCACATGGATGATGAGGAGATCCAACGTCGAAAGTCTGTGCGTAAATCCCTGAGCATGGATGCCATTCATCATGTCACAGCTTTGTATGATACTCCAACGCCACCATCACCACAACCTGTACGATCCCCTTCCACACAAAAATCCTTGTTAAACGAACCATCCACAACACCATCACGTTCCACCCCATCATTGTTTGCCAGTGAACAACCAAAACAGCGTCATCAGCAGCAACAACAACATGTTCAACCTGATACAACAGAGCCAACAACATCATCCGCTCCCTCATCGTCATCATCATCATCACGTAGCCGATCAATTGGGCTCTTTGGCAGCTTACGACAAGCCAAAAAGGCAGCTCCTTTTCGTGGATTAGTGAGGAATTTGAGCAATGCTGGATCAGCTTACCGCAATAGAAATCGTTCAGCCAGTCAGCAGCAGCAACAACAACATCAACAACATCAAGATGGTATGACACCTGCTGCCATGGCGGTGATGCAACATGACAAACAAATCAAGGACGACAGCATGACCAAAGATCTTAGCGCCATCAAAGATGATATTCATCCTCCACCACAACAAGATGGTGGTTTGTTGACTCATTTACTTGCCAAAGCGGGTAAAGCAACGAGACGATCCAATACCACCAAGACCGTCAATATGCAGCAACAACGATCAGCTGGGGGATTACGACAACGTAGAGATAAAACCAAATCTCGAGTGATACGACGTACAATCATTTATGTGCCACCCGACTCTCTTAATTTCATGAAGAATCTCAATGGATCATTATCATCATCATCAGACAACAGCACCAACAACAACATACCCATGCCACCTTTGCCTCAAGATATGATTGATAAGATACGACAAGTGGATCAACGACGACGATCTAAAGCTACCAGCGTAGCCACCAATACACAACAACAGGAGAATGCTGATGGTGGATACTATGATGATGAAAGTCTTTATGATTATTATCAGGGAGGAGATGACAATAGTGATACGCCACAGCTACAAGGATTGGAGGTGCGAGAAATGGATGATGGCACAGTGGAATGGGGTATCGTTAAGAAGCAAGGCAATCGTAAGAGCTTTTATGCACACGACAACACCGTGGAACATAGCCGAGAGGATGACGAAGAGGATGGTAGCCATGGTATTGAGGAGCATCTTCGTGAATGGATGAAATTGAATGCCCAGCAACAGCAACAGCAACAACCATCGCACCATGAGAGTGGATCATCGTTATCGCCACCTCCTATCCCAAGACGTTCTCCTCGACGACGGATCGACAGCAGCGGAGAGGATCATCGACGTGCTAAACACATTTCTACCATTACGTCTTCCAAGGATGCTTCCACCATTGATGTATATTTCGCACCACAACAAACACTTCCCAGCCTTTTACAAATGATTGCCGACTCGACAAAGGAACAAGAATTAGCCAAAGAGCGTGAAAAACTAGAATTGGAAAGAATGAAACAAGCATCAGTGGAGGACCAGCTCGATGAAGTAATGCGATCCTTCCAACACACAGAGTAAATAGGTCATCGTTTGTTTATTCACCCAATAAATGCCTGCTGCGGGAAAAAACATATACAATTATGTCGACATTGGATATCTGACTATAGCCATAGCGCCCCCCCCTTTAAAGTACCCCCATAATCAGTTGATGATGCTAGAATGTAGTCAAATGGCGTGCATGAAATTCGGCTGTGCGTAAACATAAAGAATCTTATTCTGAGTCATGTGGCATTGAACAATCGGCAAGAGCGTTGGAAATTCTTTAAAGCACAATGACAGGCTGGTACCGATATATCGGTTGGATTGAAAACAAGAGGCTTTCTTGACAAAGGCAAGCAAACTATCGACACAAACACAATCACTTGTACACAAATTGTATCGTATGCATTGACGTGATATAATAAAGTTGTATCCCATCTCTATCTTTTTTGTCTCTTTTTCTACTTTGTCTCTTTGTGCCGTGACGCAACTGGCTATACGTTTAATCATACTCTATTACAACAACCATCTTATTGCCAAAAAGAAAAAGGTTAGAAAGCTAGCTGATTTGAATGACAAGTAGTCAAGGGGGGACGATATTGACATTTGCAGTAGGAGATTTTTACATACCACCTCACCATACCTGCGTTCATCACCACACGGCCTTCATCATGAAATTTGGTGCTGAATTGGAGAGTCGTATCCATATGCCATGGCGAGACGCATACATGAACTACAATGTACTTAAGCGGGAGCTCAAAGATCGGCAGCTCGATCATGGATGGCGTGAGCATGATGAGATGTTCTTTTTGGGAGCATTTGAGAAAGATCTCGAAAAGGTGTACAATTTTGTGGCCCGCAAGCTCAACGACGACATTATCCCTCGAGTGGAATCATGCGAGAGACAGCTTAATAGTGTGATGCCATGCAGCGGGGAGCAACCCAGTGACTTACATCGGGCTCTTGCATCTCAACTTGCTGACATTCTTGTGGATATCAATGAATTGGCTCGTTTCCATCGATTAAACCAGCAAGGATTCGAAAAGATGGTCAAGAAGCATGATCGTTGGACGCATTTGAATCTACGACAGCGATACAAGCAAGAGATGCAACAAAAATGGCCATTGGATGCATTAACACAGACGTTTGATGAGCTTGTGGTGAGAATATCGCATGCCAACAATCATTGTGAAGGGCAACAATATGGGCCACCGCCACCACCCAAGGGGGGCACACAACAAGAACAAGTGGAATTTGAACGTGCAACTGCCAAGTACTGGGTTCATCCCGATAATATCACTGAAGTCAAGGCGATCATCCTTTTCCATTTGCCTGTGCACGTTTACAACCGCAAAAAACAATACGAAGCCAACGACGCTGCCATCTCTTCTGTTTATTTTGACAATCCAGCATTTGATTTGTATACGGAACGATTGCAACGGGATGAGGGAGCTGAAGCTATTCGTTTTCGCTGGTATGGTCAAGATGCCAAGAATGTGTACATTGAACGCAAGACACATCACGCCCCATGGTTGAATGGACACTCTGTCAAGGATCGTTTTCGACTCAAGGAGCACAAGGTGGTGCCGTTTATGCATGGCACGCATACAGCCGATCACGTGGCAGCGGACCTTCGACAAGCCGGCAATGCCGCGGAACACTCGATTCAACAGCAGCATTTCATTGCTGATGGTGTGCAACGTTCCTTTTCTCAACGCAAGTTATCACCCATGTGCCGTGTATTCTACAATCGTACGGCATTCCAAAGACCCGGCGACCAACGATTGCGTATCTCACTTGATTGCAACTTGACTTTTATACGAGAAGATGGATTGGATGGTCGTTCAAGAGCAGGTGGCAATTGGCGTCGTACTGATGTTGGTATCGAATATCCATTCCATCAAGTCGAGGAAAGAGATATTCATCGTTTCCCCTATGCTGTACTCGAGACCAAGATCCAGACCCACCTAGGACAAGAAACACCAGCATGGCTAGATACGTTGCTCAACAGCCACTTGGTGCATGAAGTACCTCGCTTTTCAAAGTATCTACATGGCGCTTGTCAATTGTATCCTGATCGCGTGCCCGTACAACCATGGTGGCTTGAAGTCCTTGATACAGATATTCGTAAACCTCCTATGCTCGGTGTTGGTTTGTCACGTTCTCTCAGCCTGCAACCTCTTGTCAATGGTCATCATCGTCACTCGTTATTTTATTCCGATTCACAAGCAGCAGCAGCAGCAGCAGCAGCAGCAGGTCCCCGTCACCTTGCCATCAATTTCTCTTCGGCCAACAAGATGGTATCCAGGCAACGTGAACGTGCTGGCGATCTGCTTTCTCGTTTCTATCCAAAATTGATTTCCGACAAGAACAAAAAGAAGGATGATGACACTGAAAAGGATCAACTCCCTCCACCTAATACATCCAAACCTCCTCAACCTCAACAACGTGTGCGTTCTATTATTCGGAAAATCGAGCCCAAGACCTTCTTTGCCAATGAACGTACATTCATTTCTTGGTTGCAATTTTGTGCCTTGCTGCTCACTGTCGCTCTCAACTTGCTCAACAATGGCGATCGCATATCACGCATCATTGGCGGTGTCTTTATCATCATGGCGTCCATCATGTGCCTGTAAGTATCAACACAAAGATTGATGTTGGATGTATCACTCATTTAGCCCTCCCATTCTCTAGTTATGCATTAGGCCGCTATCAATTCAGAGCATGGCAACTACGCACGGGTCGCTACGTTATACGCTACGATGATTTGTATGGCCCAACGGTCCTTTGTGTCTGCTTGGTTACTGCACTCATTGTTAACTTTTATTTACGTCTTCCCCAATTGAAAGAGACAACAACAACCTCGCCATAGCATTAGACTTAGACGTTTTCATCTTCTTCATGTTCCAGCATCATCATTTTATGCCTCACAACTTAAACAATGTTATATTTCTAATCGAATAATAGTAAACTCATCTCATGAATCCATGCACTTGTATCATCACCTTCTTTCAAATCTTGGTGTAGTATCTTCTTTACGCTCATGAACGTAAACTGGGTTAGAAAGCGAAGAGGTAAACAAGGTGATCTTGCTGGCTGCGCTACTCCCTCACGTGGGATGTGTATCCATTGAATGGGTTAATTACCAGCACAATGTTATTACGTATAGCAAAAGGATGTGCGCCATTTTACACTTTACATGATAACGATGATCCAACAACAGCCAGTACTTTACTACCAGGTTAGCTCGAATCATGAAGGTTAAATGATGGGCATGCCGGGCTGGAGCAAGACAATCGTCCGTATGCATTGGATTGGACAACAAAGGTGAATGGATGGAATGGGCTATTAGCTGGCAGTTTACAAATAACTTACCAATTTGATTCTTCTGATATTGGATGATGTTTCTGTGTTTGAGCGTTTTTCAGTCAAATCTCATCGGATCAAGAAAGTTGAATGATGGGCATGCTGGGCGGGAGCAGAACAACCGTTCGTATGCATTGGATTGGACTACAATGGAGGATGGGAGGACTAAGGTTATTAGTTGGGATTTTGAACTATTCCTAAATAGTGTACAAGAATCATGCATCGCCTGTGCTGAATGACTCAAGTTACACAAACAAGCCCTCTGCATCTTTTGCTCTATTATAGTCATACTACTTTACATTAAACAAAGACCACTTCTCATATAGCATCACCCTTACAGGATATGTAAAACATAAAGACGCCTGTATCTCCAAACTTTACAATCAAACGTGGGCTCTTTAATAGATCAACGTGCTCGTCGGGGTCAAAGGAATCTTGTGTCAAAGTATGAAGTTCATCGTGGCCAATCCCAGATTTCGCAATGTCAGCAACAATGAACAAAGACCACTTCTCATATAGCATCACGCTTACAAACATAAAGGTGCCTGTATCTCCAAACTTTACAATGAAACGTGGGGTTTTTGAATAGAGCAATGGGCTCGGCTTGGCCAACAGCACCTTGTGTGAAAGTTTCACGTTCAATGTCGCAACTAGCCCAAAAAATATTTTTTTGGTCGTCGTCGTCGAAGAGGTCGACCCTCAGATCCAGTTTGGCTGGTAGCGACATTGCGAAATCTGGGATTGGCCACGATGAACTTCATACTTTGACACAAGATTCCTTTGACCCCGACGAGCACGTTGATCTATTAAAGAGCCCACGTTTGATTGTAAAGTTTGGAGATACAGGCGTCTTTATGTTTTACCTATGCTATAAGCGTGATGGAGTTGCTTTTTCCTAATGGATGGTGTCGGCTGCATTAACGGAAAGATGAAGAGCTGAGTGAAACGGCACGTGGTGGTTACACAGACACGTCCTTGACAGGTTGCTCCACAAATGGATGATGATGATGATGATTGCCTTTTGTGAAGGTACGTAAGTAAAACAGCATCCAATAATGAAGGTGTGTCAAGGTATGTATCATATTTGCATGTAGAAGAAAGTCGAGCTGCATAAACCAATTTCTATATGTAAAAAGATACGTATACATATTGAATGGGTCACTCATGCTGAAACTCAATGCAGGGATCTCTTCACTTTTTCTCTTCTCAAGCTCATCCCACTTCCCACTCCTCCTTATTGTATCACAAAAGCCATGTACTTCTTGCATGACCGATAACCGAACCACCTTTATTATTCCATCTTCGAAGCAATAGTATGTAATCCACAAAGTAGCAAACTCCAACAAGTGTGTAATAAATAAATAATGCTTTATTTCATCTAGCTATCTTGCTATGTACTGTACATTGCCACCACCATCGTCGTAGTCGTCCTCCGTCATCATTCGTACTCGTACTCGTCACCAGTCGTCAATCTCATCCGTCACACCAACATCCAAAAATACACAAATTGAAAAGAATGGGATCTTGCAGGCTTCCTTTTGAATCTCGTTGTCGTCATCATTGTCATTGTTGTGAATGTGGTAATCATCGTAATCGCCGTCTCTACAAATAAGAAAGCAGGCAAGTTAGACTATCTGGTACCGGAACGATGACGATTTGGTATACCGTTAGGCGATCCTCTCTAAGGAAGAACGCAAATCAGAAGGAATTCACAAACCAAATCACCACCATACGAGCAACGTCGGGCGATCCCTTGTTCTTGAGAAAGCACTGCACGAATCACGCAAGGCCAGTTCGATCCATGGCTAGGAGAGATATCACTTACGTAGAGTCCAGGCTCATAGTTGTTCTCATTCATCCTCTCCAAAGAAAGAATGATCCCCAATCCTTCCAATCACTTTCCCACCTCATGAAAAGAAATCCTCAAGGGAAAGAACGAGCCTATCACGAGAAGAGCGTGTTGGTTAAACACATTCACAAGCTGTTTCAAATCCCCTTTTACCTCAACACGGCGACCATGCTCTCCCAAAAATCCATCGTCATGGACCCATCCTCAACTCAACGCAGGCCTATAGAGCCCTGGACGCGTTCCAAGAAGCTTTTCCAGCACACTTGGCTAGCGCAGAGCGACGCAGCGGCCACTTGATACAGGCTGGGACTTGAACCCAAAGAGATGATGATGATGCCCCCAAGTTGCATTGCCTGACCTAAGAAACCTATTCAATTCATTATTAGCACACACGTACAATAAAACGCCCTTTTCATTGTTTGTTTTATTGTACTTGCCTTTTCCATATGCACAAAGACCCGTTGTTGTTGGTTACTGGAAACCGAAAACCATGGTGCAGTGTTGTCAAAACGCCAAGCCAGCGAACGTCTTGAAACCAAACTTGCCCTCTATACAAGCTGACCCGTCAATGGAACCAATCCGGCTGCAACATTGGACTCTGAATGTACCTGTTGATACCAAGCATAGAGCGGGAATAGCAACGAACAAAAGGAAGCAACGAGATTGCCATGGCTACCACGCTCATTCCTCACCACTTGGACACCCTGACAATGCATGTCCAGAACTACATTAACATCTCACAGTCAACAAGAGCACTCTTTTACAATACATTACCTTGATCGAGATGCCGTGAATATGATAAAAGCAGAGGAGGGAGAAAGAGAAGAGAAGCGTTGTCTCAAGTGGTGTCCCCCAAGTTTAAATCCCCCTACTGCTATTACCCTGAGGCCACTCAATTACCCTACACACACCATCCACCCATCATGATCATCACCCTCATGATATTAGACAATAGGTGCATGTAAATAAAATGAATGGATAAATAGATGCATAAGGTACATGCATAAACTAAACCCTTGTATCAGAGAAGACGTACGCTTGCACAGGACGAGTATCAACGTCTTTAAATTTCCATATTTGGGGTTCATTGTGACTCAGACAATGAATGTTGTGTGCATAGGCTAAATGTAACCCCCCCCCCATTTCAAGTCACTATCTGATTAGTAATTGCCGAGATGATGGCAACCTTTACAAAAACTTGTGAACAATCATTTATGACGTTTGCATCGCATCATCCCGTGTATGGGAAATCATTAATAAACCCTGAATCATTTATATAGCAAAACATGCATTAGCTGATGATGAGGGCTTGTATACATGCATGTTTATGCACCTAGTGCAGTGTGTGCATTGAGTTTGGTACTTGTGGCTATTGTAAATGGACACTTGACATATACCTATGATGAAAATGAGAATACGTCTAAGTCTAAAACAATGAATGGTAAGCAGAAGAAGAGAGCTTTAATGAATGAGATCATGTGAGATATCAGTAAGCGGGATGTGAAGGATATTCTATGAGGAGGAGGGGATGGGGATTTCGTTTTCGCGTGGTGGATCGCGTGGTGGGATCGCGTATCTTGTCGCGGATCGTGTGGTCGTTCTCCGCTGGAACTTTTTAAAGGCTGCACGCGTCGCGATTAATTTTTTCTTTTCTTCCTTGCCCTTCCCTTCTCTCACAGAAGAAACATTGAGAGCTCTTTTTATTTTGCTTTAATCCTTTCTATCCTTGACTGACAAGCGTATTTCCCCCTATCTCAATGTTTGTTATCAAACGCGGTAATTATCATTCCATGGGTGGTGCCCTATGTACCTTGATGGTGTTAAGGCTCTTTGATGCTATCATTTGCTTACTCAGCTTGTGTTGTATAGACGGCCGTCAAGAGCGTGTCCTCTTTGACAAGATCACCTCTCGCATCAACAAGCTATGCAACAACTTGAATGCCAACTACATTGACCCTCCCAAGATTGCACAAAAGGTATTGCTCGCGCGATACGCGCCGCTGCACAACGCGTCTCCGAAAACACGACTTTAATTGTTTCCCAAATAGGTGGTTACTGGCATGTACCAGGGTATTACCACTGTCGAATTGGACAACCTTGCTGCCGAGACTGCCGCCTATATGACAACCACACATCCTGACTATGCAATCCTTGCTGCTCGTATTGCCGTATCCAATCTTCACAAGGAAACCGATGAGAAGTTCAGCAAGGTGGTCAGCACATTGTATGAGCACGTCCATCCCAAGCTCAAGTGTCACAATCCTTTGGTGTCCAAGGAACTCTACGAGATCAGCCAAAAGCATGCCGACAGGATCGATAGCGCCATTGATTACGAGCGTGATTATGATTTCAACTTTTTCGGTTTCAAGACGCTCGAGCGAAGCTACTTGATGAAGATTGATGGTATGTTTCCCTTCATTGTTTGTGTCAATGTCATTTGGCTCCAATGTTTACTAAAACAATCCTCCTCTTTTAGGCCATTTGGTTGAACGTCCTCAACACTTGATCATGCGTGTGGCTCTCGGCATCCACGGTGAGGATATTGATGCAGCTTTGGAAACATACGAATACATGTCCTGCAAGTACTTTACGCACGCCACGCCAACTCTTTTCAACGCCGGCACACCTCGTCCTCAATTATCCAGCTGTTACCTTGTCCAAATGAGAGATGATAGCATCGAAGGCATTTATGATACCCTGATGACATGTGCTCGCATTTCCAAATCAGCCGGTGGCGTTGGTTGCAGCTTCCAAAAGATTCGTGCCTCTGGCTCCTACATTGCTGGTACCAATGGTACATCCAACGGCATTGTTCCCATGTTGCGTGTATATAATGATACCGCCCGTTTTGTCACTCAAGGTGGTGGCAAACGCAATGGCAGTTTTGCCATGTAAGTTGATCATTCATGGCTTGTAATATGGTTGTTGCATCATGCTCACCTTTAATTTAGGTACCTTGAACCATGGCATGTGGATGTCTTTGACTTTTTGGATTTACGCAAGAACCATGGCAAAGAAGAAGTCCGTGCTCGTGATCTTTTCCTTGGCTTGTGGGTGTCTGATTTATTCATGAAACGTAAGTTGATCGATTCATTTGATTTTGTGTAACCATTGCTGATCTTGATAAATTAGGTGTGGAAGCCAATGCTGAATGGTCACTATTTTGTCCCAATGAAGCCCCTGGTCTTGATCAATGCTATGGCGAAGAGTTTGAAGCTCTTTATCTCAAATATGAACAAGAAGGCAAAGCTCGCCGCTCCGTGAGTGCTCAAAAGTTGTGGTTTGCCATCCTTGATGCTCAAATTGAGACTGGTATGCCTTACATGCTCTACAAAGGTAAGATCCTTCATTGCTATTATCGATATTTATCTTAACATTGATCATGGTTGTAGATGCATGCAATCAAAAATCCAACCAAAAGAACTTGGGCACTATCACCGGTTCCAACTTGTGCACTGGTATGCTTGTTGACTATATACGAGAGGATCCAATATTGATTGCTTGCTTGTAGAAATCATTGAATACTCTGCTCCTGATGAAGTTGCTGTTTGCAATTTGGCATCCCTTGCTTTGCCTAAATTTGTATCAGATGGAGCATTTGACTTTGACAAGTTACACAAGGTGACCAAGGTTGTGGCCAAGAATTTGAATCGAGTCATTGATGTCAATTATTATCCTGTGGAGGAAGCAAAGAACAGCAACATGAGACATAGACCGTAAGTCGTTTCGTCACAAAGATAGGATCACCTCAACTCATCATCATCTATAGTATTGGTCTTGGTGTACAAGGTCTTGCTGATGCTTTCTTGCTGTTACGCCTGCCATTCGATTCAGAGGAAGCTCGTCAATTGAACAAGGATATCTTTGAGACCATCTACCATGCTGCTTTGGAGGCCTCTTGTGAACTTGCTGAAAAGTTTGGCACCTACCAGACCTATGAAGGCTCCCCTATCAGCAAAGGCATCTTACAACATGACATGTGGGGTGTACAAGGCTCAGATCGTTTGGATTGGGATGGATTACGTGCCAAGATTGCCAAGCACGGTGTTCGCAACTCCCTTCTCGTAGCACCCATGCCTACTGCCAGCACCAGCCAAATCCTTGGCAACAATGAATGCTTCGAACCTTATACTAGCAACATTTACACTCGTCGTGTAATGAGCGGAGAATTCCAAGTCGTGGTAAGTGCTGCTGTTGTGTAGACCTATTTTTGAACCCACATTCATTGTGCTCTTTTATTTTAGAACCACCATTTGTTGAAGGATCTTATTGATCGTGGCATGTGGAATGAGCAAGTCAAAAATATGATCATTGCACACAATGGCAGTATCCAGAATGGTAAGTGTCTTTACATTGGCTAAAAGAAAACGATGCTAATAACATGATCCTCTAGTGCCTGGTATTCCTGATGATCTCAAGAGGCTTTACAAGACTGTATGGGAATTGTCTCAACGTGTCATTATTGATATGGCTGCCGATCGTGCTGCATTCATTGACCAATCTCAATCCATGAACCTCTTCGTGGCCGAACCAACCTATGGCAAACTCTCCTCCATGCACTTTTATTCTTGGAAACGTGGTCTGAAGACTGGCATGTACTATTTGCGATCACGACCTGCAGTGGATGCCATCAAGGTAAAGCAAAGGGAAGCGATAGCTTTATGATTAAAAACTAAATCTTCCATCTTATCCTAGTTCACTGTGGATCAGCTTGCACTAAAAGACCCTGCAGACAAAAAGGAACAAGACGAAGCCAACTTGGCTGCTATGCAATGTTCACTTGACAACAGAGATGCATGCATTAGCTGCAGCGGTTAAATTCATACATACTTAGTATCCTGACACACTCCACACACGCACACACACTCCATCTCATTTCCCTATCGCACCGTTTTCTTCCCCCTCAATCTCTTTCCATCATCCCCACTCGACCTTTGCGTATTTCTTTTTTAGCCTTGTACAATAATATCATGCAAACAACACACATTTCCCATTCTCTTTATAGTTACTGCCCATAGCAATCAGTCCAATAAAGTCTCATAGATGAAAATCAAAAGTCATGCATCTTCATTCAAATGAGCTCGAAACAAAGAATCCAAGGCGACCTTTCTCTTTCTAATGGCCGACACTACTACTAACAATGATGCGTCGTCGTTATCCATGACACCTGCCGAAACAACCAAACTCTCCAAGCTTCTAGCCTATGTGCTTCGACATGGTGCTGCCAAGGAAAAGCTAACAATGCGTTCGGATGGATATTTGTTGTTGTCAGATCTGGTATTGTATTACTTACTATGCCTTGTCAATAGGGATGTCATCATCTTACTTTCATATACTTTAGCTGGCACGACCCAAGTTTAAGAATATCACGCAAGAGCAGATTGAGTATGTCGTGAGGACCAATGACAAGCAACGCTATGCACTAGCGCAATTGGAGGATGGCCAATGGTACATTCGTGCGAATCAAGGACACTCGCTCAAGGTCGATAATGAGCAGCTGCTTGAACGATTGACGACTCCTCTTCCGGTGGTTGTCCACGGCACTACTCAAGAGAACTGGGAAATTATCAAACGCGAAGGACTCAAAAAGATGCAACGCCATCACGTACACTGTGCTACAGGGTTGCCAGGCGACACAGGTGTCATTAGCGGTATGTCCTATGTCACATCATGAAGCATTCTCTCTTACATAGATCCAACTTAGGTATGCGGAAGACCAGTGAAGTATTCATTTACATCGACATGGCAAAGGCATTAGAAGGTATGTCACAATCCATTTCATTGAATTTTGGTGCTCACGAAATTATACACATCATAGAGGGAATGACCTTTTATCGATCAAAGAATCAAGTCATTTTGACAGAAGGAAAGGATGGTATTGTATCACCAGCGTATTTCTCTCGCGTCACCGATCGTCATGGCAATTCATTGCTGTAAATGTTGGAATAAACAAAGAAAGAAAGAAATCAATGCGCATGCGTAATCATTGTTTTGAGGATAAATGAAAAAAGTGGTTGAGACAAAGGGAGAGATTGGGATAAACATACACACAATGACGGCCAAAAAAAAAAAAACAAAAACCATGGGTAGATGGGGAATATGTATATAATAAAGATAAGAGAAGAAGAAAAGAGGGGGTGTGAAATCATCGTCTATGGGTACGGTAGGATTCAGCTGCTGTGAGAGGATCTTCTGGTACAGGACCGCTGATGTTATACTCTTCGGATGCTGCTGCTACTGGTGCTACTGCTGGTGTGGATGAGGGTGGAGGCTGATGAGGATGGGGTGGTACTGAAGAAAGATGTTGTTGTTGCCTTGAAGGGTATGATTTGCCATAACCTGCTGTGTTGGGAGGAGGTGCTGCTGCTGCAGTTGGGGGTGGATACTATGATGTAATATGTTAGCTATCAATGAGGAAGACTTGCTTATCTCTTTTTACCTGATAACCAGCAGCTGGGGTTGAAGATGTTGGCGTACGCATCATGTTGGGTGGTGGTCGTTGTGCTGCAGCATAAGGATCTGGAGCCGAGACCATGGCTTGCTGTTGTTGTTGTTGTGGAGGTTGTGGTGGTGCCGATGACATGGCGTATGCATGATAATCTACGTTGGCCGTTGCTGGTGTGGCAATTTGTGGATGTTGTTGTGGCTGTGCTGGTGATTCAAGGTAGTACGATCTTACGGGTCGTGGCACAGATACCCCATTACCATATCCTGCATACCCACTTCCTTGACCATTGTCAGCGTGTGTTGATGTGGGGGTTGCTGAAGGGGTTGCATAGTAATAGCGAGATGTGTTGCTAGGTGGTGCTGCTGCTTGGGGTGGTTGTAGATTGCTACCACCACTACTCATGGTATAATCGTGCCCGCCTTGGATTGGAGTAGAGGACGCGCGCAATACAGCATTGTTTACTACTGGTTGTGTAGTGGATGGTGGTTGTACAACGGCTGCTGCTGATGTTGGATGTGAATAGGCTGCTGCTGTTGTATAAGCTGGCGTGGTCTGTAATGATGCATAGGTGCCAGGATACATTGAATCAGCCGAAACAGGATCACTAGGTCGACCAAAAGTATCATATACAGGACGTGTGGCTGGCTTGCTCATCGAAGCAGAGGGTGGTTGCTGTTGTGGACGTGACGCATACTGTGTTGAGTATTGGGTATCGATTTGCGATGGAGGTGGTGGCGGTTGTTGTGGATAATGATGACGAGACGTTGGAGGAGGGATATTAGCAGTAGCTGGTGTAGATGAAACAACCATAGGTGCATCATACACATTGGACTGAGGAGGTGGTGGTTGTGGTGGTTGCTGTTGTTGCTGCTGTGCCTGCACAGGCGCTGTCTGTTGTGGTTGTGGAGCAATATGGGATGATGATGAATAAGTGGGTGCGTTCATGTAAACGGGTTGAGCTGGTATCCGCAATGGTACACGAGCCAAAGGTTGATTAATTGGTTGCGTAGGGAATTGTGGTTGCTGTGCTTTCGACAATAAATACAAGTATTGCTGATGATATTGTTGCTGCATACTCGTTTGTGGTTGTTGTGGTTGTTGTTGTTGGGTAGGTGTGGATTGTCGTGCCATTTCATGTGAAGTTGCTGGCCATCCTTGCTCTTGTGGCTGTAACATGGATAATCCCACACTCTTGAGTGATGCTTCAATCATCTTTTGTCGTTGTTGTTGCTCCTGTGCCTGGTAGACTGAGTGCAGTTGGTTCTTGAAGTTGACTAGCGCAACCTTCCATCTCTCAAACTCATCCTTTTTCACAAACAATCCAAAGTGCAATACATCCAAAAACTCGAGTTCCATAATGTTGAGATCGGTCACTTTCATTCCTGATACGTCGGACCAGGTCTTGTTGGTGAAAGTATTATCATCCAGAAACTTGTTGGCTAACCAAAATCCCCCATCTTAGTCATTGTCCCTTTCTCAAACATCCCATAAAAACCCTTACCTAACATCAATGCAACTGTAAATAGTCGATATTCGGATCCCTCTGCTCCCTGGATATTGGGATTTCGTTGTAAAAGCATCGCAATGTACTTCAATGATAGCATGACAACCGACTCGGATAGCTGTGTTGCATGTAAAATCTAGAGACATGTCATATTTAGTATCATCAATCACTCCATCCATGCTTGCATGACATTACCTGTCGAGAAAACTTTTTGAAAGCACTACTCGTTGCATTGGCAATATGGGCTGTCTCACGACTCTGTGCATCTTGCTCGGCTGTATTAGGACCCCCAGCTGACTTTGACGCATCATGAAGAGCCATAACAGAAGGACGTCGAGCGTGCCACATTAGATACACCATGGAAGAAGCAAATTCAGCCATTTGTGGAAGATTGAGTCCCAACGTATGTTGCACATCACTGGCACTTGGCAACGGTTCTGGGGGTGCTGCTGGTTGCGGGGGAGGTTGATAAACGGCATGTCGAGTGGGTGTGGGTGCTTGTGTGGGTACACTTGGATGGTGTGCTATCGGATGGTGATACTGTTGACCGACATGGCGTGGTTGCTGGTATAAGGATCCAGGGACAGCATTGGTGGTGGCATCCACTGGCTGATGATGGTAATGCGGGTACATATCCACAAATGAAACGGATTGTGGAAAGGTTGTAGAGTGAGTGAGTGAGTGAGGTGGGTGAGTGAGTGTGTCGTTGGAAAACAAGAGGCGGCGTCCAAAAAAGACAACGAGAGAAAGACAAGGTATTCGATAGGTGGTTGTTGTTCAAGCTAACACGATAGGAAGCATTGACTGTTTTTGTTATTCGAGTGTATAACCAAGTCGATATGAAAGGAAGAAAGAAAAGGACAAGCCAATAGTAAATGAAAAAGAATAAAAGAGAGAGAGAAAGACGAAAGAAAGGGAGCCTGCTTAACACGTGGCGTAAATAGTAGACATATACACAAGTAACGTCGTTCTCTTTTTGAGATGAGCCAAGGTGAAGGTATCGTCTTTAGGAGAACCGTGACGTAAAGTTCTGTACAACCTCATAAAGCTTCTCATCGATTCGTTCACTGCAGCTCATGTTTTTGTCAGAAGAAATAGAGAAAGAAAAAACACCCATTGCCCTCCTCCTCCCTCGTTGGATTGGTCTATATTTACAATGCCAAGCATTACACATTCTCTCCAAATTTAACATACCACGCTATTACCTACATATCAATAATAGGTGATGGTGGTATAGATGATATGCATCTCGGCCACATGCCACCCCTACTTACCATTGCTTACGTTGACCATGATGATGGGTGACACGTGTAAAAGAATGCTTACCTTTTTGTAATCTAAATGCATTCATCAGCATGAATAATGACATCCATGCTAAAAATAAGGCAGCAGCAGCAGCAGCGATGGCTATACACTATGTCGTTGTCTCCTTCTATGGGTTATTGCTCAGCGCATCACAAAAAAAATGCTCCGCACATCAGCACGGTAACTGCTGGTCTAGGCAATAAACCTTCTTGTATCATAAATAGGTAATGCAGCAGGCAATGTGGATCATCATCATGTCGTGTTACGATTTGCTTTGCCGACGTAACGTATCCCGCCGACATTTGCTTCGCCTTCTAGGCTTTCCACACATTCATTACAACAAGTATCCATGTACTCAATAAATGTTCTTTACAAGTATACCCAAATTAGATATGCAGTATGCGTCAAATATGCCAAATTGACGTGTAGTGTGGTGCAGGACCCTTATTATTGCGATCTGCAAATTTTACTCCCATGCTTGTTATTTCCCGTCCTTGATCATCCCCATTGGCAGCTGTTTTCTTTTTGGAAAGAAGAGTCTTCTACATCGCTTATGTTAAGGGATGGCAGCTGGTGATGATGTAGATGATCAGTTTTGATGAGTGCGTCGTCGGCTATACCAATATAATGGTAACAGGGTTTGTTTGGTAGGCTTTAAGCTCTTTTGTATACCTAATTGAACCTTATGCAGGCAAGTGGAACGGTATATTCAATTTATCAATTACACAATCATTGTTGCAAAGACTGAAAACTACTCTAAGGACACGCAAACTGTAAAGGAGTCTGCAAATGTGCCCAAGCACTGTGTAACCAATGAGCCCAGATACCGGGAACCATCATCTATAGAACAAAGAATGGTGGGAGCAATAATAAAGGATTGGTATTCTCGAATTGGAGTGACGCTGACCCAATGAATGATAAGGATGATCATTAGCTAGTAAAGATAAAAAGAGAGATGCTATGCAATACAAGGGCTGTGTGTGCGTGTGTAGCAGGCTCGTGAGGACATGCAACCCAATCACATGTAGATGGAGGGCCTTGGAAGGGAGTAACCCATTTCCCCAAAGAGGGCTGTTCTTTGTGTGACCGCGGATCGGATCTCAGGATCCCATCTTGTGAATTGTTGAACAAAGAGTGTTGTTGTACCTTTTTCTTTCATAATTCGGTCTTTCCCCCTTTTTCCTTCTCTTTCCTTCTTTCATTAATTGGTGCGATCCATCAACAAGATACGCTATCGTATTCAATCATGGGCGTCCTTTCCAGTGGTTCATTATCCAACGACAGGTTGGCCAACCTTAAATTGTACAAGTATTCAGCAGTAGACAAGTCATTCATCAGTCGCTATGTTCTCAAGCATTATTGGAACTGGTCCATCGAACTCTTCCCTCTGTGGATTGCGCAAGTATCAATAGTGTACTTTATTGAAGAAGAAGGAGAAGAAGAAAGGCTGACAACAACAACCACCATTCTATAGTCCAAACTTGATCACGCTGATCGGCTTGTCGTTTATGATCCTCAATGTTGCTTTGACCATTGTCTTTGCTCCCGAAATGGACGCTGAAAATGGACCTCGTTGGCTATACTACAGGTATGTGTGTGTGTACCTTCGTATGGAAACGGGCATGCGTAGAGTGGTGGAGGAGCCATTTGATTGACTATTCTTTTGGGGTGATGGTTAGCTTTGCTGCAGGATTATGGCTTTACTCGACTTTTGATAACGTGGATGGCAAACAAGCTCGTCGTACTGGTACATCGAGCCCACTTGGAGAATTGTTTGATCATGGATGCGACGCTCTCAACACATCATTTGCAGCCTTATTGCAAGCAGCAGCCCTTGGCATGGGTCACTCGACTCCAAGCGTGATGTTGTACGGCATTGCCATGTTTGGATTCTATTTGTCAACAGCTGAGGAGTATCATACTGGCACCCTTTATCTCGGCTATGTCAATGCACCTACAGAGGGCGTTCTTGTATCATGCTTTGTATTTTGTCTTTCTGGTTACTATGGTAAGTTTGGGAGGGGGATTCTTCATGTGCAAAAAGTGTAATACGGTTACACTAATACTATCCCATGTGTTGATCCAGGACCATCAATTTGGCAAACCCCATTGGGTGAAGTGCTTCCAACTAGTTGGTCTTTGCCACCAGCCATTTTGGCCATGCCTGCATGTCACGCTGTGATTTGGTGGATTGGAATCATGTTTTTGTTTACTCATTTGCCTGTGTGGTAAGTAATCAGGGTGAACGAGGTCATTGGTGCTATATAAAACAACTCACACACGCACATGTCATAGTTTGCATGCCATGTATAAGGCTTGTCGCAAGAATGGACGTCCTTTTGTCTCCACCATGATCGTCCAAAACTTCCCAATCATCACCTACGTTGCAGCCTTCTTTTCTTGGGTATTGTCACCATACTCCTTTATCTTGTCGCATCATCACTATATCCTTTACACCCTTACAACCGGCATTGTGTTTGGACGCATGGCTACCAAAATCATCCTTGCCCATCTGTTAAAGTCGCGATTCCCACGTTTCACCGTGCTTCTCTTCCCTCTCATTGGTGGAGCTATCATCAGCAATCTACCTCGCCTTGGCAATATGTAAGTGTGTTCATCCTCCATATTGTGTGTTGTTATACTAACATGGAAATGCTCTAGTGCTCCCATCTTTACCCCTGAAACCGAGTACTTGTACATCTGTGCTTATTTCGTGTTTGCTCTCGTCGCATATACACGATGGGCTGTGGTGGTCATCAATAGCTTTTGCTCCTATCTCGGTATTCGGTGTCTTACGATTCCCCACTACAAGGCCAAGAAGCTTTAATCCAATCGACTACAGCACAACAACCTTGAAGGGATTACTGGCGATGTTTTTCTAGGTAAAGATGAACGGCTATATGCCTTGCCCAGTGTTTTCTTTCCTTTCCCCCACCCCATCCTACTCCTATCACTGCCGTAAATGTAGAGTATTATACCGGGCATCAGTAATTGCCTGATAGTTTATTCCTTTTCTTCCCGTATATATCTCATTCATATCACTGCTAATACATTAAAAGATGTTTGATATGTAAATTGGATATCGTGTTATGAGCTTTACCAGTGAAGGATGATCTTGTCGTAAATCCTCAAGTACAACGTATATTTTAGATGGGAGATGATGGATCGCTTTTCAATAAAGGATGTTGTGCAAAATGATGATGTCACTGCACCCAAAAGAAGAAGCCCGGTATACGAACCAACATCATCTCAATGTGATTGTTGAGAGTTGCGGCCTACAAAATGTGATCAACGTGTAGCCTCAGAGAAAGTGGGGTTACTAAAACATCTGCCTTGGATCACGTGCTGCTATATGCAGCTCTCCGACTAGTCATCTAGAGCACAACTTGGCTGTTCTTGGATGCTCGGGTGGATGGACCCTGCCAAAACGGTTGCCGTTGCCGTGAAGTAATCAGCTGAAGATAAACCTTGATACCTTTATCACCATGACGACCACAACAATGAAAACAGGGTAACAATGAAAGGCTATGAATAACCACAAAGACCTGCTTTTAATCCACAATCCATATTTGACGTGCATGAACGATAGCTTTTTGCTCATTTGGATGCCGCACGGGATGCATTAATGCGTATGTTGTCAGCTGAATGTTGGTCAATGATAGCTGTACTTGAATTTATTTCTTGAGGAGTATGGCTGCATACATACAAGATGTCTAAACAATCATGAGCTGTGGTGAGCTATCATACAAGAATGATTCACGATGAGCCATGACGCATTCATATGATCCATGAGTGGATATTGATTGAAGACCATAATGCAACCCATTGGATAATTAAGACCCCGGGTTATTACGTACACCCCAGCTTTCATGCATGATGATGAATCCTCGTTTGGGTGTCGTGGGAGCATTGTTGTCGCGATAAAGCGAACTCCGTTTAGCATGATGTACATCAAGGATGTCGAAAGAAAGCGTTGTCAGCAGCATACCATCTTAAAGGCAATGCATAAGGAAGAAGGGTATATGTCGTATCGGCAAAAGAAGGATCTTGCTATGTAGTAGCTGATATGATCACTCGCCGTGGGTGGATCATGAGACTTTTGATTTTGAATAGACATCATTTTGCGTGGGATATCGAAATGAATCTATCAGGATGTTGATAGACAATGGGACAGATAACGATAAAGGGCTTCTTATGGTATCGACAATGAAAAGGGTAATCGGTCGGATTCCCATGTGTACGTGTGTATCTAATAATATCATTTCAGGGGCAAAGCGGTGGTAGTAGATTGGTAGTAATGGCATTAAATGGTAGGATGATGATATTTAAACGTGACATCAGGCATTAGATTAGATATCCCAATGTGTCAAATTGATGTTTAATATGCTTGAATACATGGGAATGCCGGAATGGAATATAGCTTATCATGAACGATGAGTATAGCTGACTTTGCAGTTTTTGGATGAACCGGCGAATGCCATTAACGTGCTTGTTGTACAAGGCAATGCAGGATTTACTCCGCGGATGGAGTACAGCATCTATTTCTTTCTTCTTCTCTCTTCTCTCTGCTCTCTCTTTATATACGCACATTCTCCCCCCCCATTGACTTTTCCTGAATCGAATCTACCATGCTCATTACTCGTTCCTTATGCATTGCTGCTCGCTGTTCAAGTATTCTACGTAGTAGGATAGCCCCACCACTATACAGGAACGTACCTCGCCATATTCGACTCTACACGTTGCCAACCACTCCGCGTCTTTTACCCCCAGCAAGTTCGAGTAATTACTGCCCCCCATGCCCGCCGTAACATTGAACCATTAACTCAAATGCATAGATGCCACAGTGTCAGCAAGAGCAAATCCTGTTTCAGACGAGGGCCAAGAAAAGAGGTGAGCCTTGAACAACAACCCCCTTTGTTTCATTCTTCAGTCATGGATCCTGCTCTATGCAGGTGCTGTTGTCCCCGATATACATTAGCCATACATGGACTAACAAGCAATTAAAATGTAGGGCGAGTGAGATCAAGGATGCCAAATTGATATTCAATCAAGCATGGAAGAACATTGAGGATCACTATGGCCGTGAGAATATTCATCTGCCTCGCGAGTTTATATTTTTGATGGGAGCACCAGGGTAAGATGAGACATTGGGAAGGGAGGAAATGAGGATGATGATGATACCATGGATACTGAGACAAGGTTTTATTCATCAGATCCGGAAAGGGTACTCATACACCATCGATTTTACGTGCTCGTGGCATTACCAATCCACCCATCTCAGTGTCCCAACTTTTGCAAACACCCGAATGCAAAGAGCTTATCAACCAAGGCCAAATGATTTCCGATCGCTATGTCATTGAACTCGTGCTCCATGCCATGCTAGACTGTGATCCCACTGTTGGCGTTTTGGTGGATGGTTTCCCACGTACCGAAATTCAGGTGGAGGCACTCAAGATGCTGCATGACAAAATGACTGAGTTACGACGTGAATTTTACAACACGGATCGACGGGATCAATTTCCGTAAGTTGGGGAAGGGGTATTTATGCGCAATGAGAGAGGAAACAGGGTTGAGATATTGATTTCGTTTCTAGGCGACCTGTTTTTCGCATTTGTGTATTATACGTCGACGAAGACATTTCGGTGCAGCGACAACTTGCTCGTGGGCGCATGATTCGAGAACACAACCTGGAGGTGAAAAAGACGGGCCAAGGAGTTTTATGGGAAGAGCGCGTGACCGATAATGATGAGACAGTAAGTTACATTGGGAAACGAGAAAGGAATATATAGCTCATAACGATATCCATCCACTTTTTAGGTGATCCGTAATCGATATGCCTTCTTCAAAAAGAGCTATGGTTCCCTTCTCAAGTTGTCAAAGATGTTTCCCTTTCGTATGTCATCCGGAATTGGATGAAGATGTGTGTTACAATTGCCCTGTGACAGAAATTAATATGTGGATAATCAGATCTTATCAATGCTACAGGTCCCATCAAGGAAGTCTTGGAGATCATTTTGCGGGAATTCGAATATCAATCATCGCTCGAGCTGGATTCTGACACCTATGACGCTATTTCACATATACCCCTAGCAACACAGATCGGCATTCATGCTCGTCAGGTAAGAGAGGATGGTGGTGGTGATGGGAAGAGGAATGGATCGGACGTTTACTCATATATACCATCGCAATCAGGATTTGATCAATCGATTAGAACACTATCAAGAAATAGATACCTCGTTATTACAACAAGCGATTCGATTTATTGATGACACGATCATTCCTCAAGTAGCCCGACACGCCATTAGTGGACATGTGATGATTCGCACGTGAGTAATGGGACGCTGCTTACTATGGGTAACCTATTCTAACGCTGTCAATAGAGAGGATCCCCAATTGGACAACAACCATTTTGTGGACATTGTGATGGACGTGTTATCGGAGCGAGGTTACCATGTATCGTACGATAGCAGGGCACACCATGAACCTGTGCGCGTGGATTTGAACACTGGCAAGATTGAATTGGCCACGTGAGTATAGCTGGTTAGAGAAAAACAGAAACACATAACACTAACACCCATGTTGTAGTCATCAAATCCATGTGCTGAACATTGATTTCCCAAAGCATTACATCCGAGCATTAGAGCAAAAGTTCCAATAAACGATTGCATTCATCCTTTTTTCTTCTTCAACATGTACACCATTAAAGTCCCACCTCTTTAAATCATCGAATTGCTGTAGATGCTCATATGATGGATCATCGCTCATTGATTGGGGTATAAAAACAACCCACATGACCCTTCATGGCGGGGTTCAAGTATACAACATGCTTGTATCAAAGACTGTGGATGGGGTTGGTCATGTAATTGATGTGTGGTGTCATGCATACACAAAACGTGTCGAGATCATCTGCCTAATGTATGCGTAATCCAGCTATTGCGTGGTGAGAGATAGGAAAAGTGATACATGCATTTAATAATGGTGGATGAATAAAAAGTGTAATAACAATATCCACTAAAGGGTATCCAAGGCAATGATGCACGTCGTTGGTTGGGGGGTTGGAAGGAGGAGGAGGAGGAGGGGGGAGAAACGGTGGGTGCACGGATGAGCTTTGAACCAAGACCTACGAGTGAACGCTATTTTACATTTTCCCTTTTTCTTCCGCTTTTCTTTTGTTCTTTTTCCTTTTTTGCCATGAACAAGTTCTTCTCGAACAACCGCAACAACACCAGCAATGACGTGAATGGTGACAAGGAACCTTCCGTGAACGACGTCGACAACATGTCTGTCAAGCATGCCGAGCCTGGTACGGGTGGCCAGTTTAGAGAGTTTATCAAGACGGTCATTAGCTTCACTGGCGATCTCTCATCCCTGACATGCCCTGCATTCTTCTTGAACGGGTTATCCTTGCTTGAATATGGGTAAGTGGATGATATCAATCAACCGCTCGGTTGTTTTTTCCCCTTCCTTCCTTGTACAAAGACACCTTTCACTAACACGATATCCTTGCTCTTTGTATTTTATTCGAACAATAGCACATATTGGGGTGATCATCCAGCTTTGTAAGCTCCGAGCGAAATGAACGAGGGGTTGGGTTTCTCTATATTAACGCACAATCTTTTTATTTGACGTCAGCTTTACCGCCATTAGCAGTGCAACCGATCCAACCGGTAAGTCATTCATTGAAAGGATTTGTAATTGGATAAACATGAAGGCTTATATAAAAAACATGGCATTAGAGCGCATGTTAGCAGTGACTCGATGGTTCATGTCGACGCTTTGGGGTAGTTATGCATCTCGATGTACCAATGGACAGCATGAGAAGAAGCCATACAATCCAATTCTCGGTGAGCAGTTCCTTTGCAAATTGGGTGATGTCGAATGTGTTTGCGAACAAGGTAATTTGGGGGGAAGAAAGGTTGTGTAATATTATGGGGGGCTTGGACGATCCTTTGTGTGACTGATTGAATCTCAATAGTATGCCATCATCCACCAATTTCTGCTTTCTATCTTCAGGATGAAAAGGCTGGTGTATCATTGAATGGTCATTGTAAGTTGTTTTGGGGGAAGGAAGATGATTGAACACGTTTCATTCATGCCTGGTTTTCTTGATCAGCTGGACAAAAGGCTCGATTCAAGGGCACAAGCATCAAGACTGAACAAGTTGGACGTGCCGTATTATACGTGAAGCAATATGATGAGCAATACGTCATTGATTTCCCTGATCTGATGATTCGTGGTTTCTTGACGGGCGCAGCTTATTTGGAATTGGCTGGTGTGTGCACAATTGCATGCTCCAATGGTCACACTCAGACAACGATTGAATTTGTTCCCAAGCCTTGGTTCGGTGGTGAGCACAATCACATCAAGGGTGCAATCACGTGCGATGGTGAAGAACGATACACGCTTTCAGGTCGATGGAGTCACAAGACCTTTGTTACAAAGAAGGGTGAAAGTGAAAAGCAACTGTTGTTCGATGCTGAAGAGGAACCCATGGCTGAACGAAAGACAGCACCTATTGAAGAGCAACAAGAAATCGAATCGCATCGTTTGTGGGGTCCAGTCACTGAAGCACTCAAATCCAAGAATTATTCGGTTGCGAACGCTGAAAAGAGCAAGATTGAAGATTGGCAGCGTAAGGTTCGCAAAGAGAGAGCTGACAACAACGAGACCTGGCAACCAAAATTGTTCAAGTTTGTTGAGGATGCCAGTGCATCGGATACCTACAGCAAACGAAATGTGGATATGGTTCAGCAAATGCGACGTAAAGCATTATTGGATAATGGAGCATGGACGTATATCAATTCTCTTCACGAGCGCAAGGACTAAGCTAGACGTACAACAACATCCCACCAACCCATTCCACCCACTCCACTACCATTACCATGTAGCATTATAAGATGTACTGTTCTCCTTTTCTACCCACTTAATATAACATTCCCCACCATCCTTCCTCTCCAATCCCCCACTTTATCTTCCCTTTTTCTTGGTCACCCATCTGCATCCTGCAGTAAACGTATTTTAGACAACCATTGGTTAAACATAATTGAAGTCTGCTGTGCTCCATTTTTGGACATTCATGCAAGCAAAGTTCATTTGAAAGGGGATAGTAACACTATTTCAAGGCCAAGGCATTGGGAGGGGTTGCCACACCTTGATACTTGTTAAGAGGGGCACTTGTGAAGAAGCATGAATAGCGACCATCCTTGGCACAATCTTCTGCAAGCTTTTCGAGATCAAACATTTCGCCAATAGGCATTCCAAATCCGGCAAGGAAATGGGTGTCTACAAATACAGCAGCTAATGAATACATGGGTTTTGTGTACATGATCACAAGTGTACTCACGGCATGAATTGGACCAGTCCTTGGTTGGATACGCTTCAAATGCAACGTTATCACTAGCGACAGCTGCAAAGTGATTATCCCATATAAAGCGATACATGCTTTCAGATGCCTCGACACCAATGCAATGGAGGTTGTTGAAATCCACTGCCTTGCTATCACGTTCATACGCAGCCATCCATCCTGTACGCAGCAGCAAGATATCCCCAGGCATAAATTCAACATGCTGATCCTTTGCAACTTGCTTGAGCTCATCCAGCGTGATGACATGGCATGTGAATGGGTCAACTTGTTTACCTTGCTTAGTAGCCCATCGCTCATAATCAAGCAAAACAGCACGTCCTGCAATACCACGGCGTGCCATGTGATGAATACCGAGACGATGGGAATGTTGCTCTTGTGAAAGATCATCAGGTGATACACCATTGTAAAATTTTCCAGTTTCCATATTGCCAACATGGAGTAATCCATCCCATTGGGAAGAGGACTGGGTATTGATTTCAATAACATCATCAAACCAGTTGTTGTGAACGGCGCCAAATCCTTTGTTTTCAAATCGATCTTTGACGCGGTGTTGGATCGCTTCTCGATTATGTGGTGGTGGCCATGGCAACTCGAGTTTCCAGTTGAGTGAGAATACAGCACCACGCTTCACGTTGTCTTGAGCAGCCTACAATTAAGATGATCAACAATGTTAACCCTCTCTTTATTCAATCATCGTAAATAAACGTATGTACCTTGGCAACTCGCTCCTCCGTCAACAAGTTGAGCGTGCCCAAATTATCGTTCTCTCCAAAAACTCCCCATGCGCTAGAATCAGGTGCCTTGGTACGGTCAATGGGCAAGTTGTCATAAGCAGGGAGCTTGGCCATTGGGTATGTGAGATAGGGTATATGGCTTGGGTAAACGAGAGAAAAAGGTGTGCAATAATAGGCATGCTCAATCATCGCGCTTTGTAAAGCTGCTGGAAATTTGAGTGGTACATTCATGCACAATCATGCAAATGTAAGGTTTAGCTTGCTTCTGAAATATTTTATCATATGCATGTGGGATCTTGGTTTCCCGGCATCATTGTTGTTCTCTGCAAATGAAATGCCAATCAAAGCTCGTCATTGCATTCAGCGTGGATTTAGTATGCTGTCTCGCTTCACGTTGGCAAACGAGGAGTAGCATACAAATCAGCGCAATGAAGGTGAGGTGTATAGTTAATGTGGGTGTAACTCTTACTATAAAATGGTCATGGTGCTGTTGCACATTAACAGCACTGCTCATCTGATGATATCGTATGATCATACAATGTTGATTCGAAATCTCTATGCCAATGTCATATAACCGCTACAGCTCTGTGCAGTGCTATGATTAGGGAGATACAACATCGAGATATGGAGCTGTGATACCGCATGTCTATGTCAAGCTACTCATCGACCCTGCAAGTACACCTTGTGCCACAGCCTAATCACCGGGCCATGTTGATCAAGTATTAAATCATATACAACATCGATGAATTCGCTGCTGTTGGTCTAGTGGTTATGACCCACCATGAGCCAAGATGGTTACGTTTTCACCTTAGCTCTATTGTGATTCTACTAAATGCGGTAAATAATTGAGTTATCCAATTTGAGTGATTCAAAACATCATCAGGGAGGGACCAACACTGAAATGCACAGACAATGAGCATCCAATGAACGAGGTAACACAAGGCGATCCATCTTCAAAAGAGGCGTGAGAACATGTCATCACAGCATGTAGCGCTTGCCAAAACTAGGTGTATCCCTTTCCTTTATTTCATGCATAATGCATTGGGTGGAGTAGCCACACCTTGATATTTGTTAAGAGGAGCACTTGTAAAGAGGCAAGTGTATCGACCATCCTTGGCACAGTCTTCTGCAAGCTTTTCGAGATAAAACATCTCGCCTATGGGCATTCCAAAACCACCAAGGAATTGGGCGTCTACAACAGCAACATCATCCTATTAATCAAGTGCACGCACACATGGGATAGGATACGTCGATACTTACGACATGAATCATTCCAATCTTTTGGTGGAAAGGCTTCAAAAGCAACATGGTCACCAGCAACGGCTGCAAAACGGTTGTTCCACACCCAGCGATACGTGTCTTGGCACGCTTCTACACCAATGCATTCAGGTTTGGCAAGATCCATGATATCCGAAAGACGATCCCCTTCACGTTCATACGCTGCCATCCATCCTGTACGCAATAATAAGATATCTCCTTCCTGGAATTCCACCTTTTGATCCTTAGCAACCTGTTCAAGCTCATTCACAGTGATAACATGGCGACTAAGAGGATTGATTTGCTTTCCATTACGCTCACACCATCTTCCATAATCGAGCAACACGCCACGACCAGCAATGCCTCGTTGAGCCATGTGATGGATGCCAAGTCGTCCAGTGCTATTAGGTCCTACAATGTCGTCCGGCGATACATTGTTGTAGAAGCGACCAGAGCTCATGTGGCATACATGACGCAATCCATCGAATTGCGTGCTACTTTGAGTATTAAAGTTGTCATAGACATCATCAAACTTCTTGCTGCTGCCACGATCACGAATATGGTGTTGGATTGAAGTACGGTTGAATAGTGGTGGTGAAGGTGATTCAAGATGCCAATTTAAAGAGAAGACAGCACCTCGCTTTACGTTCTCTTGGGCTGCCTAATGGAATCATAAAATCAACTTTTGTGTCTCTCTTTGCTTATTCACTAAACGTACCTTGGCTGCTATTTCCTCAGTCAGCAAATTGAGGGTACCCAAATTGTCGTCCTTTCCGAAAACGCCCCAAGCAGTATGAGGTGGATACGAGGGGTCAATAGGTAGCTCATCATAGGTAGGGTATTTAGTCATCTTGTGGAAAAAGAAGTTGTTGAAAGCAAGGCTAACAGCAGGAGGCGATATAAAGACGATCCAAATAAGCTCATCAAATCATCTCTCGGCTTAGGCAAGCTGGTTCCCACACTAGTAGTACTTTCAAGTAAGCAAACAATCCTCACCACGACATACGTTTCATGTTGTTGGACCCTGTATTCATCCTTTGAATGTAATGTTTGCCTGCATCAAAGCTTTTGATGACTATAATGTCATGTTTAATAAGTCAACTTCATCAGGCACGGGTGCTGTTTTGCATGTTTGTTTGTATGCCGGAAAATATTGCCGTATATGGTGAATAAAAGCAGCATGGGAATTCCGGTGCTTCTCACAAAGCCTGCCCTTTTACACGACTCCATTACTGCTTTTGCAGACCTTGAGCCATCATGTGACCAAAAAAGACGCCATTGTCGCTTCTTCTGTAATATACCTTTGTTCTATTTAGCCACGCACAATTCTCGTCACACCATGCTGAGCGTCAGAATTCTCTTTGTTTAACCTTTGTGAGGTTGCAACAAGCTATTTTTGTCGAGTTGACGCCTTAAGTATAACACAGATGGTGCGGTTTTTGGAACTGAAGGTGTATATATAAGCACTCCGTAAAAGCTATAGCTGATGAATCGCTTATCAACATACGACAACTTTTTTCTCAATGCTAAAAAAGCAACTGTTGATATCCATTGCGCTCTTTTTCAGCATTGCTTGTGCACAGAATGCACATTATGCAGCTCTCTTGAATGATAGCTTATGGTTTTACGAGGCACAACGAAGCGGCAGGCTGCCATCCGATAATCGCGTACCATGGTATGTGAACATAAACCAGGATCATCATACCATGTAGGATCCTCACTATTGTATGTTTTGGATATGATGTATAAAAGGCGACATGATTCAGCACTCAATGACGGCAAAGACAATGATGTTAATTTGACCGGTGGCTATTACGATGCAGGGTAAGGACAATGGAATCACGTATTCGCTTTGCGTATTTACTTATCATCATTATGGTGACAGCAACTACATGAAGTTTACTGTTCCACTAGCACACACCCTTACGCTGGTTTCATGGGGCGCCATTGAATGGCATGAAGGCTATGAAAAAGCCAATCAAACAAGATACCTTCATGACATGCTTCGATGGGGCACCGATTGGCTAATCAAAGCTCATCCATCGGACAGCGTGTTATTTGTACAAGTGGCTGATGGTGACATTGATAACGATTATTGGGGTATGATGACTAGTAAAACAGCTCCAATGATGCAATAATGTGGGCTGAGCAAATGTTCTTTTTTCATTATAGGACCGGATACGGGTATCGCGACACCACGTCCTTCTTACTATGTGGATTATGATAATCCAGGTACCGATGCTGCGGCGTTGACGGCTGCTGCCTTTGCTTCAGCTTCGCTTGTTTTTCGTGACTCCGACAGCAACTACACCGACACACTCGTCTCACATGCCAAGACTGTGTATGAATTTGCAGAAGCTGGGACACCATGGCAAGTATACAGCGATGCAGTAACCGAAGCTGATGAATATTACGGCATGGGAAACTACACAAGCCAATTGGTTTATGGCGCCTTGTGGTTGTATCGTGCAACGGGTGATACCAAGTACCGTGATAAGGCTTCAAGGTATTATGATCAATTTCAACTTGCTACCAAGCGTATTGCTATCATGGATTGGAGCGATGCCACTGGCAGTGTATATGTACTTGGTGCCGCAATCGATAATACGACAACCAAATACAATGAAGCTGCTGCTAAATACCTTGACACTATCATTCCCAATGATGAGGATGACAATAGCAGCAACAACAATGACCCATGTACCTATACCGAAGGTGGATTGCTTTGGTGTGGCAGTGCAAGTAGCTCCAATTCACTCGTCCCAGCCAATGACATTGCATTCCTTTCAGTGATGTATGATCATACGGTCAATGGCCAAGCCGGCAAGTATACGCAATTTGCCATGAAACAACTTGATTACGTTCTTGGCAACAACCCAATGTAAGCTTGTTTTTAATTTTTCTTGCGACATCGGATGAACGGGTCTTGTCACATACACCCTCTCTCCTACCACCCAAATCATTTGTATGGCACTCACCATGTTTGTTTATTATAGGTTTACTCCATACGTTTGTGGTGTGCACATGAACTCCCCAAGAAACCCACACCATGCTGGTGCTTCAGGTGGCACAGATATCTCCAACATTGATAAAGATAGTGGCAACTCGCACGTATTATATGGTGCTGTTGTAGGTGGACCCGACCAAAAAGACCGATTCTTTGACGAGCGTAGCGATTATGACCAAAGTGAAGTAGCCCTTGATTACAATGCTCCCTTTCAAAGTTTGGTGGCCTATCAGCTTATGACTGATGCAGACGATCCCCCTTACGTCAACATTACTACCCCTCGTCCTGCCGTTTCTCGTGATGGTGATGGATCATCAAGTTTCCCTTCTTGGGCAATTGCTGTGATTGTGGTCGTTGTCGTACTCTTCCTTGTGGCTGTGGCCCTGACAGCGTACTTTTTACGAAAGCGGCGTGCAAAGATCCAACATCAGCAAAGCATCGTGGAACAACAGAGTGACGACAAGCCCGCTGTTGCCATTGGAAATGCTTCGCCACAACCAAATCCACAATAATTGTTGCACGACAATGATGATAAAGTATCATCATCACCATCGACTTGTACTATTGTATAGATTAGATTCTTCCCTTGTATATAAGACCATCATCCCTTTTTTCTCTCAGCCTTTCTAATTCTTTCTATTTTTGCATCATCCAACAAGGATATGGAACATACAGTGTTCTTTCAAGCGTAGTATTGTGTTCCGCATGAATCTGGCGTTCAAATGGAACAGTGCCCGTTACACAATGTTGCTACGCCATTGCTGCCCAAAACATTGTCGTCATTGTTTTTCCAGAAATGTATGTGTAAATAAGGAATCCATGCACGTAATTTACATCGTTGGTAGTACTATGCTACGTACAATTACCATGGCAACGCTTATTGCTGCAATCACATTAAGAAACCACGACCATAGTAGTCCTATCACATTCCTAGCCCAATACGTCCCTGACACGTTAGCATGAATGTGGGTACACAAAGGATCTCAGCCTATGTATTCGGAGGTCCAATAAACCTTCTTCCAATCCAAACCTTCACTTGATATCCTTGATGCCTAATAGACCTACCTTGCTGCTCGTTGCCCATGCTACAACATTCGCATGAACAATAGCACGTTAATAAAGGACGAGTACATAGCTAAAAGGCTTCTTTGTTTATGCTTTGAAAATCCGTGCTACTTGTGGCATCTGTGTCGCAAAAAAGGAAAATCAAGTTTCACAGCTGCATCTCATAAGGCATCATAGCATCTGCCATGTCCATCATTTAATAATGCATTGACAAGCGCACGAAGGGTGGCTTGAGTAATTTGTGTTTTTGGCCCAACTACATGCAGCATAAGCAGTAAGCCATGGAGCTTCTGATCGCCGGGCTTTATATGTAAAAGAACGAGCTCTGCAATATGCAGCATTGAGTATTCGAAAAAGTCAAGCAAACATAATAGCTTCATTCATATAGCCCACCTATGTAGTCATTGTTCTAATAAAAAAATTTGGATGAAGCACGTGATATCATTTGTGTTGATGTAATGGGACACCGGCGGCTTTACTCAGCTCCTAAACCACTGTCGTTCATGTTCGTGTTGATATCGCATCGATCACTTAAGCAACCATGTAGCATCGCCTTCATCCATTCTCGTCGATAAACTTGATTTCCACCACGTGCAAGATGTAGATGCCCCATACATTTTAGCAGCGGCTCGAATGGGATGGGGTATAACACATGATCTCCTTTCCCCTATCAGCTCACCATTTCCTTGGTTCTGTAAGTTTTAACCGGACGTCACCGAGAATACAACAACAACAGGTAGTTGGTTCTTGTTTCAAACCTTGCTGCATGTGACAATGACAGGATGGGCGTACTCTTATCGTTACCAATGATGCTATCCCATATCATGTGCTGTCAACTTTTTAATGCAGCGCCATGATTCATATGCAAGTAATATTACTAGAGTGTTTCAAGTCTTGTGCATTATTATTAGTTGATTGATTAAAGAGAAAAAGGGGGTGACATGGCAGGATAGGATGCAAGCATCCGATTCTGCAGCTACTGCTTGGATTGCTGTGACATCGGGGTTCTTGTATGATGCATAAAAAAATGTGTATATCGATGTAGTGTAACGAAAGGGGTGAAAAAGAGACTAAAACTATAAGGGTACGATCCAATGTCAAGTAATTAGTTTAAATTCCCATGAAACGATTAAAAGAAGCCGATAGCACGTGAGAGAAGGTATTTACAAGTGGATGGAACAAATGGGATGAGGAGGAGTAGTGGGCTTAAAAACAAGCAACAGCAATCAGCGTTGTGTATCAGGTGGTGAGTGAAAGAAGGAGGAGGATATAGGTCGGAATCATACGAAGCAAGGCCAAGGCTCGGAGGTAGTAATGGATGTCCATGCAGGTTGTTGATCATGGTGAGTCGTAGTATTGGTAAATGAGGAGGCATCAGCTGCTTGCTTTCCTTGATGTGCTTGTTGCTGTAACATCATCATTCTTTGCTGGTGCTCACGCACACGATTTTGGAGCATGGTCACATGTTGCTGAGCAGGTAGCAACGATTGAGATGGAACCGAAGTAGGTGGAGCAACAGGCATAGATGGAGGTGGTGTTGCTGGTGAGCATGGTGTAGTAAAGGTGTTACCGGTGGATGATGGTGGTGCTGAAATGTCACTTGTGTTAGCTGTAGAGTTGGATGTAGCAGCAGGAGCACCATCATGGCGGAGCAAAAATTGTTGATCGTATCCAAGCATTTTCGCTGCGGGATTTCCAGGATGCTGTTGTTGATGTTGTTGTTCCCAATATTGCCTATAGGCAGTAGGTTGGTGATGATGATGTTGTTGTTGCTGTTGTCCATAGTGCGTAGCAGCAACAGCCCATGATCGATGATCAACGTTGTACCATCCTGCAGATGACGTGGCCTGCATCATATCTGCAACAGTAGTCAGATCAAATGCTATCCTTCCCCCTTTGTATACTCCACCCAACCCTTCTTTAAAAATTACCTTGTTGTAAGTCTTGTTGTTGTTGTTGCTCGGCCTTACGCGATTGACGCTTCTTGTATGGACCACGCTTAATGCCTTTGCGACGTTCCTTACGAGGTGAGTTAACACAAGTTGCTTCGAGACCCAATTTAATGCATCGTTGACAGGGCCTGCCATCGTCACATTTTTTACAAGCTTTTTGACAGTTGACTATATTTGTGTGGGAAATTTGTATGAGCACGAATCAGAGGCGATAAAAAAGGGCGCGAAATGCGTTCATGTGACACAACCTACCACATGCATTTTTCACTTGTTTCCTTTTCGGCTTTTGTTGCTTGGCATCCTTGGTTGCTGTAGACGTGTTTGTCACGGGTTGTACTGCTGCAGGGATATGTGCAGGAGTTTGTTGTGGATGATGATGTGCATACATTGGTGAAGCAAAATCAAAGTTGAATTGGTGGTGGTGGTGATGGGGTTGAACAATGGATGGCGACGCGGTAGTGTAATGAGTGGTTGGAGGTGGTGGAGGTGCATAGTGGTGTTGGTGGTGGTTGGCAAGGGGGTGCTGATGATTCATTGTAAAAATGTGAGAACGTTTAGAAAGAAAGGAAAAGAATAAAGAGATCAGCGTGATTATATGTGTATGAGCTTCTTTTATACTCACGGCACGATTGCACACAGACATGTGTGATTGGCACATCCACCACGTTCTATAGTTCCTTGAGTGCCCTTTTAGGCGGGCGGGCTATGTGTTGTGCAGGGCATTGCTTACGACAGAGAAGCTACCCCTTATCTCGTTGAGTTTCATTGCATGCCACAACTGTCTCCTCAAACCTTATTCGGAGATCTTCTCACTTTATTTTCAACCTGCAGATTCGTTGTTGCAGCTTCTTATCATGTGTGCCACTACCATCCAACCGTAATTATCAAGTACGACATAAAGTTAACATCACACCTTTTGCAAAGGGGTGATACGATGTATCCTTCAAATCTTGATATCACTGTATGATACCCTTATTACCCTTGCATACCGATATGCATAAATGGTAACACAGCAATCGGTTGCCACGTTGAATGCCCTGTTTATTTGTCTCTTGTTGCGCTTAACAACACCACCATAGCACAGCAGCAATGCATAATGTATTTACTCCTGGATTGAATTCCTTTTATTCCGCTCTTTTTTTTATCCAGATAACCCAGCAAGTTATCTCTGTGCACGACAAGTCATGTTGTTTGCTCTTGCCTTCTGTTACCCGCATGCCGTGGATCATTGGTGCAACCATGGGCTCTTGAAAGATATATAATGCTTCACCATTACCTCCCAAGAAGATGTTGCCTACTTGTTGTGCTCGATTCTAAATAAGGAGGGCCAATCGATGATCGATCGGGAGTGATTACGATTAGCAATTACCTTGGGCGGTGCATGGTGGCTGGACTATATATGATGTCATGGTACTGCGAATACACTTATTGGCAAGAACTCACACGACCATTATCCCTTTCAACTACTCCTCGCTGTTGTTTGTCATTAATGTTCTTGTCAAGAAGTTGCGAAAACACATGCCATGTTCCTGAAATTACAATGCGAAGTTGACAAAAGAGCAGTTTATAAATGAGAGGAGTATTAGGAGAATGGTGGTTTGCAAAGCATTTACAACAAGTCAATAATGTATAATATCCATACGGGGAAGGGACATCATGTACAACATAATTGGGGGAAGCAAATGTCTCAAACGTATGGGCGCTTTACCAAATTGACCGCATGTACCCGGACTGTAACCACCAAAAGAAGCACGGTGATGGCCTTTGGCATGAATGCATGTTGATCATAGTTCGACCCCGATAATCATATCCAATGCTACTCTCAACGACCCATTTCGGATCCATCCGACAATGATACCTTTCTTTGTCAGCTGCTGAACACAATGCGTACGTTGCCCTTGGATACCGTTGCCATGGATTCCCAACACATCGGACGATACTGTTGAATGGACATACACACGTTGCTCCCTGCTTGCATATGTAATCCAATTGCCGTTACCGAGAGCCGATTTTGTATCATTTGCAACAGATGCTGTGGTATATCCAATATTGAAAATCATACGATAGCATAGCTGTTTTTGCGTATCCCCGCCCACTTTCAATTGACTCTTCAGCAAATCCTCCCTGACATATACCACGTTTTCTACAACATTTGACGTCAGCCAAGGGAGTAGTGCCATCATCATCATCATCCTCGTCATCTTTGATTGCCAAGTTGCCTGATTGATAAAGTTGCTCCGATGGTTGTAAAGGGAGTACAAACTTTGGTAGTGAGCGTCTTATCAAGATCCCACATTCTGGAATAATCCATTGACACATGCTATTGCTGTCCAGGTCTCACAGTGTAGATAAATCCCATTTATTTCTTCATCAAATTGGCAAAAGTAGTACCCTTGAAACCAGTATCCGAAGCAGCAGCGTTGTTGAAGAAAAAGTATCCTCGTTCCTGGCTGATACCAAGTTCCTTTTCAAGCTCTTGTCCAATGACCTTGGTTAAGTTGGCGTTACGGTCGTTATCTAGCACGAAGCACACAAGTCAGGGATATGATCAATCGACATTTGATATCATCCACATACCAATGTTGCCAATAGATGTGATTTTGGCAAGGAAGGCAGCACCACTTGCACCGGCAAAGTAGACACGGTCGACCTTGGTAAAGACAACCATGCAGTACTAATAGCAATGTGCATGATGGGTAAGCACACAGACATGTCTACAATGCTCGTAATTCCCACACTATAGGAGTTGGACTTACGCTCTCGGGCTTTCCAATACATTGAGAGAAGAGACCAGAAAGGTTCTTGCAAAAAGCGTCGAGATCGGTAGGGGCACGCTCAGCAATGATTTCAAGGGAAGGCATGTTGGAGTTGTCTGTAGGTAAAGGAAGAAGAAACGCTATGTCTACTACGCGTTCCTTTGATTACTAAAGTTTATCCCAGTCGCTGGTGTAACTCAAGATTTCGCTCAGTCATCGATATTGCATGAAATGGATCTTCCCTTCTTGTGCATTAGCCTAGTACCATTTTCTCACTCCCTCATCCTGTTCTATAGTCTTCAAGGCGTATCATTACTAAACGAATAAAGAATCGGTTTTAATATACACACGCGCATTCCTTTCCCTACTAGAATGAGGCTTCATCCTATCAATTACCAATGTAGGTACTATTTAATTTCCTCCTCTTCTTCCAATCCAAGCTTCTTGTCTCTTCCTCCCATTCTCAACTGCTGGTGCATTCAAGTACATACAACTACCACCTGCAATCGATTGTCCTGCTTCAACCCATCATGTCAATCTTACACTTGTCTTGATCCGATTGCCTTCGACTGAATGGCAAGCCCATGGCGTGTACACCCCACTACAACACGCGCCTTCTTGAATGTACATTCCCTTGCACATTCCTTTGTCACAACCAATCGTAATAGCAGCTACCATTAGCAAGGCCTTCACTCCATCGTCTCAAACAGCGTTCACAACCTTGTCATCTACCACAACACACGTTTTCTTGCTCTCTTCTGCCACGACCAAACGTAACAACAGCTGTTTAGCAAGATCTTCACTCCATTGTCTCAAACAGCAGTCTTTGCTTGCAGCATCCTGCTTTGCAGCCTTTTTTACACGAATAGCAGATAGCCATTGTATACAAACAGCTTTATTTACGTGTAGCAACTTGCTTTGATACATACGGACACCAACCGATGATTCCATATCAGCTAACAAGTACGCCGCAATACAAACAACTTTCGCCTGGATGAGCAGTGATGGGGGGGATGAATTGGCAAGGGATGGATCAACAGCCGGATGGAAAAGGAAGCATGCAGCGATCACATGTCTCTTTTCAAGCAACGTATTGGAATTGCAATGGCTATGATGGAGGGATGCAATCAAGTGCGATGATGAGAATCGTGGTGATTACTTGGCACGTCGTCAGCAGGGACAAAGGCTCATATCACGTGGATTCGGCCGAGGATGATGATGGATTGGATGGAATTGGCAAAAGGGCTTATATCTTTGACGAATGGTGTTTCACAGCTATGGATGGTATTCGAGTACTCAAGTCAAAATTACGCAGCGACGGATTTGGAATCATGGATCAAGGATGTTCATGACGGCAGCAACCAAGAATACAATGACACAATTATCCCTGTTGCCTCTATGTAAATCGCCCATATCTTATTCAATTTGTAATGCTGCTCCTTTATCTTAATTACTTGATAAACATCCACACTACACTAGCAGTCTTATTGTTCGTCTTACTCATTGAATGAAAATTGGATCCAACATGACATTTAGAGGGCATTGTGCTATCAGTTCAAATGTGCGAGATGTGGATGACTTAGGGAAAGGGGAATAGAAGTTTGACGGTCGCAAGCGACATTGGATTGTTTACATCCTCGTTTGTATCGAGTGCTTTGGTTCTTTTATGTATGACACTATACCTTCGTTTAAGCTTCCTAGTTCATATAATGATAAACGAAGGCAGAGGTAATTCTCAAACGCTTGTATTGTAAAGACAATAAATCCAGAGTGAGGATGTCCAACACAGTGCTTGTTGTTATACACAAGCTTGGTTCATTGTAAGCTTATTTCATTATGTTCAAGAAAGAGTGCGCTGTGATACAATGTGGTATGAGTACATGAAGAACATGCCATGCTTACCTATGACATGTTTCAGCTATGCAGCTTTATATAAGAATGGGCCAATCCATATAGACTAGCATACGCGGACCTTGTTATCGACAGCAGGCAGGGGAAGGATCGATTATGCATCCTCCACCAATAGGATCGATCCCTTCGAGTCTCGTCCTCCCGGGCCTTGTGGCACACATCTAGCTAGTGCTTCTGCATCTTTTGCTCTGACAGGTTCCATCTACTTGTCATTGAACAGAGACCACTTCCCGTATAGAATCACGCTTCTTACAGCATAGTGAAAACATAAAGACAGCCATATCTCAAGATTCCACAATGAAACGTGGGGTTTTTATTAGAGCAATGTGCTCGGCTTGGCCAACTGCACCTTGTGTGAAAGTTTCACGTTCAACGTCGCAACTAGCCCAAAAAATATTTTTTTTGGTTGTCGTCGTCGAAGAGGTCGACCCCTGGATCCAGTTTGGCTGGTAGCGACATTGCGAAATCTGGGATTGGCAAGCTTGATCGTGAAACTTTCACACAAGGTGCAGTTGGCCAAGCCGAGCCCATTGCTCTGTTCAAAACCCCACGCTTCATTGTAAAGTTTGGAGATACAGGCACCTTTATGTTTGTAAGCGTGATGCTATATGAAGAGTGGTCTTTCTTCATTGTCAAGTAGCTGGACCCTGGCAGAGCAAAAGATGCAGAGGGTCATGTTGTGTTAACACAGCTACGTTTGCATGAATGGAAGGGTCAATGTATAATTACTTTATGGATCATCTAGGAACAGGCATGTATTGCTAGCCAACGGCTACTTTTATCCAATCATCATTGTTGCGAAATCCACTGCATGGGAACGATGCCCCTGCTCTAGACATTCATTTCCATGATTAAAGTAGGTTGATCCGAGCTGATTTGATCAGAGCTGCGGTCAAAGAGATTACATCACTCTGGACATAAAGCACGCTCGATGTAGCTCAACCGATGTAATCTGTGTGAGCGTAACTCAACCAAATCAGCTCGGATCAACCTACTTTAATCATGGAAATGAATGTCTAGAGCAGGAGCATCGTCCACGTACGAATGCACAAAAAGTTGGGAATGCACAAAAGTGGCTATTAGCTGCCAATGTATGACATAAAAGTGAGGGTTGCGTACCTATCATGCATTGTCCCTGAAGTCCTTGACTTTTAGCTGAGTTACCAAAGAGGTCCTTCTGCATCTTTGGCTCTCCAGGGTCTAGCTGCTTGACAATGAACAAGACCACTCATATAGCATCACGCTTACAAACATAAAGGTGCCTGAAATCAAACAGAATCAAACGGGAGTTTTTATTAGAGCAATGTGCTCAGCTGTCAACTGCACCTTGGGTGCCAGTTTCACGATCGCTTTTGCCAACCCAGATTTCTGCAACGGCCGCTACCAGCCAAACTGATCCAGACAGCCGACCTCTTCGCTGACGACGACGACCAAAAAACATTTTTTGGGCTGTTTGCGACATTGAACGCGAAATCCTTTCACACAAGGTGCTGTTAGCCGGGCCGAGCCCATTGCTCTATTCAAAACCCCACGTTTCATTGTAAAGTTTGGAGATACAGGCACCTTTATGTTTGTAAGCATGATGCTATATGGGAAGTGGTCTTCGTCCAATGTCAAGTCGCCAGACGCTGGCAGGAGCAGATGCAGAGGGGCGCGTTTGTGTAACTCAGCTACTTTGCATGACTGGAAGCGATGGAAGGGATGATACTATATACTGTTGACAAAAGCCCAGCATTGCGAGCTAACAGCCATTTCTTCACACATCGTTGTCCACTCTATGACATGGGCGATTCTCCTGCTTCAGGCATTCATTTCCATGATTGGATTATGTTGATCCGAGCGATTTGACCGAGATACAGCTAAAGAGGGATTACATCAATCCACACATCTAACCATGCTCTATGTTGCTCAACTGAAGTAACTCGTGTGAGCGTAGCTCAGCCAAATTAACTCGTTGGATCATAATCCAATCATGGAAATGAATGTTCAAAGCAGAGCACCGTTCCACTGTCATAAATCGGGTACATTGCTGATTGTGAGGAAATGGCTGTTAGCTCGCAATGTATGGATGTTGTTAATAGTATACAGCATCATCCTTCCATCCTCCAGTCATGTGCAAAGTAGCTGAGTTACACAATAGTCCTCTGCATCTTTTGCTCTGTCAGGGTCCAGCGACTTGACATTGAACGAAAACCACTTCCCATATAGCATCACGCTTATAAACATAAAGGTGCCTGTATCTCCAAACTTTACAATGAAACGTGGTGTTTTTTATTAGAGCAAATGTGCTCAGCTTGGCCAACTGCACCTTGTGTGAAAGTTCTACGTTCATCAGCCTAAACGAATGCCAAAAAATATTTTTTGGTCGTCGAAGAAAGTTTCAAGAGGTCGACCCCTGATCCAGTTTGGCTGGTAGCGACATTGGTATCTGCTGGGGATTGGCAAGCTTGGATCGAACCGGCACCTGCTGGTGCAGTTGGCCAAGCCAAGCACATTGCTCTGGTATTGCTAAAACCCCGCGTTTCATTGTAAAGTTTGGAGATAAGCAGAAAGGGCACCTTTATGTTTTACATATGATGTAAGCGTGATGCTACACGGGAAGTGGTCTTTGTTCATTGTCGAGTGGCTGACCATGATAGAGCCAAAGCTGCAGAGGGACCTGTTTGTGTAACTGGAGCAGAGGGGAACTATACTCAAAAAAGCGTCGATACTATTGGTGGAAAGATGTACGAAGTAGCTCATCCTTATTGTACGGTCCGCCTATGATAGGCTGATGTGATGGTTCGTTCTTATATAAGGCTGCAGTATTGATAGCTTTAGCTAAAATCCTAACAGTAGGTAAGCATGGCATGATCATGTACTCATGCCACATATTGTATCACTCTTCTTGACATAATGAAATAAATATACAATGAACCAAGCTTATGTATATAGACTTCAATTTCGCCAATATAGCAAAACGATGTATAGCTTAATTGAGCAAGGCTAAACGCGGTTCGAAGTACAA